AAAGCTATTGGAGGCCTTCATTTCATTGCAAGAAATGGTAGTAAAATGAATTGGTTTGGGCTTCTTCAGGTGTCGCAAGCTCTTTGTTACTGGAAAGGATACTTCTATAAAGGATACCTTATTGTAAGCTCCTTTCATTTGGTCATCTGGCAAACTTGACGTTTTTCGTTTCAACCAAACTCCAGAAGGAAGAAGAGCACTTGATGTCTTGGATGGTTGCTGTCCATCTCTATCTGACTTCCAAACTCCATCCAAGTTGGTGTTCTCGTTGGAAGAATCTTTTTCTTCGTCAGTTTCCGCATCGGAATCAATTGTATTTTTGACTGGGCTTGATAATGGTTCCTCCAAGTCATATTTGTCGAATATTTGCGTATTTGCTTGTAACAAGGCAACAGTTATCTGATGAATAGTCAACATTTTTCTGCTTGTCACAAAAGTTTGTCCAATATTTCTCTTGCATAATACTACATAATCTGCATCTTGTTCGTTTTTGACCAATTGGCCGCCTGCACTTGCAATAACTGACTCCCATAATTCTGTTTGTTCATCACAGTTTATGACGAATTTCCTATTCGAAAATAGGTACTGTCGACTACTGTCATAAGGTACCACAGTTGAAATTTCTTCTTTCGTAAAAATATCTGAACGCCTCGGAAAATAGCTTTCTGTTGAAGGTAGTTGTGTATATGAGGTTGCCAGATCGGGAACTGTGATGAGACCAACTTGTTCTGCTGAGTTTAATACAACTTGCTTGACACGCTCTATCCAACCGGAGTGAACCATTGGTATACCTCTTACTAGAGCAATACATAGCCAAGGAGAAATCATCAATTCATTCATCAATAGGATGGAGACCTCACTATTCCATGTGCTTGTGATAGTTAGTCCCACTTTATCACAAGTTTCTTTCAGTAAATAATATTCTCTTTCAGGCGTTTTATCTACATAAATGACCAACTTTTCTTTTCCTACAAAATACCAAGCGCCTGGTCTACCGAAAGCTATCCTGTCACCTGGATTGAGTCGAACAGGAAATCCCTTGTCCAACTTTTCTACTTTCTGCAGGTCGAGATGCATATCTGCTCTTACAACAAAAGTACCGTGGGAGCTTTGATCTACCACCGTCAAATATTCTGTTTCTCCTTCCGCTTGTACTTGTAAGGTTGCGTGCAAACGGGAAGCATTTGGACAAGTCAACCGGACGTTTGCCTTTCTTCCAAAAATTTTGCTATCCGCTTTGACACCACCTATCCAGAAACGCAAGGGAAAAGTATGCTCTTGAATAGGACTACAAGTCAGAAACTCCAAGTACCACATCAAAGCTTCTCAAGATGAAAAGGAAATTGTGATTTTTGTATTTATTGGAAAAAGTTGTGTGTTTGGGTTGCGACTCATCAGCTTCGCAACCGAATAGTAGTTTCCTCGAGAGAAAGCTATTGAAAAGTGGTAACCTATGTTGTATGAATTTTCCCTGTAACAGTCCTTTGTTTTTAGCATACACTAGTATATTGTTACGAACAAAGAGTTCTTGTTGGTTAGATACCCACCTGTTCCTATTTCTTTTTGCTCCCATTCTTTTGTTGTTGGGACTTTTTCTTTCCATGTTGAATTCAAGTTTTAAGATTCTGAAAGGCTCCAAGTCTTCCAAGAAACAGACTTTATTTGTTTTAGATGATTGTTTGGTGGCTGGTCAATATATTCCAAACCGTTTCAGAAAAGACTGGGAACACGCCATTCAAGACTTGAGAGATTATGTTCGTGGGAAAGCTAAGAATGTTCTTATTGTAGATGTTTCGAGAACACTGGACGAAAGCAAACGTTTATATGAAGCGACTATATCGCTATTTGACGCTATCGGAGTGGAACCCCAATATATGTCCCTTGGGACTTATCTAAGCGTTCCTCCTCTATTAAAGATATTGCAGGTTTCCGCAATGATGTACAATTGGATTTCAAACGGTATGAAAGAACGCGAATGTAGGGTGGTATTGGTGCTCGGTACTTGCGACATTGTCTCTATGAAAACTATTTCCCTTATGGTATCTGCCTATTGGTTATTTGTTAGCAAGTACAACACAGGAATAGAGTCACTCGAGCACTTTATGAAAAAAGCAAAAGTTTATCATAATTTTTCTGCTGCCGATGTTCAGCCAAGAATTGAAACCAGTCATGTTGTAAGGCTTTTAAACTGTATCACGCAGTTGAAAAGCTCGATGGACGTACCAAGGCAAATATTAATCAACTTGAAGAAGACACTTATAGTGGGAACGGTATACCTTCCGGGAAGGCGTCCTTGGAATCCTATTTTAAGGTTGTATTCAGGTCGGGACGAATATTCGGAAGACTAGTAAGTTATTCTTATGGTAACTTCGACTCATATTGAACGTCTATTTAGTAAAACGATATGTCAGATGAGCACATCACCACAGGATAGTCAAGTTGGTGAAGGCTTTGCCAATTTTATTTTAGGTATTCCTATGTATGGAGATTTCACTTTGTCGTTTGAGCACTGGGAAGATATGGCTCAACACACTATACCAATCTTTACTATTTTTTGTCATGCGAGTTTTCTAACTCCATCATCTCGTCGTTTCAACCGTGATGAGATTGAAATCTATCCGGAGTTGGCTTTGGGAGTTGATGTCGATTCATTGGAGTATATTGATCTTTATTTTGATGAATTGGTTGATTCATGCAACGATAACAATGACAGTCGTTCTATTACATCGGATAATAATAATAATAGTAGTATCGAAACAGAGAAGGAGTGGGAGGCAAAGACATATTTGAATGAAATCAATGACATGCTCCAAAGGGCTCCTGAATATCCTCCCAAGAGAAGATATTTAGAGAGAAACTATTCAAGTGCTACTATCATAGCCTCCAATTCAACACGTCATTTTTCTGCAGGAAAGGATCCCTTGGTGAAGGAGTTGACTGAACATTTCAAGACCAAATATTATAATGAATCGGAGAACAAGGGTTCTAGAGTTTTATTGGATAGTGGTAGAGCTTCAGCAGAGTTTGAAATGGAATGGTTTTATGCGGCATTTGAGAGATATTTGGATGAACTGAGTCAATATCGAAATGGTTATACAGAAAACGACCGAAAGATGGCTGTGAAGAAGGTTTGTGTGTTGGTTTGTTTGATTGGAATATTTTATGGATGGGAGTTTTAGGCTTTGCTTTCGCGATTTCCAGCAACTGCATCTCTAATAGAGACTCTTGATGACCATTCAATTGAACGAGCATTGAGGAAAGTCATGCAGGATGAAGAAAGTTCATATTTGGATGACAATGAATCAGATGCGGACTATTCTATTTGTTCTGCGAATATTGAAACTAGAAGGAGCAGTCATACTAGTCGTCAAGAGTTTTTGGTGGATGATACTAAAGATAATGTAGATTCCGTTTTGGATGAGTTGAATGAAGGTTGGGAGGAAGAGAGACAAAGAGAGAAGAAGACTCTTTCGAAGAATGAATGTATAGAAATGGAGGATAAGAAAGAAAGTTTGTCACCAAAACGAGCGATAGGAGTAGATAAGACACATGAAGATGATATATTCACATTGAATCATCATGAGCAGGAGTCAAAACAACATTCAAGTAATGCCTTGGAAACTAGACAAGTATCCAATTCTGTTCCTCCTCCTTCTTCGTTTACAGTTTCCAAAACAGCAACGAATCATGGACCATCAGATTCTGTATCACCACCACCACCACCACCACCACCTCCTCCTCCTCCTCCTCTTTCATTCTCGGGTATCGCAGCCAATTCTCAATATTCTTCCGTTTCTGGAGCATCTGCAACTGCAGGAAATGCACCACCTCCACCACCACCTCCTCCTCCTCCACCACCACCACTTATGGGTGGTACTCCCATGTCAAGTGCATCTTTTCCAAATACTCCATTCGGATCGGAACAGAAAAGGAGAAATGTGAAACAATTACATTGGAATACAGTGCCTAGAAATAAGATAACAAAGACTATTTGGGGAGAAGGTTTAACAGAAGAAGCTAGTGAACTGGCAGAGGCAATAGTTACTGAACAGGTTGTGCAAGAACTGGAATCCATGTTTAGTTTGAAACAAACTAAATCCACTGGAAAGAAATGGGAACAAGATGCCAATGGTACAACCCATACAAGCACAACACAAGGCATTTTGGAACCAAAGAGAGCTACCAACATCGAAATTATGCTGAGACACTTCTCAGCTGCACCAGAAGATATTGTTAGAGCTATTACTGAATTAGACACCGATTCTCAAGTACTTTCTGATGAAAATATCGTTCAATTATCTCTCAACGGCTTACAAGAAGATGAAATAGATAGAGCGAAAAACTTTACGAGGGATCCTTCTTGTTTAAATACTCCAGAAAGATTTGCATATCTGTTATCCAAAGTTCCAAGAATTGAAAATAAGATACGAGCTGCTTTGGCTATTCGTAACTTGGATTCGAGCATTGAGGAAGTGTCTAAAAACATTGAAAAAATACAAGGCGCTTGTACTGAAGTAAAGGATAGCAAAGAATGGAGACAAATCTTAAAACGTATGTATTCTTTTTCTTGATTGTTGAATATTTTGTATTGAAATGTGTGACTAGTTGTTCTGGTAATCGGTAACTTTTTGAATCAAGGGACACCACGGGGTCAAGCTTTGGGATTCAAGCTGGAAACGCTGACTAAATTGCAAGATACCCGCGCATCTGACCAACGTACCACTCTTCTCAAGTATATCGTTGGTCTTTATAAGCAGAAATTTGCAGACATGATAAATGTTGCTTTGGAATGGAAGCATGTTGAAGATGTGAGCAAATTGACGCAATCGGAAGTATCATCGGATGTTTTGTCTCTTCAAAATACGTTGCAGTCTTTGAAGAAAGAAATTGAATTTTTCAAGCAAGTTGATCAGGAAAAATGGCACAAGTTGCATTCATTTTATGAGAAAGCCAATGAGAGAGTGACCCATCTGGTTGAATCTCATAGTCGTGCAATTGACGAGTTTCGTCAGCTTTTGACATATTTTGGTGAGAATCCGAGTCAAATGAGTTTAGAAGACTTTTTTGGGATCATTTATCAGTTTAGTGTTCGTTACAATCAATGTTTGAAAGAGGTTGACGAGGAAGAAGAAAGAGCTCAAAGGTTACAACAAAGTGAAGAAAAGAAGAAACGACTTGTTAAAAGGAACTCTGGTCAAGTGTGGGAGAAACAGCAACAACAACAACAACAGAACAACGAACCAATGAATTCTTCCGAGAGACAGGATGGATGTGAAGAACAAGTCAAGAAAGAAACGGAGAATGTTTCATCACTTCCTATACAAAGAAAGCTATTTCCGGAAAGCCATAATGAGGAGGAAATGGAGTCGAAGCCATCTCCTTTCAATGAAGAACCAATCGTTGCCGTTCAAGAAAGACAATCAGATTCTCTATTAAGGGACAACCATATAGGGGAGTTTGTGGATGGTAATAATACTAGTCATGACCAAGTATCTCATGAACAGCAGCATAGCGATAATAATGATGTTTTGTTAAGAGGTGAAGAGGTCTTGCCATCAAAGGAACTAGGCACTGTATTATCCCGTGTAAGTAGTGAAGCTATTCCTAAAGTCTCAGATTTGCAGTTATCATTAGACGACAAAGATCAACGACCGGAAACGAGAAAACCAATTGATAGGAATGAACAAAGTATTACGCGACATTCCAAACAACATTCTGTGGCCACCGTCCCAAGTCCTACTTCAACATTTCAGTCGCATAGTAATCGTAGTTCTTCTACTGCCAAGTCATCTCTATTTCCTAATATATGGCACAAAGATGCTCTTTACGACTCTAATTCTAAAGATATCGTGTACAAACAGTCCGAAGACAAGAATGGAAAGAAAAAGAGATTTAGAATGACTAATGTATTTTCCAAGAGACAGTAAAAGAATGAGGGACAACTCCCCTCTTGGAAACTGATTGGTTTCTTCTTGGCTATTTATTGATTCATCATGTCAGAAACAAAATTATCCAACCATATCATACCAACTTCACAGGACTGTGGAAATATTGTTCAATGGGAACACATCAATATTGATATTCCAGATACTGATATCACTTTTTATTTTTATTTTCAAGCACTTGGGCTGACCGTCGATCCCTATCTTCCCAGTCAGTTTTATAACCGTGTGTATTGGGCAAACGTGGGTCAACAGCAGTTTCACTTGGTACGTTGGAATCATGCACAAGTCATACAATGTGGAAAGCTTGTATTGCAAGTTCCTTGCTTGGACCAATTGGAAACTAGATTGGTAGCTGCCGAACCCAAGTTGAAAGGTACCTGTTTTCAGTGGAAAAAAGAAGAACAAAACAAAGATAAAGCGATATACGTAACCTGTCCTTGGGGAAATCAATATATAGTTGTGGAGAGTGACCGTATTCCTTCCAATTGTGGGTCATTCCCGTTGGTTTCGTACCCTTGGCAATTGGGTCTATGTTCATTGATACTCAGTTGTGCAAAGGATACTAGTAAAAAAATTGCCAAGTTTTTCCGCAATGTTTTATTTGCTAGGGTATGGGAAACGGAAAATAGTGCCATTGTATGCCTCGGACCACGGCAGTCGATAGTATTTGAAGAAGATGAAGCTAGAAATCTACCAGAGTGTCTTCCTGGTCGTAAAGAGGATCCTATGTATCCTGATTATCATGTGTGTGTTTATATTGCCGACTTTCAAAAAGGTAAATAGGAAATGAGGAAATGGTCGATATTTGTTGTTAAGTGTATGTAATGTAGCGTACCAACAAGTAGAAGCATTGGAGTTGTTATACAACGATCACATCTTTTCAGACAAGATATACAGTTACCAAGATGCATTGTTTCATAATCAGTTCCGGTTTCGAGATATCATCGATATGGATGCCCATGGTAAGTGTGGTTGAAAACGAATGTGAGATGGACAGAGTGAGTTGTGGTTGTAGAACGAGGAGAAAGACGCGTGTTGTATCAGTTGCAGTTTGAAACACGTAGTTTGTATCATCCTTTTTATATGAGACCATTGGTGAATAGAATGGGACAAGTTGGCATATATTGTTTTCAATAAAGAAAAAAAATGCAATGTGCGCGCACTTCGAATTCATTGTTTTCTTTGGGGAAGGAGGAGAAGAGAGATATGATGGAAGGACTCAAAGCAGAACCTTCGACAGCTATGAGTGGTTCGTTAGAACCTAGTGATGAAAGCAAACTACAAATTACAGTACGTGACGGAGAAGGTAAGCAACGGTATTAGTACTTGCGCTTTCCGTGAAGTTTTGTCGTCACTAGGTGGACAGATGACCTTTCGAGTAAGAAAGAGCACGAAATTGAAAAAGTTGATGTCCAACTACTGTGAAAAACAAGGTGTTGCATATGGTACATACCGTTTTACGTTGGATGGTAAACGTATCAACGAAAACGATACAGCAGAAACCCTGCAAATGGAAGACGGTGACTGTATTGACGCCTTTTTATATCAACAAGGAGGAGCGAGATGTGAGAGTGAATAAAGTTGTGCTCAACAGTATGTATTTTTTATAGTGTTATGATAAACTGCTCTTTGGATTTTATGAACGCACGAGGTCTTCTAGAAAATACAACAAGTGACGCAATTGCAACGTTTCTCCTTCTGTAAAGTTACCCCAGTCACTTAATAACGATGAATATTTGGATGAAAGAAACCACACCAATCTGTCACCATCCAGTATGGTATTGGACTCGACAGGCCATCGAAAGAACTGGTCTATCACTCGTTGCAGTTTCCATAAGAGTTTAGCATATCCATTACGAATAAACACCAACTGTGACCATGTACCGTCCATGCTTGTAACCATCAGCTGATAAGAACAAGCAAGTATTGACGAAACAGCAAGTCCCGTATCCCACTGGTGGTTGGTGGTTAAAAAGGAGAGGTGAATCGGTATTTCATTCCAAGGAATAGAACATAAGCAAGTCATCAACGAAACGTTGTGACTAGATGAAAGGGAATCATCCCATTCGCTGGCAGTATTCCATGCTTTGGAAAAAGGACACCATAACACATGAAGCATTGCTTGTCTATCTCCAACAAATACCAACTGACCGTGATCATGAAAGGGTTGGGTTGCGAGACTCACCACCAATTTTCGATATTCGTCTTGACAAACTGGAACAATTTCACGATTGGATGTATGAATGCAATAGATATGGACCGAGTCCTTGCGATCTCCAACAAAAATAAATGGATGTTCCACATCAATCACTAGAATCAGTCCCCTGGTTTCTCCTCTAGCAATTTCTATGAGAGTTTGTTCCTGAGGGTCCATAGCAAATGCTAACAAGTGCTAAGAAGAGACTTTTCATCCACTGGATTGGTGCAATCGTCTTCATAACTTACCTCATTACAAGATACCAGCAAGGTTTCTTCATCCAACGGAGTAACTACCATCACTGCCCCTGGTAATAGGAATTCACAATTAACCATAAAACGACAAGATACCTACTAAAAGTTGATCATAACTTGCATTGAAAACAAACAAGACTTACTTCATCGTGTTTTGTTCGAACCAGTTGTAAAAGAACCACTCGTCCTTTGGTGTTGGGTACTCTTATGTCGCTATAAAGAACGGATTCCTCTGTTGCACCTATCAAAAGAAATTGTTTCCAAACACAAATGCTGGTTACTGCCGTATGAGAAGGTAATACTAGATGTGCAAGCATTGCTTTCATGTCAAGAGTCCAAGCTTGCACTTCATAAGAAGAATGAAAGCTGGTTCTAGTCGCCTTCCTAACTACCAAGATATTCACATCCGTTTCTCGAAAGAAACCATCTGCACTAGTAATGAAATATTTCTGCACTTTCAATGTCATTTGCGAGGTATGATAAATCTTGGAGTACCAAATATCTGAAGGACGATCGGAAAGAGGAACTTGCAATAATGCCAACTTTTTTGAAATAGATAAGAATAACGTAGGATATTCGGACCAACCATGAAAAGGGCATGAAATACAAGCACCACTTGGTAACTCTCCATCAAAGATATGATCCCAGTAAAGCATTCGAAAGTAAAATCTTTCATTTCTTTCACTAACCCACCACAGCAAATTGCCAGAAACTCCCAACAACATGGATGTATGTTTGTCATCTTTGGACCATAAAAACAACTAAAGAATCCAATAAGAAGACAAAAGAAACAAAACACAAATACTTGCCTGTAAAGGTGCTGTTCCAAGGGATTTTCCATAGCAGATTTGGAGATTGGATTGATGCAACGTTAGGATCCAAAGGTACCCATCCCTGGTTCCAACATAAATGCGCTCATCTCTACATATCAATGACTCTACACGAGTTGTTATCATATTTGGCAAATTCACTTGAGACGAAAGGCTTTTAGGAAGCTCTAAAATGAGATTATCTAACGAAAATCGGAATAACAGGTCCCCAGTCGTCAGGCTGTAAAGTTCCAAAGTTCCTTCATACGTCCCTATACAGATTCTAGGATCTTCCATTGTCCATTGTAGACAGAAATATGATATCTGACAAGAGAGAGATAAAACATGAACCACTTCAATTGTCTGAGAAGACGCAAATATTTGTAAAAGATATATTTGATAGTGCTGTTGACTCCATTGAATAGCTACCATGTTCTTTTCGCTTGTCGCTTGAAGAATCTCCAACTGTGGTAGAGGATTCCAATCTACAATTTCCCTATTCAATTGTGAAACTGAACTCTCATCTTTTACTAGTGAGAGTCTTATTCCACCTTTATGGACTTGAAGATAGTTTTCGCCCTCGAAACAACTACAGTATACAGTTGACTGCATCGTTTCAAAGAAGATTTGATTATTCTCTAGAAAACAGTTTTCATTTGCATCATACTGTAATACGCGGGTAGAATGAAGAAAAGAAATAACTACTAGCGAATCATAAAAGTCACCTGCATTGCAAGGTAAACATAATATCTTGATACATTCCTCTTCCCATTTTTCCTCATGATGAGATAATGACTGTAGTGGAATATGTTTGTATAGTTCCCAAATACCTGAATATGCATCCATTCCAAACGTGGAAGTAAATAAAGGAGAAATATTTCTGTTGTTGTCTTGTTTCATCGAATTTTTTGATACATACAGCACTGGAGAGTGAAATGGAATCTCACTTAGCTTCTCACAACGAAAAGAAACATTTCCTTGCTCTTCTCCATCCCTCTTCAAATGAAAAGACAATAAACCACGAGTAGAAGATACTGCATAAAAATAGACACCATGCAAGCCATCTTCTTCACATCCACTTCTGTTATAAGCCAATACAATATCCTTGTTTGGAATCTCTTCTGCAACGAGTATAGATGTTGCTTGCGCTTCAAGGGAACCTAATTTCAAACCTATCAAACTGCCGTCATCGAAAAAAGCAAAATATCTTATTCCTATCCATAAGATGTATGATGAATGATAGAAACGTAGTAAAATTCAAAAACCAACCTTGGCGAGCTATACAAGAACAACTCGAAGCAAATGCAATACATCTTGTTTGCTGGATTCCATCTTGTGGAAGTTTTGTACGTATGATTTCACAATTGGCTTTAAAGTTTTCTCGAAATAATTGCTTATCTTCAACTTCATCATAAGTTGTATCAAGAAGTTGTTGAAACCATGAAGCATCCAAGGATATCAATAGTACATTGTTTTCACCAAAAACTGCTAGTTTCTTCTCTCTTTGAAGTAGACTTAACCTATTCCAGAGCATAAGCTCACTTCTCAAGGATACAGTTTCTCTGGTAAAATGATGAAGCGGAACTTCACATTTAAATACCACACTATGTTCATAAGTATCAAAGTTATAAAAATAGATATACTGTCTCCTCTTTACACAGTCTACAAGTAAAATGGCAAGCACTTGAGTTCTCACGTCTGTTTGCATTTCATCTTCTACACAAAACATGACATGCTGAATAAGTTTGTTTGTCAAGATAACCGTATTCACTCCAAATATATTTTGCGAAATTGTTTCGCACGACGGAAATAACAAAGAACCCAACTGAAAAGTCTCTTCAGCTTGTACAAGGAAGTCACGATAAATACAGAAATGGGTTTCACCTAGAGAACCAAAGAAAACGAAATAACTACAATAAATGCGTTTAGTGTACATAAAGATGCTAGCTTTAAAACGTATTTACCCATATGGGTCTACACATAAATGAGTTCCTAGTAAATCCTTCACAGGCAGCTGAAATTTCAGCAATCGATGAGGATTAAGAACTTGAGTCTTGCAAGAGTATTCTAGAACTAGTAAGTTATTTTCTTCACACGAGACTAGCAAAGCAAAAGAGTTCTTCCAGCTTGGTACTGATAGGGTGGCGGCATTTTGTGTCTGAAAGGGAACGAAAAAGGTGTCTAGCGTTACCCATTCGTGACTAAGATATTTGAATTGAACAACATCTACGGAATTAGTACAAACGAGGAATAGAATATCTGAATCAGTTACTTCTGCTCCATAGTCCTTATGAACGAAACCTGTTGGAGTACCTACTAACTTAACGGGCACTCTTCCACGAAGAAGCGTCCTCTTGTAGACACAAAACTCTAAATTGGGTTCCTCTGCAGTATTCGAAGGGACTTTCAACATAACTATCTTATAAGGTATGTCTGAGGAGCATGTGAACTCGCGATCACTTGCATTTGAGGCTTTCTTTTCTTTTGATTTGGGTCAAAAGTGTAATGTCTTCGGCAGAAGATGTCTCTTCAAATAAGGCACCAACAGGTACAGCGAATAGCGACACGGATATAGTAAATATTGTTATAAAAAGGCCTCGTGAAGACAATGACGGAAATTACTTTGAATGTACTGTGCCAAAACGCTCAACTGTAGGGGAGTTGAAAGAATTGTTGCAACAGAAACATCCTTCTCACCCTTCACTACAAAATCAACAACTCATATATGGAGGAAGAATATTAGGGGACCCTGAACCAATTGAATGTATAATATCAAGCTCTTTGTACCAAGTGCCCGAGGCCACGAAACCAGTGTTGTATCTTGTAGTTCGAGGGGAAGGATCTGCCAGAACGGAAGCTGCTTCTAGCTCTCCTTCTGCAATTCCTGAGAACCATGTTGCACGAGCCGATAGGGTTCCTTCTTCAATGGAGTCTGACTTGACGGAAGCACGGAGCCTTGGCCAAAGCAACCCCCAGTCTACCCAGCAGACGTCATCTTCGACGGGAAATGCCGTTTCAGAAACTTTGGAACTTCAACAAATGTTGCAGAGATACTTTTCACAGTTGGAGGTTTCTCTAAGGGATTGGTCGCGACAATTGGAACAACTTGCAAATATTTCAGGTACTATCGCAAGGGGAAGTTCACCCAGTGAATACAGTGCCTTCAGAAGTGATAGTAGTGCTGGGTTTTATCAGTCAAACATAAACAGTGCTGTACAACGTGAAGAAAATATTACCGGTTCTCAACAACAGGTAAATTCTCATGGAATCGATAGGAATCCTCCTCAAGAAGCAAGAAGACAAGAACAAGGTAGACAACAACCAGAAGTTGCCGCTCCAGTTTTTCAACGGGGATTTGTATTACAGTTCCAAGTTGATTGGCAGTTGTTGATAAAGCTGTTCTTCCTTGTACTTCTATTGGGACAGGATGGAGATCCATTCCGTTTCTACGTTCTCCTATGTTTTGCAGCATTGGTTTACTTGTATCAGACGGGAGCGCTTTCTGGAATACTAGCAAGAATAAGCAATCTACTCAACACCTCTTCCATAAGCAGGCCGTCAAACGTTTCGCGAAGTTCCCATCAGATGGAAGGTCTGCCCGAAAGGAGAACTTCGAGATTTCGTCAGACTATTCGCAATGTTTACCTAAAGATATACGTTTTTCTTTATAGTTTCATTTGTTCGTTATTTCCTGCTTGGCAACCAGATGCCGCAGAGCGTCCACCTCAACATGAAGATTAACTTGAAGATTACAGGAATATAGTTTCTGTTCTGGAGAGTACTTGATACAAATAATGTGAATCTTTGCTAGTAAGCAGACAACTGTAGAGTCCAAAGAATGAATTGCCAGTATTGTTGTAGCGAATATTTTGAGTCCATTTGTGGAAAGAGGGAGATGGTGGCATAGATTATACTGATGATTTCTCTGGTCCCAATTTACTATTAAAATGTTTTATAATAGTATTGAACAAACTCTTTGTTCACTCTTTCGACAAACTTAACTGAGACCATTCAGATAATTGCCAAAAAGGTTTTCGGGAATGAAACTCTTAGAATTGTGTTGTATGTAAAATACGGAAGTAAAAAAAGAGTATTGACTACAACCGGGGAACAAGGTCCTCATAGTGAAAAATAGCAGACGGCAAATAAGTTCTCGATAGATAAGAGTGTCCGAGCGAATAGATTGCTTGCAGTTCAACCTTACCATTCTGCATCGCATTCAATTCTTGCTCTAGTACTGCTAAATTTCGTCCAGCTTTGGTTTGTAGTTGATTGCGCAACTTTGTGAGAAGAACTCGATCTCGCCTTGTTAAAGGCTTTCGAAACTTATCCCAAAGATTCAACTGCGACAACTGAGAGAAGTGTAAACCTAACCAGTAGATATGCAATGGCGTGCTTTCTCTCCAGGAGGAGCACGAAAGTTGGTTATCAAGATCAGACGCCTCCTTCGCAAGAGAACTTCTAAAGAAAATTGTTGAAACAAAATTATCAATTTGTATAGCTGATGGAGCAGATAACGTTACCTGTATGTTTGTAAAAGTGCCAAACCGTGGGGGTTATAGTCCACAAGACCAAGACAAGGTAGTCTAAGCTCTCTCGCTATTCTTTGAAACAAGAATTTTGTGGCAATGCTAGGATATCCGAGTCCGCAGATGAGAATGGAAGGCAAATGGTGGACAAATCTATCTTCTAATAGCCTCTTGAAGATCCCATGTTTCTCTATCACTTGGCAATGTTCTTGAGACAAATATGTTAATGAGTTGAAACAGCTTCCTACCAACAATGTATTGAGCTCCGAGATTTTCGAATTTGAATTGGTTCAAGTACTCTGTACTGCCTGGTATACACCAACCATCCTGACAAAGACATGTTTGTTAACAGTTCAAAGATGGCATTAGCTTCTTACTGGAAATTCCCTGAGACAGTCTATAGCATTAGATGAGGAATTGTGGTGGACAAGGGCAATAGCGCCACTTAGAAATCCTTTGCTATTTGGAAAAATATGCAACTCATTACGGCTGCTACCTAACAGACCACTAATCTTACGAATAGTTGTGTCCACTTGTATTTGGGAAGGAAACAAATAGGAACTGTGTTTAGTCAAGCTGTAACTTTTGTTTGTAACGCTATATTCCATCTTAAGATGGCGCATTTCATAAAAAAGCGCGCGTTGATTAGCATAAGAACCTTGGACTAAAAGTGCATGTATCTTATCCATGAGTATGAATACACGACAAAGTACTACACTGTTATAAAGCTTCATTTCCTCTGTGATGACAAATTTTCCTTTCACTAGTTTTTGCAAAATGTAAAATATCCACTTTTCTATTTTACACACGGTAGTGTTTTCTTTCATAAGTCGAAATCCTCAAATCATTTTTTGGATTTTAATTTTGCCATTTCAAGTCTTGTTCCACGATGGAAGATTTATGGTTGCAGTCCACACCACCCAAACAGAAACTCTCTCCAAAGTCCAAATCAAGTATAAGGAAGTTGCAGAAAGAAGCAATCACACATATGCTTCAATTGTCGTACGGAGAGGACAACAGTTTGGCTCTTGGAGATAGCAAACACGAAGAACAGAACTTGTGGAAGATTTTGGTTTATGACTCTTACGGACGTGACATAATTGCGCCTTTACTGAGGGTATCCGAACTAAGAAGTTTAGGGGTTACCCTGCACTTGTTACTTTCCTCTGAAAGGCAACCAATCCCTGAAGTACCTGCTGTTTATCTAGTTTCACCTACGGAACAGAACATAAGTCGTATTTGTGAAGACTTGGAAGAGAAAATGTATGAACAATGTTATTTAAACTTCACCTCATCCTTGAGTCGAAATTTACTAGAGAGAATAGCAGAAAGCGCAGTGAGAGCTAGTGCAGTGCCACACGTCGCCAAGGTCTATGATATGTATACCAGCTTTGTCTCGTTAGAAGATGATCTATTTGAGTTAGAGATTAAGGACTGCTACTATACTATTCATCAACCTTCTGTTTCAAACGTAAAAGTGGAACAAACTATTGATGCCATCGTATCTGGGCTATTTTCAGTCTTTGTGACTCTCGCTTCGTTCCCAGTGATTCGAGCACAGAAAGGGGGACCTGCCGAAATGGTTGCGCATAAGCTTGACGATCTACTTCGTGATCACCTAACAGCAAGAAGTAGCCTTTTTGTTGGAAAGAAGGGAGGTCTTGGTTCTCACTTTCAGAGGCCCTTGCTCATTCTTATGGATCGAGATATTGAACTCCATGTTATGTTTCATCATAGCTGGACTTATCAAGCTCTCATGCACGATTGTCTTCAACTTCATCTCAATCGGGTTATTGTTAAGGAAACGAGTTCAGCCGGTTCTTCAACAACGAGCAAAACGTATGATTTGGATCCCGAAGATGAATTTTTGATTGAAAATGCCGGAGTTCCTTTTCCTCAAGTTGCAGAAAATGTGGAAAAAGCATTGGAATCATATAAGCAGGAAATCAACGAAATTAACCGTAAGACTGGTTCTGTTGGAGAAGAGCTACTAAATGAAGAGTCGGACAATGTTCTGGAAGCCAAGGCTGCAGCGCTTGTTTCTGTACAAAATTCTTCACATGATTCCTCTAATGACCTCGCATCCTCTGTGGCTAAAATCCCGGTTTTGATGAAAAAGAAACGAACGATAGATTTACACACAAGTATTGCTAGTGCCTTGTTGGACTGTATTAAGGAGAGGTCACTTGATGCCTTCTTTCAACTGGAAGATGCTCTGATGAGTAAGCCCTCCCTGTCACATGAACAGCGTCAATCTGTATATAATCTAGTGAAGGACGTGCGAGGAAGTAAGGAGGATAAAATACGTCTAGTATTAATTTATTATTTGTTTCGTGAGAACATTTCGTCGGAAGAAATAAGAGAATTGAAAGAACTTCTTACTGGAGCGTCATGTAGTATTTCGCCTATTACGTATTTGGAACAGTTGAGGAAAATGAACAAAGTCACGTCTACGTCACTTTTAAACTTGAAGCGAATGAGCTCAGGTTCAAACTCTACAGTTCCCTTTCATTTTGAAAGCATTATGTCGAGAGTAGTTGAACAAGGTTACAAAGGTTTGACGCAAGTTGCAGAGTCGTTGAAGAAACTGATTCCCTCGAATAAAGCCTTTATGATCGCACGCATAGTTGAGTCCCTAATGGAGAATAACAAGACTTCGGAGAGTGAGAGTTTTAACTTTTTGTTTCTTGATCCGAAAGTTCGTAAGGGAAAGGTCGTTGAAAGTCAGAAGATATCAACTCCCTTTCAAGACGCCATCGTTTTTGTTGTTGGGGGTGGCAATTACGTAGAGTATCAAAATCTAAAGGATCACTCACGGAAAGACAAGCATATTATTTATGGAAGTACGGATATGGTATCGTCCAATGAGTTTCTGCATCAATTGTCTAGACTAGGTGATGACCATTTGAATTCCTGAACAAGTTTCTGCAATGTCAGCAATAATGGGATTGGAGTATGTGAATATATAGAGAATTCAGTTTTGCTCTATTTCAAAGAGTCGACAACACACTGTGTCAAACAAAGTACACCAGAGGAAGGATATTTTCCTGATTTCATCTGAAATGTTTTGGCATTTTGAAATGCTTTCGACATAAAATAAATTGCCAAAGTATTTAGCTGAATGCGATATTAGTTGGTTTGGAAACGAGGAAATAATATCAATCTTTCTAATCCAAGCAAGGTTAAATAATATGGCAGTCGCACTTGGGAATATTTTGTCCAAAGTCAATTGGATATCATTTTGGTTAATGTTGGCTTTTTGGATTGCCATTCAATGCGTTTTATGGATATGTTCGAGTCATAAGTCATGAAAACGCATTCATTTGAGAAGCAGTCAACTGTTTTCATTTTTTCCAATTGGTCAGTTTCTTCTAACAATTGATGCTTTGGCCCTTAACGGAACGAGTTGAAAGCTTCTCCTGAAAAGCTTGTAATAAATTGGACCCGTTTGTTAAATGAACAGTTAGATGGCGCTATTCCGTGGAAAGCGGCGATAGGATAAAATCATAGATGCGATAATTTGCTATTTTGGAATTTGAAATTCAAATAGCAGCAGAGAAGATGGTGCTTACCAGAAGCTCCAGTAAAAAAGCTCCAGCCGAGAATGAGGAAAAGCAAGAATACATTGGTAAGTGTTTCTGTCCAGAGCTCTGCTAATTGATGGTTTATTACAAGCTACAATAGAAACTCCTGTTCGCAAGCTCAGTAGGGAACTGGCTTCTTTAGGAATTCGAGCCCCTCCCGGTACTCCCTGTCAACAGTCTTCTCCAGATCTCGCAAACTCTCAAGTACAAAAGGATGAATCACACAAGGATCAAATAGCAAAAAGATATGAAGGAAGTGAAAGGACGCAACTCTTTTGTTCACTTAATGAAGAGAATAATCCACAGTTGTGTACAACAACACTGGCTAATAGAGCAGCGCCAGAGAACTTGAATAATAATGATGCCTTGTTTCAATTTGAAGAAATCAGCGTGAAGTTAACTCCCAACACTCAGGAACCCGAGTCGTCTATTGAAAAAGATGATGTCGCACGTAGCACCGAGCTGAAAGATGATGATAGGAAGTCATTGCAAACAGCAGAAAAACAATCACAAGATTCTTACAGTATGTTTTCAACACCTGTCAGTCAAACAGCTGAAGCCTCATTTCAACTGTTGGGTAATGATGCTTCCAACGAGTGGTGTGGAGAACATGTTCGTTTTTCTATACTTGGAAAGAGCAAAGTAAAGGTATACCATCAGCCTACACTAAAGACAACTTCGCCAGATGAAAACATTGAACCACAACAATTAGAGGAAAATGAGTCCATAATAGAAGAAGACATTCTGGAAGTTGCAATCCCAGAACCTCAAAAGCTGGATTTTGATATCCATTCAGAACCTATCAAGTCTGCCGATAACCAAAAGCATTCTTCTCCAGAAAGCGAAACCTCTTATTCTCTATCATCTAATGAGACCAAGGGAGATGATTTACGAAATCAGGTAGTCATATCAACGGAACCTACAGAAAGTGACCCTGGAGCAGTCCTTCGGTCGAATAATAGATTTGAAAAAAAGGAAAGTAGTGAAACTTCAAAGAAGAAATGGCACAATGGTCAAAGAAAGTGTTGGGTCGAAAATTCCCATTTTTGCAGACACACTCAGAGCTCTGCTATGAAGGACAAGAAATTCGAAACAAATTTACAGAGAAATAATGAAAATATTGATAAGAGTGGAAATTCGATACATTGGAAAGGCCAACATATTCGGTTTGAGGATAGTCCTGGTGAGTAATTATAGCTTCATTACATTTTCTGATAGCTTAATATGTTTCAAAGATATTATTGAGGAGAAAATGAAAGGCCTTCATATCAGTAATGCTAGATTCATGAGACCTACTATATCTACCTCGGCAAAAAAGTCTGAACACCGACAACACAAACAAGAATTTGCCAGTAAATATCTTTGGAAGTTTTAACAAATGTCGTTTTTTCTGATCGATTTTGAATAATAAAAGCCCGTTTGATGGTCAACGCTTTCAAGTCTCTTGAATGTCCTTCTTTACATTGTTCTTGACGGCACTTGTTTATTTCTATCTTTCTTTTCAGTTTGGTACCTGGTTTTTGACGTGTGTAGTATTTCGTGGTTCAGAGCGTTTACAGTACGTTTGTACAGTGAGACTTCAAGTGATGTTTATTTTAAAAAACTCTTTCAGGAAAAGTAGTGTTTTGTTTTTTGGTTTTGTCTTCGCAATAAGTTGCTTCTCTGCCTTTCTACTACTTTGTGATATTGCTGGACTATTATCAAAAAGTGTTGGCTCTTTAGGTTGGTTGGTCGTGGTTAGTAGTGTTACGATGTTGGTGTTGGTTGTTGCTCCCTTTGTCCAAATTTATTGCTTGTTAGGGAGGCTTTTGAGTGCCTATTGGAAGTTGTTGTTTTCCTTGGTATTGGAAGCTTGCTACATTATTGCTACCTTGACAACTTCTTTCTATGTGTTACCTGACAAAACCAGTGATAACTACTCCTTTTCATTTTATTTTCAAGCTATGACCAATTTAGTAGCTTTTACTGGCACCCTTGTTTTGGGTTTACTTTCTGGTTCTTGTGCAATTAGTGGTGCATTTGAATACTGGAGAAAATGGACCAGGAAAGTTTCCGAAGAAGAAGTAATTGAAATCGAAAATAAACTATTCAATGTATATCAAAATATTGCAAGGAAAAAGGAGTCGATTGCGTTGCTGGATTATGAAGAGAAAGTAAGGCAGTGTGAAGAAGAAACCAGTTTTACAAAAAATGCGTTGGAATCTTCTGGTGGTCAATCTCGATTACGTTCTCTTAGCCGCAAGTTATTGGCAGGGTTAGAATCGTGGTCGACGAATGCTGCAAAGCAAAGAGTTGGTCTACTTGCAGAGTGCAAAGCAATGGAAGAATTAGCTCGTCGTTTGTTTATGGAGTGGAGTGAGAAATGTGAATTATGGGAGTTTGGGCAACGCAAGTCATATCGCAAAATGTACAATGCATTTGGCTTTGTGATGATGTGTTTATGCGTGAGTCGCATATGTGGCTCAACTAAGAATCTCTTGTACGGTTTGCAAAATGATGCCGAGGTACGAAAACTACTTTTATAAATTGTAGACATTGACTCATATCTTGAAAGGATTCAGTGACGATGCTGATGAACGTGATACTAAAGTTTTTTCGTTGGAAAGTCAATTTAGCTTTGTTGTCGCAATATATGACGTTTATATTTGCTAGCTGTCTCATTTTCTCCAATTTTCGTCTTGCTCTATTACAAACAGAAAGATTCTTCTGTTGGGTTTCGAAAGAGCCGATATGGCGTAAAACACAAGTAAGCGATATTTTGTGATTGAAAAGCTGAACTAGACGTTTTTTCATAAGGTGACCTTGTGGCTATCACAATCAATAGCAGTTTATTTACTGTCTTCGATGCTGTTGATTGGACAAAGCTTGCCAACAGAATACAAGCTTGCCACTGGAGAAATGTTGTTTACATTTCATCAAAATTGGTTCGATCGAACATTTTTATTCAGTTGTCTAGTCACGTTGTTGATCATGTTCTTTGCCTCCAAATTTTCCTCAAGTATTACTGACTAATTTGATATTCTTATTCGATTGACTTCATACAAGTAATGATGAAAAAGAAACGAGACTCGGTTAAAATTTTTCATCTATTTACATAAGATGTCCAACGAATTATGATGCGCAACTACTTCCAGAATCAATAGGTGGCTGACTTTGTTTGCCGTTGGCATTCTTCAAGGCCTTCGAATTTTGATAATTTTTCACGTCTGTGTTATTATTTGTACTAGAAGAGTGTTTGCTATTTCCATGGGCATCCAGAGACAATGAGACCCCAACTGCTTCTTGGAATGCTTCAAATAGATCATCATCTTGCGAATCAGTCTCTTTCTTATGTCTCGTTTGTTCATTGCTATCAACAGGATGGGTAAACTCTTTGGCACCATTGGGTAGCGATGAACCGATGACGGACTTACTTACAACTAACGCCTTCTCTGGAATTTTCTCTTTTAGAATGTCTTCCAAATAATGAACTCTTTTTTCTAATTTCTCTCTTGCACTTTTTTCCAGAGATAAGGACGCACGTGTCTCCGATAATAAAAGTTGCGTCCAAAAATCAAAAGTTTCCGAAATCTCTTCAACACGACCATTATTGGCTTGTTGCATGCGATGCAATTCTTCTTTGAGATATTCGACTTCTTTCTGCAACTGTTCCAACCTAGTCCTCATGCCTTCCAGTTTTGTTTCTACTGAACCACGAATAATCATGTTGTTCTCATCTGTATCATTTATCCTGGACTGGTTCGCTTCTCTTTTTGAAAACTTGGAAAGAAAACTAATGTTGGGTTTCTTCTCTTTCATTCCTTCTATAAGTGGAATATGGTTGACAACGGTCGGACCCAAAAAACCTTTTGACTGGTTGGTCTTAAAAAGCACTTGTGAATAAACCTTCGCAAACAAAAGTATCGCCATGGAGCTTGCAATTGGATTGCCTACTTGTTCCTCCAACACGGAACCGCTGTTATCAACTGTTCTTGAACAATACGGCATGAACATGAGTGGACCAATAACTAACTCCACTCCAACGTTTCCATCTTCGATATTGGAATTGTTTCTATATCTTTCAGCAAGAGAGTTGAGGGTAGAGTCTACATATCCAGCAGATTCGGAACGTACTACTGCGCCAGCCACAGTTCTCAAAATAGTAAGAGCTTCCACTTCCAGCTTCGTAACACATGAGAAAAGTTTTGCTCTGGCACCGTCACTATAGTTCTTCTCATAAAAAGTGATAGCAGCATCGACCAACTCTCCCCGGGTGGAAGCAGGCACTATTCGTTTCCACCTTTCCTTCAACCACATAGCCAAAGCTCCCAACACATCCCACTCATCATAAAGAGACAAGTCTACTTGTGCACGCTTTCCTTCCTCTTCTTCACAAAGTAGGCCATAGAGACGTGCACTTGACTCACTTATCACCCACTCTCTCTCCTCGTCCACTTGAGAAGGAACTACTTCCTTTCCCCAAAACGGACTATCATTCGTTTCTATTAGCAGGTTAGAAGGTTCTTTTTGGTCAACAGACGTGTTCTGCTGTCTATTTGAAAGTTCCTGGTTCCACCAACCTGCCAGTTGTGCTGACGTTATGAAAGTGGAACCTGCAGCATCCAACACAGCAATAGCCCTCTCAACCCAACGAAGTGTAAACGAATGGGAAGTCCTCAATGTCATACCTAAGAAACAGACAAAGGTTATGTTCTCCGTGGAAACTCAAAGAGTCCGCGCTATGAGAACATTAAGATACATGCATCTCAATTATCCCACCAAATTGATTATCCAATGTCATCATTTCCTACTCAAGAAATTTTTTTATTTAAGCTCTTTAAGGAAAATTCAACTTCTTCGATGATATTCTCGTTTCCGTTCTAAACTTTTAGCAGTATTCGGTTCCAAAAGAGGTGGAATCACGCTACATAGTTCAAATAAAAGGTGGCTTAGACTCTTCGACGACTCCATCGATCTATTTGCTTCTCGTACAAATCTCTCTGCTATATCATTCTTCAAATCAAACACAGCCATTTTCGTATCAGCACAAATTGATACAAGTCCAACTCTGCTCTCAAAACCTTTGTCCTCCAACAAACGTGAAACGATACGGACAATATAACTTACAGTTAAGACTGTTTTGGATTTGACGAGTATGGGACACATATTCTCCTCACCGCTTAATATACTCACCTGCGGCATATTCAGCTGACCCATTGCCACAGCTAACAGCGAAGCCAGAACAAAAGGAAACTGTTTTTCTCTTTCTTCTCCTTCAATATGTAAGCTTTCGATATATTCCTTTACAACGGGTATAAGTGGCTCAACCCATTTTCCTTCAACGGCTTTACTAATAGTCAGCTAAAGCATCAAAAGTATAGTTTTTTTACTTGCCTTGAGATGCACGTAAAAAACCATTGGCCTTCGTTTCTATCACTTGTTGTATAGATGGTGGGCTTTCTAAACGAAAACGGATCTTACAAACATTCTCCATTAGAGTAAGCTTATTTCGTTCTTCGTCCGTGTACAAAATAATACAAGTTCCTTGCCTTCCCGCTCGACCGGTACGACCAGCACGGTGAATGTACATATCAATATCCTCCGGAACACGATACTGTATTACCAAATCCACTCCATTAATATCTAAACCCCGAGCTGCTACATCTGTTGCAATTAAAACTTGAAATGAACCTTCTCTGAACTTGGAAAGAGTGATTTCTCGTTGCTTTTGAGTTATATCTCCATGTAAAGCTTGTGCTGCACCGTTGTGGATTCGGCCACTAGAAACCAAGGAGTCTACTTCTGCCTTCGTTCTTGCAAATACTATGCAGCGAAAATTGGTCATTTCTGCACTGTACACACTTATCACAGACTCAAGTATTAGCTTTCTAGAAAGCTCAGTTGGAGGAACACGAAGAGCAATATGCTCAACAGTAGTTGACGTCTTAGTGTCTTTGTTTCCAATCGCGTCTACTATGATAGGATTATTTTTATTCGATTTGGCAAGTTCCTGGACCCATGGTGGTATAGTTGCTGAAAACAAAAGTGTTTGTCTCTCTCGAGTTGGTGGCAAGTAGGTCGAAATCTTGTCAATATCTTCAGCAAAACCCATTGAGAGCATTTCATCTGCTTCGTCCAAAACAAAAAACTTAACTTTCAGTAAATCAACGCTTCCTCTCTCTAAAAGATCAATGAGTCGTCCTGGAGTGGCTACTAAAATATCGATTCCTCTTTTAATAGCACGTTGCTGAACTTCATAAGATGATCCTCCAAAAAAACAACTGGTGCGAAAACGAAAACATTTTGCAAAGGCCGAAAATTCTTGTTCCACTTGCTTCGCTAACTCCCTGGTAGGAGCTAAAACCAAGCACTGAATTTCCGAGACTCGATCAATATTGTGAGTTTCAAGTTGCTCCACCAACTTCTGCATAATAGGGAGCACAAACGCAAGGGTCTTCCCTGTTCCAGTACGACTTCTTCCAATTATATCCCGGCCACTGTATATAAGTTCAAAAGTGGCAGACTGAATAGGCGTCGCGTCTCGCAAACCCCGTTCCTCCAATATCTCTAAAATTTTCTTCGACAACTGAAAACTTGTAAACGGAACAGGAGTTTCGTTGGCTTCAACGACTTGAAGGCTAGCTGGTTTCTTTGAAACTCTTGTATTGTTAGAATGAAGCTTAGCCGAAGTAGAATTCGCTGAGATTTTTCTAGAGCTACCCCGCGAACGCGTTACAGTTGGGTCAAAGAAACTTGTTGAGGCTCTCGTTTCCTTCACTGACCGACTACTTGACGGATGACTTTCTCGAAACACACCATCTGTGACACTTGAACGTAAAAACTCGTCTTCTGCTCCACTCAACCTCTTGGATTCAGTGAAAAGTTGTTTTCGGAGGTGAATATTTGGACAGTCGCGACTGAAATGTGGGTGAAATATCTTGCAAGGATTATCAGTTGCCTCAAGTCCTTTGATGAAGTCCTTATGCCCATTGAAACTACTACTTTTAGCAGATAAGAGTATTTCGAATTGCTTTTCAAAGCTTATACTTTTCCTATCCCTGGAGTAATAGTATCTACTACAAAAGGTACAACAGTTTGCAAATCTCCCAACGCCGATGAATGCATCACCACCACCAACCATTGTCTCTTCCCTGGACAAATTGTGAAAGTCCATTCTTTTCAACGACCACAGGAATGAGAGAGGCGTTATTGGTTACTTAATTGAGGTACAAGCTTTCCTAAAAATGTTGACTCGTCTCCTATCCAATTCTGTTCTTCCGATATAAAAGTAACCGATGTTGACTTGCAGTAACACAAGAGCAATGGAAGTCCTTCGTTTTGGTTCCAAACTCGCACAACACTACACTTTCAGCTAGCTTTTCAGGGACGTATTGGCCTCTGTAAACTCTCATCCTCCGTTGTAATAAAATCCTGAAAGTCGGGTTTTGAGTCATCAGGTACTATTTCGTACGCTGTCTTTTGTCGCAACACTACTAAAGACTTGTCGTGTTGTGATACTCGTCCTTCTACTAGTGCCTCAAAACTGTCTTGTACGGTCAAACTTTTGTCACACCTTTTGTTGAAATACGGGTGACGATAGACAGAGGAGGCATTAGTTTCCTTTTTAAAACTTGGATAGTTTTCAAGGGACGGCTTTAGAGGAGTATTCACCATACCGGGTTGGTCCGACATGAGGGCGCCAAACTCAAAAACTCTAAAATCTGATATATTTTTGAGTGACCATTTTGAACAACTTCTTTTAGCGAATTTTTGCGTCTCGCTTGTCCCAACTCATTATTTTTTAACCAGAAAGCTACGAGTCTAGGATTTCGCAAAATGATTGAATACTTGAGGAAAAATTTGAACACAAAAAATTGCTTCCTTTACAAACATTTATTCCAAAGGAATATCTTGGTCCTCTTCCCAAAAAGCTTTCTCCATTCCGACAAAGCTAGGATCATCAGAGAGTCTATCCAATATATCCAAAGTTCTCATTGTTTCTCCTAGTTGCGACTCCTCAAAACTTAGTTCTGGAATATATCTTATCTCTCGAATCCGCTGAGATAACTCGTATTTTATGGACTTGCGTTCTTCTTGCAACCACTGATAGGTGGCTGTTCTCTGGGTATCACTGCCAGTAACACTTATGAAAGCCTTCGCATTTCTAAGGTCAGGGCTTACATCTACTCGAACTACAGAAATCAGACCAAAGTTTTGTTCACTGACTGCAAATAAAGTTACTTGAGCAAGCTGCCTTTTCTCAAAAGAACTTACGTATTCTGTTTTCTTGAAGCGCATATCTTTGCAATATGTCAGCTAGTTCCCTCTTTAACAGGGAGCTGATGCGAAACGGACGACGTACAGTACGAGGTCGAGCGTCCTTCTTGTATCGACAAATTAAACTTGAAGCTCCCTTATCACGGAGACACACGTTTCGTACATGGTAATATCTCTTTGTTAGCTGTTTCTCAACTTTCTGACGGGCACAAGGACAGTTGATAAAAGGAAACGTAATCCAAGAAAATTGCATTTGACAAAATAGAAAGTAATGAGAAAGAATAAATAGCTGAGCAATTTGTAAGGTGATGGTACCAGAAAAAAATATGAAACTATTGAAACAACAGGGATAAGATGAAAACTGTCTTGCTACAAAAACAAGAATATTCAAGGAAGTTGCTCTACTTTATAACTGCCAATAATTCGGTCTTTCGGCCATCCTTCTAGTACTACAACAATCCTTCCCAAACAGTTCGCATTCTCCTTTTCTAAACGAGACCAAGCACGAGCAATTGTTTGAATAAAATATGCAAGATTGATTCTTGCTTTAACTGCATAGTTTCCGGGGGATGCAGTCGCGACCGCATCACAACTGCAATTTTTCAGTTTCTACAAACATACTAGTAAAGTTCTTCGTTACTTACTTTTCTAAATAGAGGAACGTATCTTTCTTACAAGCTACTGTGATAACTCGATTTGCCATATCCCACAATTTTTCACTACTGGTCAAATTAAACGGAATATCCAAAAAGAGAGCTAGCGCTCGAAGATCTGAAGAAACTTGGCTCTCTTGAGTCCAGTTACTAATATTCATTTTGAATACTGAACTGCCTTGCAACTCTAGTATCTCAAGAATTTCCTCTACTTTTTCCCTCTTCTTACAGCAATAAAGCCAACCCTCTTCACCCAACTCTACGTTTGTTTGTATTGCTGGTAAATTGCTAACATCTGATGAACTTTGTGGTTTATACGAATTTTGTAAAGTCTCAGTCTTCACCAATTCATGGAATAAAGCGTCAGCAGAAAAACATAACATACTGTCACAACTTACCATTGTCTCTTTTGGAGAATTTTGTTTTGCAGAAGTAACAACTGAGCTACTCCAGATTTCGTTGCTTACAGCTTTATCTTTCTTGTTATATTCTCCTTGTTTCACGTGCACGTTTTGAGGGTGATTTCTCAATCTCGTGTCTAGCTCTCTTCTCAAGTCCTGTAGTTGCTGACAAACCTCGTCCAACTTCGAATTAGTGGACTGTAACTCAACTCGAAGGGACTGAATTTCAACACGACTCTTTGTAATGTCGTTTTGTAGCTGATGAAAGTCCTTGTAAGATACCGTTCTCTCGGTTCCCAGAGACGGAAACGGTGAAGGAGGAGGTGAAGACGGACTTGGTGTCACAGAAGGAGTTCCACTCCAGTCCTTCACACACGAAGCGTCCCAAAACTGTGTTTGTTCCAACTCCACAGTGTTGGCTGGATCTTCCCTTGCCTCTGTTCCCCAATTTGCAATATTTTCCTGGTTATTTACATAGGTAGAGGTTCTACTATCCTTACGTTTCATGCTGGTGCCACTGGTTACCTGTTGTTGTTCCCACGAACCTTCTTTGGTGTCTTCTTTGGTGTCTACTTTGGCGGTTTCTGAAGTTGGCGAATAAACTCGGCGCCGAAAAAATTTCTTATTCGTTGACGAACCCACATATTTTCTTCCATGGTTCCTATAGTCGGCGTTTCTATTTTCAACATAGGACCCACTTCTATCACTTCCTTTCTCTCGATACTGTTTGCGTTCCATACAAAATGGCCCAATGTATTACAAGAAAAAGGGAAATATTGAGTCTAGTAACATATGGACTGTGGGAATCGTCGTTGCCAGATTTCAATTTCATTTTTGAAAGCAATTTATCTTGGCAAGTTTCAACGTTCAGGGAGGAATGCTACAGTGCAATGATTGTTTGGCGATAATTCTCTCACTGGGGGTAGTTCTTGGAGGAAGAAAGGCTCAGTTTGAAATAAGATGAGCCAACTCGGAATTTCCGTGTTCTCAAGGGGTTTCTTATAATACGTAAATCAACTAGCAGAAATAATGGGATCATCAAGGCTATTGTAAGGTGAAAAATTTTCATATTTTTTGCTCATGTTGTTGTTGTTTAGAATGGTTCTTCTTATTTCTTGTATCCGAGTGAGAGTAGCTTCATGTTAAAGTTGTCAAATCTGCCGTTACCAGGACACTTAGTTTCTGCTATTCTTTTATTTAGGCGCCAAAAAGTTCAATTTCGAGGGAGAAGATTGAAATGTAGCCCTTGCTGACATGGAGACAGAAACCATTCCTTAGTTGGGAACTGTTCGCAAAAGTCTTGCATACGTTTGTTGAAAAAAATCTGAAAAACAACAATCGTTTCGTCAACGGAATGTTCCTATATAAAGTAACATGTGCGTCATCTCCTCTGAACACTTTACAGGATAGATTTTGCGAAATTGTCTTTGAGCGGAAACATTTGAACGACTCTTTTCGTGTTATGGTGTCTGCAAAAAAAATGTTCGTTACGATAAGACCTTGCTAATTATCGAAGTTTTAAATACACGTGATTTGAACCGTGACTGAATCTTCCTTTATGCTAAATATAGCAAAAGGGTTCTTAAACGTGTAGCAATCTTTCGTATATCTACTCCAGAAAAAGTTTGTTTCCGTTCTTCCTCAACCCCGCATAAACTTTCTCAGTCTTTTGGTTTCTGTTTTATTTCAAGTTATGAGAAACCTGGTTGTCGTTGAGAAATAAACCAGGGGCACTGAATATAACTAGGAATATAGAAACAATAAGGTGAAAAATATTCCAAGCAAGGTAAGCTATCGCTTGAAGCACCAGCCCAAAATCTGGTCGAATAAGGATTCGTGAAATATGCAGAGGATACCGTTGACCAGTGAGAAGTCCTACAGTTCTCTTCTTGAACCGATATCGGTAACGAACCAGAATCAAAACTGTGATGACTTTCAGAATCGGTTCCATCAAAAGGAGCTTGGAAACTTGTCTGATGGTGGATTTCGCTGGGTGTTGAAGACCAAGATGATAGAACTGTTTGTTGAGTTTCATGTTTCTCTATGCTGTTGCTTGTCAAGTTACTGCTTGAACTATCTACGGAAGGTGGATTAAAGTCAAATAATGTAGCCAGTTTTTCATCTCCACCTTTGTTAGGTAATGAATGCGTTAGGTTCTAAAATTTCAGTGAAAAAACTGACGTCGTCGATTAGTAAGCATGCATTACCTTTGGAATCCATTTGCTAGCTTGACATTGTTCCAAGTAGAAAGTTGCCTGACAAGTTCCCTGAGTATGAAGACGCAACAAATTGCGTAGACAAGCGTCATCCTGAAGCTGCTTTACGTATGGACGCCTGTCAGTAAGACTATTATTGACGATTGTATATCCAAAACGACAAAAACGGCGTAGTTGAGCATTATAGGGGGCTTGAGCTATCTCAGTTCTCAAGAGTGCCCTAAGACATTTGTTTAGATTGCGTTCTAGGTTAATGTAAAAAATGTACCATCTGAAGTCATTCAACCGAGGCCTAGCAGGCAACGTCAATGATCGGAGAAAGAAGGGCAAATGTCTGCCATCAGTTAGAATAAGAACGAAGTGAAGAAAATGATATTCTATATTCACAAATCCTGCTACGGCTGCTGTCTGTTCGTCTCCCTGCAGAATTAAACAAGTCATGAAGAAATTACGAACGAATAAACTGAAATGTTTCGTGACCCGGACAGATAAAGGCTGAATCTGGAACTGTGGCGCCAACGTTTTGGCGCGTTATTTTTTTCTCCAAATAAATCCAAGGGCATCGTTCCTCTTAGCTTGGAGATTTCTTTGTCCATCTGTCAAGCTTCTTAAGTGCTCTAGGATCTATCCAATACCTAGATAAGACCTGTTCGGCTCTTGGCGAGAATTCAAACTCGTTCAACTGTCGACGAAGGCAAAAAGGATGTCGTCCTATTCACAGTGTAATGGAACGAATTTTAGTTACTGTGAATAATTTTCTGATGCTCATCATTACTTCCTACTACTATGGCTTATACAAGGTTCTTTTTTGTACTCTCCTTAGCTATTACAGATGTGATGAAATGAACAAGTCCATAAGAAAGATGACTTCTCCTCTTGAACTAGATAGCCGTACAATTAGGGAGGTAGGACGGAGTATATAACCTGAACAACATCTAAGCGTGGCTCTAACAATGCTCTACAAGTGAAGTAGTGTCATTATGAGAAATTCAAAAACATCACAAACTGGCAAAAGACATAATATTTCTAGCAAGGTGACAGATGGAACAGTTCAACTGTCTTTTATAAACCTTGTTCTGAAACAAACAAATAAGTTTAGTATTGTTGTGTTGAGGCAAGTTCGCTTTGCTTACTACTTGAAAAAGTGAAATTACGCTTGAAGGTTACTGATTCTTAGCGCAAGTTCACTTGCTCTTGTGACATCTTTACAAATCGACAGGACCTTGGGAAGAGTACAATGCAAAGCTATTTAATTTTTATTCTACAAATGTGTCAGCAAGTGTTAAACAAGTTAGGATCCGATTGGAAGACATAGGAAGTTTCCCGATCTCATTCTTCGATGTCTCAAAAATGAAAATCGCGAACTATGTACTTCATGAGCTGCATGACTTTCTTGATTGCATCTCTCTTGAGGACTTGGGTACCATGTACGTATTACTGTTACGATAGGAGATAATAGAAACCATAAAATCATTCCCACCAAAACCAAGACAATAATAAGCGGGAGAAATAAGAGAAACAACAATAACAAAAGAAACCATCCAATGTTGCGGATTCGTAGAATGTAGTCCAAAAACTTGGGAAGTGGTACTTCTGTTTCATCAATTTGCCATCGGAAATTTTGACCGCTTTCGGTCATCTCCAAATGGTTCTGAATACTTGACGGATCTGCATTCCTTTTCTTCTTCTTCTTCTTATCCATAAGAAATCGCTGATATAGTCTTCTCTTAATGGTAGAAGATAACACGTCATGTGCAGTCTCTAAAACCTGATTTGCAGCCTCAACATTTTCTCCTTTAGGCTCGAACGAGCTTAAAATATGTGACAACATTTTATAATTCTGTTCAACTTCTTCACGAGTGCAAGATATCGGTACTCTTAGAACGGAATAGACTGTAAAATACTGTCAATTTGGACGAAATTCATAACAACAAGTCAACTCACAGTTAGGTGCATGTAGAATTCGGGAGGCTTCCGTCTGAACTGATAGCAAACTTTCTACCTTACCAATATTATTATTTTGGGTCAACCTGTCATCTGGGTTTCTTCTCTGCGCTTCTTCATGTTCCATTCTATCTGAAATCCTATCGAGTTGACTTGCTTCGAACTCTGTCGCATTCACATTTTGTTGGCCAGTGTCTTTCCACTCTACAGAGCCGGTAAAATTAAAATTCTGACTCTCTTCGTTGTTCGATGTGACACTTTTTGACAAGGGAAAGGCACTTCCTTTTGTGCTTTCAAGCGGTTCAGAACTGTTACCACCAATCTGAGAATGCATTGCTTTGCGCTTTCCTTCAATCAACTTTCGATCACTTGGACAGAATTCTAAACCATGACCAAAACATGATGCAGCCATTTCTGCATCTCCCTTGTGCAGAAGTGCTATTCCCTTGATATAATAACCCTGGAAAGAGTTGCAAGTTTCATCATTCAACAAACAAAATATCAGATGCACATACCTTTGGCCAGATTGGGTTCGTTTCTATGCAAGATTCACTGTCTTGGATTGCTTTATCAAAATTCTCCAACTTCAAATAGCACATAGCTCTTATTGCAACTAAGCAAGAGAAAATGTGCTTCCATAACAAACTTACCTATTTGCAAGAACACTGAGTTTCTTTGGTGTTGACTCGAGTATTGTATCGTAGCAGTTGATTGCTGCCGCATAGTCTCCTTGAGTGAAAAAATAGTTGCCCAGTTGCTTCAACTGTTCCAAGTTGGTTTCAGCGTCTGAGTTTTCTAGATAGCAAGTCACTTCTGAAGTACTAGAGTTTTTCATATCATCCAAATTACTATACAAACTTTCACTAGAAAATACGTTCTTCTCTTGTGAAAGGGAAACGTTGGACAACTGAAATAGTTGCCCTTGAGTGGGTTCGTCGCTATGTTCATTATTCCCCAAGTAAGCTATTTTTGGTTCGTCCTCTGGTGGTGTATAATATCCTTCTGTTCTGGAAGAAGCTTCGGAGTCTCCTTGACCCAGCTCCAAGTCGTTGCTACTGTCTATCTTATAGTCCTTTCCGTTCAAACTCCACCAACTCTCTTTTCGGGCAAACATTATCCTGTTTACCAAACCGAACGTAAGTACACTCTTTCATAAAACCAAGTCTCTGTTCACATATAGATATATTAGACTTGTCGGTTGCAGAAACAGGCAAACGCCAAGTCGCTTCCAAACGGTCCAATTGACTCGATTGGGCATTTAACGAAGCATCCTACGATTTGACCAGGAGTTGTCAACTAAATTGAGTTTATTATGAACAACTGGTTTCAATCATCCACCCGAACATCCACTTCAGGTTCTGAAAGCGTTACTCTGGTATTTGCCAAAGGCAACCCTAGAACATTTCTCTTACAAGTCGGGCAAAGATTGGACTGAAGAAGCCATGGATCAATACAATCCTTGTGAAATATATGTCCACACTGAAATTTACGAACAACTTCGTCCTCAATCAACGACTCCAAGCATATTGCACATATTCCTTGATTTCCTTCCAATATATTTTCGTGACTCATATGAATACACAAACGTCGATTCATATGAGAGTTTGCATATACTGGACCTGCTTCATGATACACATATTGAGGTAGCGATTGCACTGCACTTATGCGCTTGTTCAAATTTCTCGTTTGACGCCGGTATCTAAAAATATTCACAGTAAATTGAAATATAATCCAAAAGAACATGGCCTTTAGCATTGCCCAGTTTAAAGCATCGTTGCTATCAAAAACAGGAGACTTTGAGCCTCTCGAATCAATTGAAGCAGATATTGGCGTCCTACTTCTGTAGCATGGAGCTATATTCTGATAGAAATCTTCCCAAGAAATCAATATCGTAGGAATGGAGGGATCCTTCAACGGTTTGTCATATTGTAGGGGAGAACGCATCCGTACAGGAGGCTCACGCTTGCCATTTATCACAATTACTCCAACGGCACCCGCGGCTTCAGCAAGGAGGGTTTTCTCATAAAAAAAACAACTTCCTCTAGCAACTACAAGTATTTTACCTTTTATATTGTCTGGGGATTTCAATGGTTCACAACCGAAGTTGAGAAACTCTTCAACAATTCCCGAACCTTGGTCGACTCCTTCTTCTTTATCAGTTGGATTTTCGTAAACACCATTCCCAAATAAGCCCCATTTTCTCAGTGCGTTTACCCAGTCACCAACTCTTCTCGTTTCTACCAACAGTGACTGGTGCCTTTCAGTATTGCCAAGTTCCACTTCTTCTAAGTTACTCCACAGATGAGAACTAGCTTCTCCCAGTCGGTTGACAGAAATGGGAAATTCGTTTATTTGCTCTCCCGTTCCAGTAAGCAAAAACAAAGGCTTCTCCAGTACTGGAAACTCGTCTGGGTTGGGACCGAAGACTGCCCCACTATGTGAAATTACCTTTACAAGCCCACAATCCTTACTTTCTAGTAATAAAGCTCCCCCTTCGTTTAAGTAAACGAGTAATAGCAGTGTAGTTGAACAAAAAAGTATGTTCCAAGAAGAAGCAGTGTTCATCGCCTACAGAGTGCCAACTTGCTTCATTTCTCGATGAGGAGGAATCTGAAAAGCACAAATTTACTTTAACATGGTTGACTAATCTACTCTTATGGATGAGTATATTTTCCTAGTAAACCAGAAGCATGAATAAAATCCTATGAATCCAGTCAAAAGGAAGAAAGCAAGAGATATCAGGAACATGTAACCCAAATATAAAATGATAGAGACAAAGCCAATACCCTTAAAATTGGGTTGCGTGGCAAGATAAAAGATACTGTAGCCAAACAGATAAAGCGCTGATGAGCCTGAAGTAAAGAAAGAATACCACCACCAACGATAGTCTTCGTTGCAAAGTTTTAGATAACAAAGAACAATGCTAATTTCACCAGAGGTCAAAGTTAAAATTAAAAACACTGCAAACAAGAAGCCAAACATATAATATATCTGATTTTGCCATAAGCTCGAGAGAATAAAAACCAACTCAATAAAAACAGCACCAAAGGGAAGAATTCCACCAACGAGACTCGTAGTTATAGCGTTGCTGTACCATGGCTGCCTGGGTACTTGTCGAGCAATCTGATTGGTCCTAACAGGCATCTCATAGGCCTTTTTCCGATATCCAAAATATGCACCAAGAACTACCATAGGTATTGAAATTCCAAACCATAAGAATAGAAGTAATAACAACGTTAAGAAAGAAACTGCTCCATTAGAACCGGTACTCCATACAAATAAGTTAATAATGAAGAAAACTGAAAATACAACAGCAGGGAACAAAATGCCTGTAGATAAAGTAACATTCTTCCATTCCTTTCCTCCGATTGTTTTGTAGACTCGTGCAGAAATGTATCCCGAATGTGAGCAAGACAAAATGTACATAGCAATCATTGCCTGCAACAAACCTCCTCGATTGGCTGGAGACAAAAATCCTAACACTGCAAAGACCAATGTAACGAATGCCATAACTACAAGCTGCGCTCCAGTTCCGCAAACAACCGAAAACAATTTGGGATACGGTGGCGACCTAAAGACATCACCATGAACTAACTATAGAAAAACTAAATAACAAAAAAATTTTTCCAATGCAAACGAATACCTTCCAACCAGTTTCTTCATGTATGTCTTCATCTTCCTCAAGACGATTATATCTAGCAAAATCTTGATGCACGGTCCTCAACATGATCATTGCTACAAGACCAGTTAAGAAAAGTGTAATCATCAACGAGTTAATTATAGAAAACCACTGTATTTGTCTTTGTTCTTCGGAAGCATTCAATAACGGATCCCATCTAGTGGCCCACTTGATTGGACTCTCTTCAAATACGACATCGTATGTAAAGGTAACTGAAGCACCGTTTTCTGCTCTTTGTGGTCGACTTTGCGAAGAAACAGTTACAGGACATGTTTTTGGACGATCACTACCCCAGGAAAACTCATGCTGCACCGAAGAAGGAATAACTTCAAATCCAACTATTCGATATACGTCACCCGTTCCTGAACGTGAAACAAGACTTTTGCTGTCTTCCGGTTTATGATAGGAAACGACGAATCTCAAGTGGTTGTTGATATAAGTATTGTCACCTTCCTGGAAACCTACAGGGTACCCTAATTGAAACCTAAGTAAGAGCTGGTCAAGCCGAGCACTTCTGTGTCTGTTGGAACTTACGAGGCTTGTCCAGAGGCAGTCTCGGCCTTTACAACAATTGGAAGATTATCCAAGTTAAGTCTAACTCTATACCCTTCTTTGACTTTTTCTGAGAATTTATCTGCTTCTTCTTTGTTTAGAGTCTTCGTACATAGTACTTTACAGGTCTCCTCCACCAACAAGGAGGCTTCATATGGCGTTATTTTTGCTCTCTCTCCAACCAATAACTTGAAGCTATTTCAGTCAAACAATAAAATCTTTCTTTCCTTTTCATACCTGTCCCAAGTTGACAGGAAGTTCTCTTTCCTCAGTTCCTTTACAAAAAGGTAAATAATAGTAGTCGAAGGGTAAGGGATTCTTAGGCGAGGTAAGTTTGTTCGCCACAATTTCGAGTTTGGCGCCTTCTTCGTAGTCCACAGGTGCTATTCCAGGAAGATAAAAGGAATAGCATAGACAAATATGTAAAGCAAGTAGCGTAGAGTACAATAAAGCCTTTGAAGAGTGCGACATTTCCGATTCTAATGCGCGGTGCAATTCAACAGAAATTCAAATGTAGATGCTGAAGCATTCCTAAGTAGGCCATGAAAGTAATATATTTTCTTGTTGCTCATCTCCTTTAAAAATCATGCTAAAGTTGTATATTAAACTTGTTAATATATCACGAATGCGTGATTGTAAATTATTCCTTTAGATACTGAGACTACTCGCTTATCATGGTTAGCAAATGACAGCAATTGATAACAAGACTGACCAATTTCTACTGGTAGAAAAGATCTAACAAAGTGAAACGAAAATCTTATCCAAAAAAGATATATATCAAGGCGATTCTTCTTATAAGCTTTTATTCTGAACAAATTGCATACACTTGTATTAACATCAACAACACTCTAAACAATCGTGGTCAAACTGAGACTGCTATACAACGCATGAAACATGTATAATAAAAGAAATGCACAAATACAAAGCTTCGAGAAATCATTTCATCAAAAGTTTCACATATGGAGAACTGTTGAAGACGAAACAGAATAACAATTCCCTGATGCCTCCCCTGAAGCAAACACCTCGTGACTTCTTTGAGAGCCCTTAGTTAACTCGTCCATATTACTCTGTATTCTTTCCGACTTTACGTGAGAAACTACTCGATGTAGAAACGATCCTGCAAGCGGATCTTGTCCAAGTCTTTCTGCGCTCTGGAGCAAAAATATGTAACTATCCGGTTCCCAGTTATCTCCAAGTACTACAGAACAACTCACGTTGCACTTGAACAAGGAACCATCAAACGTAACCAAATGATAAACTTGCACTCTCTTGAGAGTGTTTTCCGTAAGTAGACGAAGAAGAAACATGGGTTTCTGTATCCAATCAATACCACCCAGAACTATAGGAAGTGTTTCCTTACAACCAATTAACTAAAAATTTCTGTCAGAAACTCAAAACAGTTCTCAAGTCTACCTTACAATAGATAAGTCTTCTTCCGATGCAGAGAAAAGATCGCAAGCTTCCTTGTTCGCAAAATCCACCTTATGAAACGAGTCGTCTATCCGCAAGCTCATCTTCAAACAAGCCATAGGAATATTTGCAAGAAATTCATGCTGCTGCTCAGCAGTGAGTTTAACCTTTCGAGTAGGAAGATAGGAGCGCATCCTCAAAATATAATCAGGCTTCGCACTCGTCAAGTTTTGAAGAGATTGCAAGATAGCCTGAACTCGCTTTCCGTTGTCCGAAAAGGATTCAATACCCCATAGTTGTAACTATTTCACATAAACAACAAAATATCGAAAGATACGCTCACTTACAAATTTGTTCAATACTCTTAAAACATAACAGAACAATGAGTGTGACTTTGCGATGTCTTCAATTTCTTCCTTAGTGCTCAACTGGCGTTCACGTGACTGAAGGTCCTGTTGAATATAAGTATATGATGTAGTTTAAGATAGCCTTCGTACCTGATCCCAAAGTGTAATCATTTTAGAAAGCTCATAAACGGCTTCTAAGACCGTATCCTCTAACTTCTCTGTTCCCAAGTTGAGAGCGCTTTCTTGACATTTCGCTGCAAGGTGACTGCCTTCGCCAGAGTAGTATCGTGAGATAAACGAATCTCTCAGATGTTCTCCATTAGAGAAAAGAGGAGAAAGAAGATGAGAAATTTCTGCTGTATTATTTCGTATATCACTTGAGCGGCTGTTGTATTTTCCCGTATCCACAGAAGACAGCGTTGATCCTAAAGACGCCAACCTATCCAGTTCCTTATGGATCTGGACCTTGGAAAATAATTTGTCGTTTGGATTCGGAATTTGTGAACTAAGAGGTCTAGGACGGGATGAAGGAGCGTCTACGCACATTTCTTCTAGCCCAAGTCGAATACATCTTGCACAAGGGCGGAATTCGTCACAAGCTTGCTTTGACTGACGACAATTCACACAGCTTACACGAACAACTCTATATACTTTGCGCTTTCTTCTTTTCTGGTTCACTTTAAGATGCTCTTCTGAAGTTTCATTTGTTACTACGTTTTCACTGTTACTAGGATTCCCAAAAACGTGCTCCATTCTTTCGGATTCTTGTTCGCTGTTGTTAACGGCTGGAGTTATTGTGGCGAGAAACTTGTTTTTCTGGCCTTGCTCAAAATAACTCTCGCGAAACTGTCTATTCCTAGAAACCGAAGTATGCTACAACAGCGGCAGGGAATTCCTGAATAGACCCTTCAACACTTACGGATGTTGTTGGAATACTACTTCCTTCTCTCAATTATTCCCCCAAACTAGTAGGGGTTCTTACTCGCCTCTGCCTCCTTTCCACTTGTCGCTCACCACGGACTGGGAAAAACACCACCACCGGATTCCCGCGGCCAACTCATCGATGGTACTTAAGGGTCATCAATCTTCTAGAAATTGTGTAACCGGCAAAAAACAATTCATCTGGCCCAATTTCTGAAAGAGAGAAATTGGCTCATATTCATGTCATTGAAAGTCAGCAACCCTAAAGGATGAAAGTGTGTTGAATAACAACTAGTCCTAGAGCAATGAATAGAATGCTATAATCTATCAGACCAAGAACGGTTAGGGCAGAATTGCACTACTTTGACAGTGCCTATACGTGGCGGAAATTGTATGTCTTGGACCTTGCTAATTTCTAGTAAAGGGGAATTCAAAGCATCCAAATTAGAAATCTCTTCATATAAACTTAAACACGGCAAATTAACTAGTACAGTTAACTTATTCTGCTTTTACAAAAAAATTCCATTGCTATACCTCATATTCATTCCCAAAAGCTGACTAGTCTCTCTATCTCATGAACATGAAGGATCGGTAAAAAGTTTATCAAGGCACTCTCTTGTGGCACAGACTTGCTCAAATGCACTGGCCAAAGTATCAATTGAAACTTTTTGCCTCACCAAACCTTTTTGAAGTGCTTTCTCGGCCCTTTTGCAAAACTCTTTGAGTCGATGAAGTTCTTCAATGAAAGTCTCCAGTGGACCTGTAATATTAACATCTTGTTCCACACAGTTTTTTGGAAGGCGACTGGCAACTTTTGTGTTATTTGCTTGGGAATCTTCACTTTCATGGAAATCCTTATCGACTTTCATATCCAAAGTGAAGGAATTTAAAAATGGAATCAGAACACTTGATGTGTTTTGGTCAGGAATAAAACCATGATCTCCATTGATTTCTGACAGAACATTTCCTAGGCGGCATAAAACTGAGCTTTCACTTTCTAGACAAGGAATTTCTAGTAGGTTCGATATGAGTCGTGCAGCATCGTCACGAAAAGTTTCACCACAGTATTGAATACACTTGCGAAGAAACATATTGAGCACGTTCTGGTTGGCATGGGATAATAGATGTTTGGAAAGTTCAATACAAATGGTGGAGTTTTCCGACAAATTGGCAACACAACGCAAACACTCGCCACGTAGTTCGAACAGCACATTAATAATCGGGGCAGGAAAATTCTCTTCTTCTTCGTTAAGAATGATCTCGGCACAGGTTTTTGCTACTGAAATTGCCTTGGAGTAATCTTCACGAATAAAACCTAATGCTAGATTGGCTAACGCCCTGCTAGCCTCGATAGCAATTGCTATTCTAAGAGAGATATCTATCTCTTGCTTGTCGCCTGGTGACCCAAACACAACTTCAACAGACTTTTCCAGTTTTGAGATAACTTGTTCCACAATGCCACCTCGTGAGAACTTCTTCTGAGCACCCTCCGAAGCAAAGCAGTTCGCTATGGCGCGGATGCTTTCAAACGCAACCTCAGGAATATTAGAACCCATGTTCTGCACTAATAACAGAAAGACCGCTTCATGGGAAACTAGTTGCTTAGCAGCACGATTATCAATAGCAATCTCGGCAAGGAAAGAACAAATTTGCGAGACTAACTCAGCGTTTAGTTTTGTTGGCGAAGTATTGCCTTGTTCACTAAGAATATTGCAAACTATCGTGACTCCCTTGGATTCCACCAACTGAGAACGACACTCTTCTGATCGGCAAAGGTTCCTCATAGCAGCGACAGCTTCAGTTACGCAACTGTGACTCTGCTTACATACATTAGCTACTAAAAGTGTAAAATTACTTATGGTGTCTGATTGTAATATCATAGACATCGTTGTCGTATTCTCAGAAAGATTTCTTATGGCTCTACAACATTCTTGCAGAAAGTTCAAAGTGAGGTGATCTAAGGAGTTATAGGGCGACAAGGCTTTGATCACAAAGATGAAACGTTCAAGCAGACCCGAGGCGGCAATAACTTCCTCGTTTGCTTCAGTAAGCGCTAAATTTCCGGCAATAGATGCGACGTGAACTTTTTCGACAACATTCGTTCCTTCAGAAACATTGTACTCTCTGTCAAAGATCTCGACCAATTTAGGAACGAAGCCATTTTGTACGAACAATATTCTTTCTTCGTCATCGGCGTCGGATGAAGCTGATGCTATTCGAAACAACTCCCGCGATGTCGTGTTATATTCTAAGTACGCAGTCATGCATAAAAGATCCTTCAGAAAGTGAAATCGAACACAATTACCTTGTACTAAATATTTCTCCGCCAATTCTATCAAACTTGTAGCACTTCCTTTTTGTCGATCATCGTTCAAGCCTTGTGCAATCGCAGAACCTTGTGTTGAGGTATGTCGACTGGAAGCTTTCAAGGAAAGCACTTGAGATTCTTCGGCAGACCTTACATCCACAATAAATGACCTGCTATTGTCTAACATACTGCTTTTTGATGCTACATCAGTACTCGTATCGATGAAGCTTCTTGTCCTTGGCCCGGGAGATACGACATAGTTTGCTTTGTACTCTGATATGAGACCACCAAGTTCATTTCGGTTAGAAAATTTCTCAGTTAAAACATGCTCTTCAGTATTTTTAACCTCATTGTTCAACTCATTTTGTAAAACATCACTAGTTCGAGGAACTAAATTTGGGTGAGTTTGGCCCTCTGCCTTGTCTATGGTACTATTGCTCGTATAATTCTTAGGCAAAATAGTTGAAGGTGAAGAAATTTTATCCGTATAGCTTGTAGGTGAAAGTTTTTGGGGAATATATGGAGAAAGGAGCTTGTACTCTTCTAGCTTCCCCAGAGATTCGGCAATTTCAGGATTTTGAGAGCTTCTACTGCCAGAGTATGAAGAGTTTCTGCTCAAATTATCTTTCTTGGTTTCGCGTTGAAACATATTAGAACGCAAATAGTCATTTTCATGGCTTCCTCTTTGTGAAGACGTAGAAAATCTGTCACCAACTGTATTTCCACTTGCGTCTGTAATATTTCCTTTTATCGGAGGCGTGTCCTTTGTTGAGCTAGAATGATTTTCAGGATTACTGTGTCTTCTCGAAGGTTTTGGAGTACTTTGATTTTGTTTCTTTTGTTGTATACTCATAAACCTTTTGTAGCTGCTTGCCATGCCAACAGTTCTGAATTGGCGGGAAACAATTTAAATATATGGGTTGCTTCAATTCAGCTGAAATTGGGAGACAATGGAATCGTTGGATGACTTCAACAACTCAGATATTTTGCATTTATGAGGTTACATATCGATTCCATTTTTCATGGCTCACGATATATTGAAGACTCCTCCCTGAATATAAAAGGTATATCCATAGGTTTACCCACTTCTTACTAAAGAGCCTTTCAAGAACTTTGCCAAGTATACAAAAGAACGGTTCAGTCAAATAGCTCCAAACAAGTTCCAAATGAAAAGTTAGAAACCCATTTTGAATGAACACTTGCAAGACTCTCAAAAGGCTTTGTTACAAGCAAAACGAAAGAAATGTTGAGACTGCTAATGGATTCATGATAGAGATGTTTCTGAAGTGATATACATTTATAAAAGGTTCTCTACCCTTCATTGCCTCTTAAATTTTTTTCATTTCTTCCTTAACCATAGTCTTCACGAGCCAATGGAAGGTTGCATAGCACTTCTTACTCCAAAGAGCTTCCCTTAAATTTTCATGAGATAGAACCAAGAACTATTTATAACATATAAAATTTGTATTCTTGTTTCTCCATTTACGCCGTTCTAGAACAAAAGTCAATAAATTATTTAGATATTACTTCAAATAAGGATCTAAAAACATGAATGTTCCTTCCGATATTAACGGAAATTTCGCAATCTCCTGACTGACAGACTATGGACGCTCATAGAAAAGAGTCCTGGGCAGCAGAACTCAGGGTAGGTGTAGGGAAACCGTTTCCACTTGGAGTTTCCAAGTATGCACAAGGAGCCAACTTTGCTGTGTATACTGAAGAAACCGAGGAGGTTGCTCTCATTCTCTATCCTCCCCACGAGCACAAACGCAGTGGAGAAGGAGATATCCGAAGGGCAGAACTGGTTCTGGATACGAAAATGAACAGAACTGGACAAGTTTGGCACAGTAAGTGTTTTTAAGTTTGTAGAATTCCTTATTAACCAATTTTTGTTTAAAGTACATATACACCCTTTACTGGAAGGGTATGAATACATGTGGCGAATTGGAGCTGAACCACACAGTCGTTTTGGAAAGAATATATGTCTTGATCCGTATGCCAAAATCATTTCTTCATCACTTGTCGACCAGTTTAATGATCGTTCAGTTGAGTACTCTCCGAGAGGAGTGATACCTTCCAAGAAGAGCCTATTATTTGACTGGGAAGGTGTTTGTGCTCCACATATACCTCTGAAAGATCTGATTATTTATGAGCTCCATGTTCGAGGGTTCACAATGAACTGTGATTCCGAAGTACAGTACAAAGGGACTTTCTTAGGGATTGTGGAGAAGATACCCTACTTAAAAGAGCTTGGAGTAAATGCTGTTGAATTATTGCCTGTTTTTGAGTTCAACGAAAAAGAATGGCCTATGAAAGGCAGCGAACTTGGAAAGTCTATCTGTCAGGTATGTGGAACAGTCTATGCACTGGATCAAGAGCTGAATTGTTTTGTTTGAAAGTATTGGGGATATAGTACAGTGGGTTTTTTTGCTCCTATGAATCGATACTGTGTTGGCAATGTATTGGGTGCAGCAGTCTTTGAGTTTAAAACTATGGTCCGAGAGTTGCATAGGGCAGGAATCGAAGTTATCTTAGATGTTGTGTATAACCATACTGCGGAATTTGGCGAAGGGTTCTATCATTTTAAAGTATGCTTAAATTGTTCATATTGAAAGAAATGGAGACATGTTTTCGTAGGGTCTAGCGGCAGGTACATATTATATAATGAATCAAGACGGGAATTTTATGGATTATACCGGATGCGGAATTACATTCAATGCCAATCATCCTATTGTGGCACAATTGATTCATGACTCCATTCGTTATTGGAGTCTTGAATGTGGAGTTGATGGTTTTCGTTTCGACCTTGCGTCTGCATTAACAAGAGACACTCGAGGAAGCGAATCGAAGGAACCATTGCTTATCCACACACTTTCTATGGATCCTGCTTTACGAGATGTAAAGCTAATTGCGGAGCCTTGGGACTGTGGAGGGTTATATCACGTATGGACTATTGTTTGACATAAAAGTAGTAATGAATATGTTTGTTTTTAAGGTTGGCTCGTTTCCTCATTTTGGTGTGTGGGCTGAATGGAATGGGCGTTTTCGAGACATTGTACGTTGCTTTATCAAAGGAGACGCAGGAACTTTGGCAGAATTTGCTACAAGGGTTTGTGGTTCCGAAGATTTATATGGAGCAGGAAGAACACCTGCACATTCTATCAATTTTGTGACTGCACACGATGGTTTCTCTCTAAATGACTTGGTGAGTTACAATGAGAAACACAATGAAGCAAATGGAGAAGATAACCGAGATGGTGAGACTCATAATAATTCTTGGAATTGTGGTGAAGAAGGGTAAGGAGTTGTTGTTTTTAAGAGCATTGGTTAACTGTTTCCTTGTGAAGACCTACAGAGGATGAAACCATCAACCAGTTTCGTCAGAGACAAATGAAAAACCTTCTAACCGTCTTACTAACTTCCATTGGTGTGCCAATGATAGTGATGGGTGATGAGTATGGACATACCAAGAATGGTAATAATAACACCTGGTGCCAAGTACGTAGAGATAATAGATGATTGCGTGATATTCATAGAATACTCTAGGATGATGAGATCTCTTGGTTTAATTGGACAAAATGTAAAGAAGAAAAGGGTTCACTGCTAAGGTTCACAAGAAAATTGATCAAGTTTCGAAAAGATCATGAGGTGTTTAGACGAAATTCGTTTATGAATAAGCAAGTTATAACATGGCATGGAGTGGAACCTTACCGACCCAATTGGAAGTCATCATACAATTTTATTGCATATACCTTACATGATGACACTGCAAAGGAGAACATTTATTTTGCATTCAATGCTGGAGCTGAAGAAAGAAAGATAGCTGTTCCAAGCACTCATAACAAATGGTAGGAAGAATATCTTACAATCAACCTTGCGACGTCGCATTGATTGCTATCCAATAGGTATCTTATTTTAGACACAACTTTATCACCACCTCAGGATTTTCCTGACGAAGAACTTGAAGTCGCAAGTGATGGTATATATGCTCTGAAATCCTACGGTGTTTTGATTTTGTATTCGCCATACCACGATGAAGACTTCATCGCTGAAAATGAGGTATTGGAAGATATACCAGAAGAGGAAGAAGAAGAAGAAGAAAATGAAATCAAACGAAACCTTGCAGCATTATGTGTGCCTGGCTTTGTTCACGATATAGATGCGGAAAGTTTGGAGCCCTTGACGGAACCTTACAAGCTGAAAGAATCTAGTTCTTCTATCAACTTAAGGGCGGAGTACTTAACTACGAGAAAAAGTGGCCCAGCAAGTTTTACGGGCTAAAGATATACTGTATTGATCCCCATATCGTTTATCACCCTTCATATCGTTTGTTATAATTATGTTCTAGTGGTACACTGTAAACATATCCCTTGTCAGAAGCAGCTTCCACAGCTTTGGCTCTTTTAATAAAACCATAGTTTAGCGCGAGACTTTTATTTAAACTGTTAATGCAGGCTCCAGTAACTTTTTCAAAGCTCCCTTTCTTTCTAGTTCCATTACCTGATCACAGCCACCCACGTGTTGTCTGCACAAGTTATCAACCTTTTGAACAAAAAGTTACAAACTATTCATACCCATCAATGAAGACATTTGGAACTGTTCTCTGTCTTGTCAATTCATATAGAGCAGTCTGCATAGCTGCACCTTGACTGAAAGTCAACAGTTTACAGAGGAGAAGTTAAAAGAGAAACATACCGTCCTTTTCCTGATCCAATTCAATTACTTTGAAAGATACTCCTAAAGTCCGAAAAATACGCTTCACTCTATCACAGAAAGGACAATAGGACTTTGAAAAAACTACTACAAAAGCTGAAGCGATCAACTGTTGAATTCTTTGTGAAGTGGACATGTCACTAGTGTGAACGAAAGACAAATTAATTTGGCGCAATTTTCAAGTCCAGCCCTCCAAAGATATGGCATAGTCATTAGTCTACAATGAAGAGATGAATTTCTGTCTTTTGCTGTTTTCTTTGTTACTGAAATGACTAGAGAATAGTCAATGTTTTGTTTATGTAAAATTGTACATAACAATAAATAGCTGCTTGTGTATTGCAAAAAGAAATTCTTGAATATGAGGACTGCCAAGTCGAAGTGGAGATTCTTTTGTAAAGGTTCTTTCAAAAGGTGCTATGAAAATGGCTGTCCATTTGTTATTCCGAGTCAAATTTCAGAATTGATTTTGATACAATGTCCAGTAAGTACAAAGAAAACTCTCTGATATGAAACTTACCATTCAACAGATTGGGTGGTTGGAATCCAGCGAACCTATTCAATTCTTTTCTAAAGTATGCGTCTGTACGAAACAGAAAAGCCTTTTTGATGAGTGGTGGCTTCGTTGCCTAGCTCAGGAGAATAGACAAGAAGAAGTCAAAGGGAAGACAAAAAGGTTGGATACAGATCCCAAGGAACCAAACGAACAACGAAAAAGAAAAAAGGTCAATAAAACGATGCACAAAAGACCCAATTCAAAGATAGTTTTAAAAGCAGAAGGTAGCAAAAGAGTTAACGTGGATGACGAAAGAAACGTCACTGATGGCAACTTTGACAATTTGTTGCTTCTTAGCGGAATTGCTACCAACTTTGAGGCCGTTTCTAGTTGAGTATTACTAGTTGGATGAGCTCAAATTTACTATAAAATAGTAAGTACAATGAGAGCTACTTGTGAAAGGAACTGGTGGAGATATACCTCCAGAGTCTTCCGCTAACGCGACTATATCAAAATCCAATAAAAATGACAAAGTGTCAGTTTGACAAGTGGGGAATTTTTAGACTTGTTCTTGTTGTGGCACTTTCAGTTGGTTTCCTTTGCAACAAGACTAGGAAACGCTGCTTTCTTTAGAAAAGAATTCCATTGCAGTGGATATGTCTATATGAAATCTCAGGATTGTCTAATATTTATAAATGTCGATTTAAATATTCAGTTATTATGAGCTCTTCCTCAAGCAGCCTTGAATTCTCCATTATAATCTGAAATTTTTATCATGCTCCATCCCTTTCCACAATACTCTTCTACGTAATTTGAGAACAACACCAAAATATTATTTGATGAGGAATCTTTTATTTAACTACCAGTAAACTATTCTTTTCCAACTGCTTGGCATGATAGATGGTTTCTTTAGTCTATCCTATAACTCTTCGGAATGTCTCCTTCTTTTCAAGTCTATCTGTTCCGCTACAAATGGAACAAGTCTTTCTATGGTTTCAAAATTCACCGTTATGAAAAATACCTTCAGATAAATATTGCCTTTGTAATGAGGTTATATGGTGATGCAAGGTCTCCTTTCCTGAACGCTTTTAAACAAAAGATAACTTTTCCAAGTCTAGAAAAGTCCTACATTCTAAAAATTTCACCATAGTTTTGAGTTTTTATTTCATTTTCTGTTGTAAAAGTGAGCCGTAGATGTAGTTGCTTGATATGTTAGCTTTATTCGAATTTGTCACAGAAGCATATATGGCGTTACAAATTGGAACAGGATAAAGTGCCTTAAACAAGATTCAACCAGTTCCATTGAAAGAGCAGGTCCATCCTCAAAGAAATATGAAAATCAAACATACCAAAAAGGATTCCGTCAAATTCTCTTCGCAGGGCCGCCGTGACGACCATTTGTTGTGAAAGAGGTATGTAGATAGCCAAAGTTACTTATTCGGTTGGAGGTGATGAGCAATAGTTCACTTTGAGGATTTCGTTTCCATGAAAACCTTTACAGTGTCTTTCGCTCCTATCTGATTCCAGTGACAGTTTGTCTATTCTTGCTTCATTTGAAAGAACTAAGTTTTGTAATAGGTGTCTCACTTCAAGTACAAATGACTTTTCACACTTTAAAGTATCTTGTTTCAAACATAAAGCTTTTGAACACCTCTTCTTTTGAAAATACCTGTGAGCGGAAGATTTATTGACCAAATAAGAACTTTCTGCTACGAACCGACATTTTCGGAAGAAGGTAGACCAAGCGACAAAAGATCATCAAGGTTTGTCGTTATTTCGGAGTTTCGAGGGGAAATATCTTCTGTAGTCGAACTTTTTGGAGATGGTTGTGGACTGATTTCATAGACTCTTTTTGCACTGTTTGGGTATTTTGGAATTTCCAGTCGCAAATCCTCCTTGGTAGTCTTCTTGTGACCCTTTCTTTTGTTGTCGAAGATTTCTAAAACTTCAATTATGCTAGATTTGAGAGCTTCCATTTCAGCCGACTTGAAAGTGTTGCTTTTGGCGTTTAAACCAGTAAGTTTTTTTAAGGCCAGTCGTGCTTGCACTAGAAGATGAATAGCATGATCGTCATCTGCCAATTCTGAAATATCATCCGTCTTCATAAGAAGTTCTTTGAGAACAAGAATATCTGACTCCAACGATTTGATGTTTCTTCCTAGCAACATTTCTTCCTGACTATCGGATATACAAGTCGAGCTACTTTGGCTGCTTGAAGATGAATTAGCTCTGTTTGATATGAGTAGTGATAAGACTGAACTAGGAATACTTTTAAGAGCCCTTGTTCCATATACGTAAGGCTTTCCTTCGTGTCGAACTTCTGGAAAGTGGTACTTGAGATTTTTGCTGTGAAAGCGTTCCATCCAGAAGACGGCGGCAGGATCCATGGATAAAGAGGAGGATGCTTCAAGCTCTTCTGCCCATGCTCTTATCAACATCATTACCATTTCTAATATATTTTCTATGAGAGTATTAAGTTTATTTTTCATTTCGCTCACCTTTCATCTCGGAAGAAATAGAACGATGTTGTTTTATGATGTCTTCAGCATTTGTTAGGGTGAGAGTCTTGCGGAGTCGCGTCGAGACGGGCTCCTTGTAGTCTGGGACCACTATCCTCCAAAGTCTTCGGAAAAACTTATCTGTAGCAATATCTCTGAAAAAGCCAGGAATATTTTGCACAGCATCTTTCAACAATTGTAAGGCTCGATTCAAGACGTCTTCATCTTGTACTTTGAGTCTTTTTCGAATAGCGAATGCTAGTAATTCGCCTCCTCTCAAAAATTCGCTGGCACTTTGAAAAATTTTCTCTTTTTTGGCTTCAAGTCCTAATATATACCCAGAAGATGTTAGTGTGCACAAAAATTCTATCAAGTCTCACCTGAAGTATCCTTGCTTTCTGTCCATTCTTCTACTAATATCACCATTTGTATCAAATCTGGGTTACTTAGTTTCAAATAACTACTGTCTTGCTTTGTAAGCAATCCTAGACCGAGGTTTTGAACTCCCCATGACCTTCTTTTACCGAAACTATGCAGAGAAGGACTTGCGCCTTGAATGCGGTGCTCGAATGTAGGTTGTAAACATGCCATATCACCTTTCGACATGAATCCTTAAAGAAGATCCAAGTTGAAAATGATTGATAATCCTTGTTGAACAGCGTCTTGAGTGTCTTTGAATTGATCTAGACACGTTTGTTGACTTTGGGAAATCTTCCGATTGGAAATTTCTTCTAATAGGAGAGAACAACTTACACAAACTGAAATGTTGTAATTTGTAGGAACAATGCTTTTCGCTAGCTTTAAGAAAGAAGCCAAGATATCTGAAGAAAGATAATAAAAGTTACAAAGTGTTCATGTGTACCACTCTTTCGAAACGTAGTACCAGTAAATGAGACAATTTCATATCACATATTTTGATTTTAAGAACTTGTGGGGGTTCACACCATGTTGTCCAAGGGAGAGCAGTTTAGAACAGTCTGAGACCGTTTGAAGAGTCCTAACAGAGTTTTAAATTGAGAGGCCAAGTAAGACTAGAGAAAGAATTTTACTGGTCAGAATGGAACAAAGTGCAAAAACTACCGTGAAGTTTCACGTTCGTTGTGAAACCCAACGAGGGGAGAGGTTTGGACTTCCTCTAAAACACAGAACCTCTTCTAAAAGTGATTTCAGGTTGGCTCTTGTAGGAGACGCGGAGGCGTTAGGTGCCTGGGATCCCGCTAGGGGCATACCTCTTTGGACAAACTCTAAAAAGTACCCCCGTTGGTCTTGTTCCGTTACGCTACCTTGTAACACTTGGATTAATTACAAGTAATCATTTGTCTAAGTTTCTTTTATCTCGTAGTTCCTGAGGCTTTTTTGATAGATATTGCATCGTTGATTATGGTGACGACTTTGACGTCGCTATGAGCGCAGGGGGAGAGTCGCTAGAGGACGGACAAAAAGAAGCACAATTTTTCAGCGAAGATCCGCACCCACCAAGGTTTGTAAGATGGGAAGACTTCGAGGCTAATCGAAGGGTACTGTTGTTTTACCTGTAAAAGAATGACTGATAAACAGGCGTCTGTTTCTATAGTTGAAAACTAGTGGAGTTTTTATGCGGGTAGACGATAGAAAATTTGACGAGCTTTTTAATGAAATGAACGAAGCTCGTATTCGCGTAGATTACGGTCATGTGTTTTCGCGCCTTGAGGCACCCTCGTCTTCGCAAGCTTCCTCTTCATCAACAAGTTCTCCATCTTCTAGAGTAATTTTAACAGCGTTTGTAGTCTAGAGATACTTATGATTCTACATTAGGGGCTTCCCAGTAAGTTATTAATTGTTCTTTACCGACTCCCTGTTATAGCAAAGAGAAGTAAGTCATCTATTTAATTACCTTCTGCTATATAACTATTCTGTAGCGTCAAACGGATGGAGCTTTAAATGGGATGATGATGCGCTTTATTTGACTTCAGTTGGTCTTCGAGACGGTCTCCAAGGGAAAATCCGCTTTTACTGGATAGGTATTCTAAACTGTGAGGACGATATTCCTGAAGACGAGGAGGTACTGTTATCGACATTATGTAGCGCCAATCTAGTTTTACTGTGTTACAGGAGGGAGTCACTCAAACACTTATGGATCGATTCTCCTGTATTCCTGTGTTTGTGCCAAAGGCGACATTGACAAAGTTCTATCAAGGTTTCTGCAAAGGCGTTCTTTGGCCTCTTTTTCACATGGTATGAAGTTGCATAGGAACTGTTTTTAGTATTTTAAAGAATTGGAAAATAGATAATACAGGTCACGGATGATGGAGGACGAACTAAACAATTTGACCGTAGCTTGTGGCATGTTTACTGTCTTGTCAATCGAAAAGTAAGAATTACTCGTTTATGTCAAGTCCTGCTATTCATGGCACTGTAGTTTGCAGATGTTGTCGTAGGTGTGTATCACGAAAGTGATCTCATATGGATCCATGATTATCACTTGATGGTTCTCCCTTCTCAACTTCGTAGAAAGCTATCAGGAGCGAAGATAGGCTTCTATTTGCACATTCCATGGCCCTCCTCTGAAATTTATCGTTCCTTGCCTGTAAGTTGAATAGAAGCACTGTTGTTCTCTGAACTTATTGTTAGGTGCGTGATGAACTTTTGAGAGGCCTCCTTTCTGCCTCACTTTTGGGTTTTCATTTATTCGATTATGCTAGACACTTTCTAAGCGCTTGTACGCGACTTTTGAATCTTGAGGTCAGTTGTTTAATGATAGAGAAGTTTGAATTACTTAATATGCAATAGCATGAAAGTCGGCGTGGAAGTTTAGGTGTGGAATATGGTGGTCGACATGTGATGATTCGCGTAAGTCACATTGGAATAGACCCGAAACGTTTCCAGGAGTATCAGAAGAAGCCGGAAGTTGTATCTAAAACAGAGGAACTGAAACAGAAATTTAAGGATAAGATAGTCCTCGGTGCCATCGATGATTTGGACGTTGTAAAAGGAATTTCTCTGAAACTTACGGCTTTTGACTTTCTATTGGCGAATTATCCGTCATATCGAAATAGAATTGTTCTTAATCAAGTGGCCATCCCAAAGGTATTTCCAATAATTATTCACGCTCCTCCTTTTCTGATTTCAAATTTTTAGACTTCTCGAGTAAAGGAAAATGTCCGGAATGAAATTCGTTCCCTTGTTGATCAAATCAATGAGCGCTATGGCAGTCAAAGTTATTTACCTGTCATGTATTTTGAGAGAGAAATATCTTTTGATGAGAGAGTTGCCATGTATAGGTTTGTATTTTGCTATCTTATTTTGTATTTCTAATTGCCACAAAGTCGAGCAGATGCCTTCTTTCTTACCCCCATCAGAGACGGTTTGAATTTGGTTCCTTATGAATATATTGTTTCAGCATCAGAAGGAAAGGGACAGCTGATCTTGAGTGAGTTTACTGGATGTTCTCGAGCTCTTTCAGGTGCTGTTCGTGTAAATCCTTGGAACATAGAAGAGGTAAATACGTTCAGTACTGTTGTAGACAATTTTGAGATTGGTTTCTTATAACAGGTCGCAAGCGTTATAGACCGTGTGATGCAACTTGATCAAAATGAAATAAGTCGAAAGCTTCATGCAGACTACAAATACGTCACAGCTCATTCAACCATGGAATGGGCAGAGTCCTTTTTGGCAGACTTGGAAAGAGCTTCTGAACCAGTGAATCGAGTCACAAAATTGGTTGGTCTTGTTATTGAAATTCATGGCCAATACCTTGCTTATGTTTTGACCAGGGACTTGGTTTTGGTGTAGGCTTTCGATTGTTGGAATTTGAAGGTTTCCGACATCTCTCAACGGATATGGTACTCCATAAATTTCAGAAATCTCAGAGACGTCTACTTCTTTTGGATTACGACGGGACTTTAACTCGCTCCGGCAACCATTCCAATCGAATGGCACATGCATGGGCAACTCCAACATCTGCCGTTATGAATAACTTGGCAGCATTATCTCAAGACACCAGGAACATAGTTTTTATTATGAGTGGTCGCCGCAAAGATGTATTAGAACAAACATTTGAGCAACATCCTAGAGTTGCATTAGCTGCAGAGCATGGTTTCCATTATCGTTGGAGTAGGGTAAGTGCTAGCCTATAGAATGTGAAGGAACTGCTTGACAACTTGTATAGGACCAACCTTGGCAAGTAATGTATCCAGATGCGGATCTGAGTTGGTTAGAGGTTGCACATGAAATAATGGTTTCTTATACGGAGAGGACAGATGGTTCCTTTATTGAAGAGAAAACAGCGGGTCTTGTTTGGCATTTTGTTGATGCAGATCCAGGTTTGTGTTGATACTTTGTATATAGCTAGACAATTGAACATGACATTGTTTCAGAGTTTGGCTCTTGGCAAGCAAAGGAGATGCATGATCATCTTGAAAGTGTTTTAAGTTCATTTGGAGTTCAAGTTATCACGGGTAATGGATGGGTACAGGTCCGTTTGAAGGACGTGAACAAAGGTGCCATGGTGAAGGTATGTTGTCGCTAAACGATTTTTTATTTTGTTGAATATTTGGTATAGAGAATCCTTGATGAGCTTTCAAGCAATACTCCGGACTTTGTGTTCTGCTGTGGTGATGATCGTACTGACGAAGACATGTTTGCCTTTCTAGGTATGTGATGTATGATCCTTTGTTCAATACGATCGCTTATGATGTTGTAGAAACTACGTTTGAAGCAAGTGAGCATCACGATGGTATTTTCACTTGTACTGTCGGAGCAAAGCCTTCCAATGCTCGATACTATCTCCGTGATAACGATGAAGTTGCAGATTTACTTGCAGCATTAGCTTCCACAAGGAATAGAATGGGAGCACCTCGCTCATATACTGTCAACGTAATTTATTAGAACTTTGAAAAGTTGCTTTATTGACTTTTATTGTTAGGACTTTCATTTTAGTCGAGAAGACAAAAGTATTTCTTTCGAGAAATCGTTCTAAAAAAGATTGTTCATTCGACCATCTTAGCATTTATTAAATAATATATATATATATATATATATATATATATTGGTAGTAGAAAATTCCAATAGTAAAGGGAGCGATATTGTTCAAGAAGATGTCTGTTTTAGTTTGATGACAATGGTATCTCTGTTGCACATGGTAGAGTCTTCAACTTTCTTATGTGAGTTGTATAATAAACTCAACAGTTGGACTATTCTCGATTCCACAAAAAGATGTGGAGAAATAATTGAATTGGCCCTTCAGTAAACCACCAAGTTGACTAAAAGGAAGTCTCGTTCTTTTTGGGGGTTTGACAAGTTTCCCTTTTATTTTTTTCAAAACTCATTCGTTTCTATCAGTTGAATACGTTCTGGTTTCTTCCTGGTTGACGAATAAGCTGTCATGGATAAACTGGTGGCGCTGCGTAATAAGTACCAAACTTTCTTGGATAAGTTAACCCCATTCATTTTGTATCGCTGGGTGTGCTTTGGTTAGTTAGTTTCGTGTTTCTATATGCTATTTACAAAATTACTGCAAAGGCAATATACTCGTTCTCTTTCTTGTTCGAATATTTTTAGCACAGGGATTTTATATTATAGCATATGTTTTATTCATCTACTTACTTAACCTTTTCATACTTTTCTTGCAACCTCAAGTAAGAATGAAACTTAGTTTTGAATGATTACGTGGAGAACGTATTTTTAGGATCGTGAGGCGCTTGCTTCCTCGAATGCAGAGGGTCCAACCCTTCCTGTGAGTTCTTCCGATGTAAGATATTTTTACAGTCAATTCTTCGTATCTCAAAGTCGTGTCAGGAATTTCGGCCGTTCGTTAGAAGGCTACCTGAGTTTAAATTCTGGCTATCTGCGACGCGTGCCACTATTCTTTGTTTGTTTGCTACTGCGTTTAGAATACTTGACATACCAGTATTTTGGCCTATATTGGTTTGTTGCTAGTCTTATTCTAGTGTTCTTAACAGTATCTGAAATGTCTCATAGGTTATTTACTTTATTATGCTCTTTGTTGCAACCATGCGCCGACAGATTGCAGATATGATTCAATATCATTATTTACCCTTTAACTTTGGCAAAAGGAAGTATACAAGTTCTACCAAATTCGTAGCAAGGCGACAAGAAACTCAAGACAACGACGCTATTGCCCTGAAGAGTTCTGCAAACATCAAGTTACCTGCTTCGGCACAGTCTCCGAGGAATAGTGGAACCCAGCTTGATAACGTTAAAGACAACGTTAGTTCAGGAACGACAGGAACCGTTCCCGGAGGTTCTTTGAAAACTCCTTCGCCCACTTCTAGACAGCTTCATCGCTTTCACAGAGGGTAACTGAATTTGCCTTTTCATAAATATTTTTGTATTCTTATCATCTTAGCTTTTTCTTTCTGAGTCGTTCTTTCCGTAGCTGTTTTAACTGCCTACGCAAGTGGGACTTTGACCAAGAAATGTTCTTCTCTTCCAAACCTTTTTGAAAACGTAATCCTACTTCTTTTATTTCACTCCAAGCATGTTCAAAGTTTTCAAACAACTCGGAAACAAAGGTATCTTGAGGCTCAGGTTTCTTCTCCCATACGTGTTGGGGAGCTGGCCTTCTCTTAAGAGTCCTTTGTAAACTTTCAATTCCTTTCGTGGGTTCTTCATACACTATTTCCGAATCTATTTTTCTTTCACTATCTCCCAATTTTAGATAAGTTTTTACTTGAAGAGCTCCTGTTTGATACGAGGTAAATAAGCTTCGTAAGTTTGTTGCCATTGACGAAATCAATTCTTTGGCATGACATTTGTTGGCTCATGGAAAGCGAGTCGTCCACTTGGCCTTGTTACGAGTAAGTGTTAAATTACTTTTCAATCGAACGTTTTCACTATTCGTCCAGAGAACATTGGGTTCCATTTGCGAGTCCTGATTTGGCACTTGTAGCCTTGAAGAGTATACAGGCAGACCCAGAACTTCGTCCTAATCAAGTATAGAGCAGATTATTCTTTTAAGCACAATTTGTCACTATTTTTTCTACAGGTGAAGCGTATTCTTTCCGTACAAGATAATTCATTGCATGTGTAAGAAAAATCTATACTTTTTTGAGAGATTTTCTCATGAGTGCTGTAGTCAGTTGTATGCAAAAGATGAGCGAGCGTTGAGAATGGCGTTGCAGTCACTTCAACAAATGATTTATGTAGTACAAACAGCGATAACTTGGTTCTCTACCGATTATTGGAAGACTGCTGCTTAAAGTTTGGAGTTCTCCTGTTGATAAAGTAGATAGCGATCTAGGAACATGGAAACCAAAGCGTTCCAATACACACTAATAATATTGTGTAAGTTGCACATACGATACCCTTTTACGAATATTTGGACTTACCGATTGGACTTTTTCTGATATCCATGTCCTTCATCCTTTGCTATCATATACCAACATTCCACACCATTCTTGCGCACTGCTTGTACAATTTGCTCAGATTCACTAGCAGGTACTCTCGGATCATTTTGCCCAGCAGCAACAAAAAGAGGCACAAAAATACGCTGAGAATGTGTTAATGGCGATATTGATAAGAGAAATTTGCGCATTTCGGGATCTCTTTCATCACCATATTCCTTTCTTCTACTATCTCTTCGATAAGCCGAAGTTCCCTAAGATACGAAAATTTCATAAAGTTTCTAGAATAAGTCAAGAAAGAATGTACCTCCAAATAGCTAACAAAGTTGCTAATACCGACCATATCAATTGCTGCACGAATTCGATTCCCGTACTCTATTATGGATGATAAAACCATAAACCCTCCATAAGAACCTCCCAATACAGCAATTCGCTCGTTGTCTAAAAACTTTTCATATTTTTTCGTATCCAAACGAAACCAAATAATGAATACTCACTGGCTGCTTAGCTATCCAGTCAAGTAACGAACCAATATCCTTGACAGGATCCTTCCTTCGGTACTGATCATCTAGACTCATGTAACGCTTTCCATATCCACTGGAACCTCGCACATTTGGATCCAAAATTGCTAATCCCTTCTCTAACAACAAATACTGAAACAAAGGAGTGAAGACGGGAAGGGACTGCTGCTCTGGCCCTCCATGGATATGAATGAGTACTGGAAACCTTTTGGAATCCGACTTTGGCAAATACAACCAACAAGGAATCTTTAAACCGTCAAAGCTATCAAACTCTACCAAATAAGGATTAATAAATCTATTCCTGTCCAAACCTCCTACTTCTCCGAATGTCCATCTTCGAACAATCTTTGTATCTATATGAACAGTATAAATATCACCAGGGGAGATGGGTGAGTATCTAGAAAAGGCTAAGAGACCTAAACTAGCATTGAGGCGCAATCTTCGTATAACTGAGACATTCACTTCACGAAGTGAGAAATTTGCTAGAGTTGAAGTCTTAAGACTATCATCATGCAGTACACTTGCTGTATTTTTTAAAACTGTTTCACTCTGTAAAAAGATTTGATGCAGCTCCACCTTGGGAACTACACGTTCATTATCCTTTCGCAAACTACCAAGAAACAGCTCAAAACTTCCTCGATTATTCACAGCAAAAGCAAACACTGAACAATTGGGAGTCCAATAGTTTGCCACTGCCAATTCTTCAATATCACCCGATACATTAGTTTCTACTTGGGTCAATGGTTTTCCAAACGGATCATGGATTCTCAGAGTATGAAAATCTTCGCCAGCATCTGATACAAGAGCAATAGGGCAGTTCTCTACTTTCTCACTAACTTTCAAGAATTTGGCAAATGAAATTGCAGATTTTGCAGTAGTACCCCCTTCCGATTCAACACTTGGTAAAATAGATACCCACATTGAAGGATTGTTCAAGTCCATTAAATACAAATAAGACTCTTCGGAAGATATAAAATTTCTGAGCAGAAGGCGACTTTGATAAAAATCCATGGGTGACCAGCTTCCTTGTCCCTCAAAAACAATGCGAGGAACGCTAGTTTGAAGTTGTCTCTCATGATGAGTACTGAAATCTACAATATATATATCCCAGTCTTTGCCATTACGCTCCGTACTGTAATAACACAGAGAAGAACCATCTTCATTCCATAGAATGGCACCACAACGACCCTTCTGTGTCCTACTCACCGGATAATGAAGGCCACTTTCCATATCCATATAAAAAACAGAAAATTTTTCAGAACCTCCTGTATCTTTAAGATATGCAAAGCCTCTTCCACCTGGTTGCCACAAGGCATCATATACGGGTTCACTGAAAAAGGTTTGTTGTTCACGACAGGCACCAGGACCTGCGATGCACTGGCAAAGTTCAGTTAAGGTTTCTTACATCAATAGGAACTTCGTAAAACTCACATGTATATTCGAAGTTTCGCCAAATCTCGTGGAAAACAAAATACTCCCAGACCTGTCACCTCCACTGACAATGTCACACACTAGTGACGATCTTGAAGTTTGAAACTGAGAGATGACTTGAAGCAAAGAATCCGAAGGTTCCGGGACACTGTCCAAAACAAGATTACCGACCTAACTATGTTTATTAAAGTTGCAAACTTCTTGAATATTTGTTTCTACCTCTTTGCGCATATCTTCGACTGAAATAGCAGACTTAGAAATGAGTAAACAAACAAAGAAAAGAAATGAAAGGGAGAAATTGAAGCACCCTCATGTCTAAAGTATCATTTGGCGAAGGTAATCAAATATGGCCTTTAAAGGCACAACGTTCTTGAGTGTGTCCTTGTCTTCCACATTTTGAACAGTATTCCTTCATTCCGGGCAATCTCTTGGCCAAATATATTTCCTCAAACATATCATCTAGTCGAGCCAAAGTACCGTCGAAATAGAGAGCCAGCTCGGCAATTAGAGACTCATTTCCAGATTGTGCTAGGACTTCATCTAGTAGCTTCTGAATATCAATAATAGCAACCATAAGTTCCTCTCTACAAGACCATCGAGCTATTTCAAGAATCTCGCTCTAGAAACTGCTTATAAACTCAGTAACTTCAAGTTGGTCAGTTACCAACCTGATTGCTTTGGTAATGACGTTGAGTCATTCTCCATCCCTGATAAAAGGCAAAATTGACCAACCAACAAAGTAGTAAACAAGTACAAGGCTTCGAGTCTTTCTCCAATGCCTGTTTTTCGATTATTAAGCAAAAATAGAACAAAGTTCTCGTTAGCTTACTCTATGACTATAGTCAATAAGCTCCTGTGCACCATATGTTGGCTGATATTCTTGCGGTTGACCCTTAGACAACTGCAACAAATGATGCCACTTGTTTTTAAACCAATCAAGGTCTTCTTTAACTACAACACAAAAGCCACTGGCAAGATTTCCAAAGATGGACTCAAACATATCACAAAGAATGACTTGCGACTGCGCTAGCCTGTACCGCTAAAAACATAAACTCAGTACACTCTGTCAAAAATGGAACAAAGATACCGACATCGTAGACCCACTTTGTCAGCTGTGCACTTGTTACGGTTCCTGCCGCACACTCTTCATAGAACGAGTTCAAAGTAATTTTGGTCCACATATTGTGTTTCTCTAAAATCCATCTATTCGTTTGTGAATTATCCACCGACTCGACATCTTCATCATCAAGATTTAGTTCACTGTCGTAGTTATTCAGATCTCCTAGTACAAGTGAATGTAAATCCATTCTACTAATGCCTCAAGATCCGTTACTGTGATGAAAATTCCGGTTTCCCGCCAAAATTCAGGGACACTCTCTTAAAAAAAATTGAATTCTATTTATTTCCTCTAAATAATCGAATCAAGTTCATTTAGCAAACCATATTCACATCAAAGGATCCCTCGTGATCGCAAAGATGATGCAAACTAGAAATTATCAAAGACAACTGTCTTTTCAACTGTTCTATTGTAGGTCTTTCTATAAATTTTACACTCTTGACATGACTACCCGTATAAACAGTACCAGCAACATGACCTGCATCGCGTTCATTCAAACTATCTCCTAATACCAAAAGATTCAAACGCGTCATATCCACCGGTAGACGGCCCAATTCCAATAAGAATGCTTTTTCTTTCCATTGGGCGGGAGAGTCAGGGAATTCCTTCTCAAAATTACTCCTTGCAGAAACTACGCGAATTCCTTCTTCGATATAGCTGAACACCCGAGGAATAAACTTCTTGGAAGACAACTCTACCCATCCAGTTTCAGCGTTCGTGACAATGCTTACGATACCGTGCTTTGAGCATTCTATTAGTAAGCTAAGAACCAAGCCTTCCAACTCATTTAGTTCCTGATAAACTGCATCAGGAACTTCTTGCGTTTCATCAACCTTTAACCCTTCGCCAGCCAACCATGAAGAAGATAACAATGTGTCGTCCCAGTCTAAGATAATGACAGTCCGGTCAAAATTTGGACAAACAAAAACGCATTCAGTTGATGCAACAGCAATATTTTCGCTCTCGGGAGTCACGTCAGAAAGAGAATCTGAAGAAAGGCGCTGTATATTGTCAAAGGAGTCAGTATCCATGGCCTCCTCGTTGTCTTCAGAAATGTTATCACCTCCACGAAGGACTTTCTCGACCGCTCCTCTGATCAATTCGAGCTCTTCTTCTCGTATTTCTACAGAAGTAGCATCGACTCCTACAGTGCGAGAGAAATCTTGGGTTTCCTTCCGTAGAAACGTCTTGCCTTTAAACTTGCTCTTTTGGTTGTCTACCTGCATATCAGGGTGACATGAGTTTACAGGGTCAAGGGTTTCAGTGCACGACTGAAGAGAGTCAAGCACTTCTGTCGAGACCGTTTCCGAAAATTCCAAGTTCACGGCGTCTAACTCTTCGTTCCTACTTATTTTAGGCTCAGAACAGGAAGAACCCGAATAACACGATGAAACCGGGGACAAACAAGAGTCAACACCCACGTCCAGCAACATATTCCAAGTACACTTGAGTTACTGCCAAATAAGCCCACTCACTACCTCTAGTCCAACCTTTCCTTTCCCGAAGAGGCTCCCCTATCAACAAAGCTTCGCTATTCGTCAAACGACAAAAACTTTTACGCGCGAAACGAAAACCCTCTTCAAATTCCCTTCAAAATCGCCAAACGTTTTTCATCATCTTTCGTAATGGCCCTCCCAGAAATAATTTAACATGGGCAGATCTTAGGTCTTTAAGGGCCAATATGAGTGGTAGCTATTCCACCATAATCTTTCCGATTTGATTCAAACGAACTACACTTCATTTTTAAACTTATTTTGGCCTTGAGTCGAGAGAATTGTTCAAAGAGGAATCTTAGCAGTTGACAAATGCAGCAATGACATTTTCAAGTTTAAGCCAATGATTGCCAGAGTCGGCATGAATACTTGGCGTTTACAGTGATTTTCTCAGTTAAATAGAAAAGAAGGTCGAGCAGAGAATGTTCATATTACAAGTAAAAACTGCGGTCGACAAAACCATTCATTGCTGTGCTCATGATATCTTTCACTCGCCACTATAGTCTGTATTTTGGCATTCCAGCCACAGACTTGGCACATAAAACTTCAACTCCTTTGTTTCCATATAAGAATAGCAAACATTTTGATACTTTTCAATATTGAGTTTTACTTCTCTTTCGAATGAAACAGTAAAGTTACCCGGCTGAAGCTAAAGGAGCATCAATTATACTTTATGCTAACTAGTCATAACCAGTAGGCCAACGAGCTTGTCTGCTAGAGTTGTCTTCTTCATTAAATAAGGCCTTGCCGACGAAGATCCTCATATGTACGCCTATTAAATACATTCCCTTGTGCATCTTCGAACTCTTCCTCTTCTGGTCGAAACCGCTGTAATCCTCCAGTTAGCAATAAAACATAAAATTTGAACTCTACCTACCTCCAGTTCCATTTGATTTTTCAACTTTGCATCTAATCGTAACGCATCTTCTATACCTGTCACCATATAAAAGTGCCTGCTGTACTGAATACCCAAAAAACGTAAACCTTGAATGTGTTTCGCTTCCGTAAAATGCCTCTCAAAGGCTCGAGGACCTCTATAGTTCTCGTTTCCACATATTTCACATGAGTATTCTAAGTTTAGGCCGTACAACTTGTATAACCAATACGGAATTGGTTTGCCGTCCCTGATCAGAAAATATTCATTGACTATTTTCGCTTACAATAACATGACAAACCATCCCAAAGGTATATTCTTTGGATTGTAGATAGGTTTCTCTTCTTCTTCTCCTTCCTCTTCACTTTCTTCTTCGGGATTCTGAAGAGCTTGTTCTTCTGAGATCCTCTCTGCTTCGATTTCAGTATATGACTGCGAAAGCTTCTTTTCCACATAAGTTTTCGTATTTGCCACTTCATCCGCCAAAATTTCCTCACAAAGATATTGAATAAGCATTTCCATTTTGGCAACTTCCTTTCTATTTGCACTTTCTGAAGTTGTCTTCTGATCACCATTGCCAGAGTTTCTTGAATATTTTCGAGAAAACATGGATGCAGGCAAAGATGATAACTCTCTAAGTTAACTATATGTCGACATTGAAAGTGATACGACAACAACAAAACTCACTTGTTTTTGGTTTCAAAAAGTCTCTTTGCTCTTTCACTAGGAGTTCCTCCACATTTCAAACCCATTGACAGTAAAATCTGCTTCATTTCCTCTGGCGACATATTTGCTTCTAGTTCACTCGCGCTATTAAATTTGTCTAAATTGATAGTGGGCTTATTAGACACAGCTCAGTAAGAAAGTATGGTATGTTTCAAATACGTCAACTACCTCAGAAACTTCTGGTTTCCATTGTTGTTCAAATTGTACTTCAAGGCTGTCTCTTTCAGCTCTTTCATCTCTTAAAGGCCGTAGTTTTCGACCAAAATCTTCCAAATAACTCAGCAAAGAAGAGAGGTATGTCTGATATGCTTTCTTATTCTTGAGCTATGCAAAGTGAAACAATAACTACAGTCAAAAGTCTATATCCTTACCGATTTACTGAAAAACTCAAACTTGTAAAAAGTACTCAAATAGTCGATGTAGTCAACTTCGGGAGCTCCTTTGATGTTGACAAAGGCCTCGTAAAGACTTGAAAGATCCAAATATCGGCCTACAACAAATAAAGTGACTGCAAGTTTCGAAACAAACCAAAAGCAAAATAACCATAATTTTCCTCTCCAGAGAAAACGAGTTTTGGTTCCGTCAACGCAAGCAACTCTTCCTCTTGTTTCTTGGCTGTTAAAGTTGAAGAGGACTCCAATTCATTTCCTCTACCTCCAGACTTCCTATACGACTCCTTTATTTCTCGTAGTCTTTCATAGAATAACGAAAGCCGTTCTGGTTGTTCCAAATATTCAATTTCGGCAGCTCTGGTTCCTAGATTTAACTCTAAGTCACTACCTACAAAACATGGACACTAAACTAATACCATCTTCATCCTCGTAAAGTCTTAAGAGTTTCTGATATCTGTCCTGAATAAATTCTACGAGGTTCCTGACTCTTTGTTCGGTCTCCAGTTTGGGAAGATAGGACTGGACAAGAGAGGACAAGTAAGGAATTGAATTCATCTAAAACAAGAACTGAGAATACCTTTGGCTTTTCTTTAAGCAACTTTGTCGCAAGTTTGACGGCTCTTTCAACGTCTTCATGATAAGTTCTTGTGAGTTCCAACACAGACGAGGCCATTAAGTAATTGATGCACACAACTGAAAAATTCGTCTACTACATATTTGATTCATTGTAAACTTTTTAGAAATATATTTTTCAATTACTGTTGACAAAAGTTTTTCAATATACCGCATTTTTGTTTAGGTGTAAAATGTCGTTATTGCACCGATTCTCAACTCGCGGTGGATTTTGGCATGGCAGCAGTGCTCTTTGAAGATGTCTTTTCAGTGACTGAAGTTGACATGGTGAAGGACCCCAAAGACCCTTCCCGTAAAATAAAGGAAAAAAAGTTTGATAAAGGTGAGAGTTGGCTTGGTTGGTTTAGTCTAGTATTCTTACAATTTTCGCAAAGTTTCCAGAATACTTTGCTATGGAGAAAACTATCAGACAGAACTTTTGTTAGATATAAACAACGAAATTTATCCTATTGTAGAGAAGGAAAAGTTTGAAATGGTTTTAGCACCAACGCTATCTTTGGATGGTCGGCCTGACGATGGCTTGTATCATCCTTCTGAAGAACCAAGTTTGCTGGACAAGTTTGAATATGGCATGTATGGTAAAATTTTTAAGTTTGCAGAGGAAGTTGGAAAGTCGTGAGTGCAGTTTGAGTTGTTTTTTTGACGACTCTCACCCTATCTAGTGTTGTATATATCTCGTTTGGCGGTTTACTTATGGCCTTGAAAGGAGAGCCTAGAATTATTACTCCGCAATCTTTCGAAGTCGACTCCGGAATTTATATTCTCATTCGCAAGTTGTGATGCCACGATAAACTGACTTTTCTCTGAGGAAAGCAAATTAGGTGACATTTTGGATAGTTTTTTTCAAGGAATACTTAGGTGGGCTTTTACAGCAAAGTAAAACTTTATTTAAAATATTTGTTACCTTTGTACGTTATGACTTTGTATTATTTGATGAATAGTTGTTTCGCTATATGTTGTGCAATGACTGGGAGACTGCACTCGCGGGAAATTTGTAATTGGAAACGAATTTTTTTATGAAAGAGAAAAGAGTGCTGTTGAATGAAGAGCTTATTTTGAACGAGCAGTATGGAATCCCACAGTTGATAAGAGAACTTGAAACAGTTCAAAAAAATCTTAAACAAGAAAGCTCAATAGAGACTATAGGGAAAATTTTGGAGACATGGCAAATATGGGCAAACAAGTTGAGTCCAAACATGGAGTTCGGAAGGTTTGTTTCTAGACTACAAGCTCTTCAGTCTCTAAGGGGTATAAGAACCTTTCTGAGTGATCAAAGAGAGAGGTTGGTGGTCTCCAACTTCGAAGCAACTAAAACAGATGTTCCCTCGGACTCTGGAGTTTTTAGTGACACTCCCAATTCTTTACGTACTAGGAGAGACCGAAATAATATGGAGGAAAATATAACTAGTAAACAACATTCTTCGGATTCTTTCTCTGATTGTTTCACTCAAGTTGACGCTAGTACCGATATTGAACCTACTCAAGAACTGGACTTTCCACTCGAAGATAGTGAACAAGATATATAGTTGTGCACCAAGTCACTTCGCTGTTGGCAAAGCTACAACTTATAAAGGATGAAGTTAAGGCCGAAACAATCTAAAATAGGTTTTATAGTAACTTCTAATTTGCTGCTGAACGCCTTTCCCTTATAAACTTTTGAAACTGAAGATATGTTTCTACTCTATCGAACTTATAACAACCAAAAGCTACTTCTGCAGCAGTCCCACCTAAAAAATAAAGTCCTGTCGCAGAAGATATACAAACGATCAACGAGGTCAACGGGCTCTTCGAAAACTTCACGCTGTAGTAAGTTCCTAAGGCAAATCCAGCAACAGCTGACAGTTCTTCAAATCATCCAGTTAGCTACTTCCCTTTCAATTAAGCAATTACCAACCTCCAGTTCTCTTCACCTTTTGTAAAGTATGAAGCCTCTCTCCGTAAACTGGAACTGTGGCGACAAAAGCTTCACGTTCTTCTTTCGTTGGGACAGCATATTTTCCCTCCAACGAATCTAAGAAATAGGCAAGACGACGATTTTTTTCAAGATAACTTTAAAAATTTCAACACAATAACGGTGAAACTTTGGCAATTCCTTACTGATGCCAACTTTGTACGTAAAACGGTTCATTTGAGCTCTCTCCCATTTTCTCCAACTGTCCAACTGTAACAAATAATTCCTTTCGTTGCTCATCTTATGAATGAGACATGGCATGTTTACTCATTTTGCCAACCTGAAGAATGACTGCCATAAAGCACTTCAGGGGACTAACAAGAATTTTTAGTAGAGCGACAGCTACAAGAAAACCATCTCTTCCTAACCTTTTCGACAGGAAACACAATATCCCAATCTTCTTCGTTAAGTTTATAAAAAAAAACAACTTCTTCTTCCTGTATGACAAGCTACTCCTTTTTGATCAACTTTAATTAGAACAGAATCTCCATCACAATCGATGTAAATATCCTTTAACCACTGAACCTGACCTGATGTTTCCCCTTTCCTCCATAAAGACTTCCTAGAACGTGAATAGTAGCAGGCTCTTCCTTCCTTCAGAGTAACAAGAAGTGCTTGTCGGTCCATCCAAGCTAGCATCAGAACTTCTTGTGTATCATACTGTTGAGCTACAACAGGCACTAAACCGTTACTGTCGAACTTTACTCGTTCCAGTAACTTTGAAGGTTGCTGTGTAGCACATAAATGAAGACTGGCTTGTCGTCTGTGCGACAAAGAGTTGCTATGAAGCAGCCTTGAACGTCTGTTGTCACAATTAGAACAAGAAAAACTCTTGCAAGATTTGTCAAACACAAGTTGCTTGCGTCCCCACGTAGCGTAACTAACAAAGGCCCTGGTACTAATCATAATGAGCAAGTGAGAAGATCTTGGTAAATTTTTCCATCATTGGACTGTTGTTCTTCGCAGTTACATATTTGTAGATGAAGTCTAGAGATAGTTATGAAAGAGCCAAAGTAGAAGAAGGCAACCACGTAGAGGAGTTTTCAGTGGAATTAGAAGACGTCTTCTTTGACTCTCTTTCAGACCACTTTGAAGAAAGAGGCATTGACTGGCCAGGTAAGGAAGCCAGCCAAGTTTTTTTCCAGCTGACACTTATCTTGATTGAAAATAGAATATGAAGAAAATAGCTCTTATTCTAGTTTTAAAACTGACGTAGATTGTGAAAATGGGAACAAGTTTAAGAAACGGGGAAAGAGAAAGAAGAAACAAAAGTCTGAAGCCCAACGGACGGAACTCTCTTCCACACAGACAGGAGGCAATCAAACTAACAATTCCTCTTTTACTGGTATAATTGTTGAACGTTCGAAACCAAGATCAGTATTCAAAGAAAAAGACGGGAAGAAGGAAATGGAAAATAGATTCTTTGCAGAACTGAAACTACTAAAGGAGCACATGCTTAAGAAGGAACAGGACTTGTGCGTCATTAATTTCTCTAGGCAAGTTTAGAAACGAATAATTAGAAAGAAGTCAAGTAACTTTGTTCTCTAGTTGTCAAGTTGGGAAGAAAAAGTCGCGTTTGATTTCGTCAGCGTTATCAACTGGAACAGGGTTCGAATTCACGGCTTCTTTTGACTGTTCCAATAATCTTTTAAAGAATGCCGGGACTCGGTTATTGGCGCAAGCCATACGAGATTCAAACATATCTCTTATTCTGTTAGACCTATCAAAAAATAGGGTCGGAGACGATGGCGCTACTTATTTGTTCAAATCCTTGGAGTCGCAGAAAGTTCTTTCGACTCTAAACCTCTCCAGTAATGACATTGGTCCAGTTGGAGCCAAAGCTTTGGCTGAATACTTGGGAAAGAATTCCAGTGTTCCCGAGTCTATTGATATTTCTCATAATCATATTGGTGACAATGGTGCCATTGATATTGCGAATAGTTTATTGTCAGATTTTTGTAAGCTTCAAAGGCTGAATATATGCAACAATTCGATTGGTGTTAAAGGAACAGAAGCCCTTATTTTATCGTTATCAGAAAAAAGTTTATCCGGTCCCAGCAAACAGTTTCATTTGGATTTGTCATATAATTATTATTCGAGGGAAGTTCTGGACACAGTAGAAAGATTGAAGAGAGAAAATGGCAAGTGCGAAATAATTCTTTCCCAAGATTATCTTCAACAGGATACTTTCTGTGAAGATTCTCTTGAATGCAATAACCATATGCAAAGTAGCGAAGCAGATGAAGAGTTTGATTCCACTGGAGAGGGCTGGTGCAATTGTGAATCCGTTCAAGATATTTTTAATGCTGCGAATGTTATTGAGGCCTGGCTTTGGAACACAGAGAAAAGCCTCTTTTGTCCAGAAAAGGTCAATGAAGCTTACGATAGTATAATAAGATATTTGGATGAGGAGTTGAATTTCAGTGAAAATAGCAACTTTAATGTATTACCTGCTGAACAATCACAAGATGAGCTAAATGACATACAATATAGAAAGAGGAACTTCGATAACAAGTCAGAAGTTTGTGATTTACCTCCAGCTGTAAGAGCTACTGTCGAACTTTTGGATATCTTAATGCAGCCAGTTTTTGATGATTTATTTGAAGGTTGCTCACACAAAGCTCTCACTGAAGGAGATGAGTGTTTCAGAAAGTGTAACGAGAAGGATAACGAGCTTATCACTCCTTACGCTATGTGTTCGCAGTCACGTATAGTTTTTCCCCGACTTCGCTATTTTCGTTACAAGTGTATCGAGATAATTTGGAAACTTGTTTGCTTTCGTTTTCAGTGTATAGATAAGTATGTTCATTTGACTTGAGCCCATCGCATTTTGATACTGATTTGTCATGAAAGTTTGTTATCCTACCAGGGTATTATGTCACGATGTTTAGAGTTGATATCGGAATATCCTCAGAGTAATTGTTTCCAGAATTTATTGTTGAAAATATTCGAGGAAGCGTTTGGATCTGGTAAGGGTATTGTTTTGTATTGACTCGGCACAGAATCTTATTAATGTGTAATTTTAGAAAGAAATAGCGATATATTACTCTGGTCCTTTCTACTTCCTTGGTCATTTGCATCCAATACGGCATATAATGTTCTCCATGTTATTCGAGACGTCTACACATTGTGAGTTACGTCTGTTTGGCCATGAACCAAACTTATGTTGACTAGGAACTCTTTATTGAATGAGAAGTTTCCGAAGATAGGAAATTTAAGTGCTTTAAGTACCGTTTCACGTTTTGCTAGGCTTCTGAAAGAAAAAGCCGATCAATTTGAAGAAATACGTATGATGCTCGAGAATAATAAGGAATGGCATAAACTACAAGAAGAGATATTTCCCAAGCTTCTGGATATGGCTTCCTCATATGCTCTTGGTGATGAAGTATGTTGTTTGGGAGGAAAGAAACCAGTCAGATCGAGTTTTAGTTCTGGTCCTCCAATAGACTGGGCTGCTATTTTTCGAGGATTCCCTGGAAACTCGTTTTCCAGGTTATCTTTGGGAAGGTAACACCAAGAGGGTTAAACGATAATTTTAAAAATAATTTGCAGATAAAGAATATTTCATCGTTGAGAAAAATCCATTCGTGTTGAGTGGCATGTAAATGTGTGTTTGGCGATTCAGTAGTGTGTATTTTATAAGCATTGCTACTATTCTGGGAACAGGTATTCTTGGCCTCCCCGTAACACTTTATAACTGTGGATTCTTGCCTTTTTTTGTCGTTTTCACTGTCGTGTTATTTGCCCAAATATGCGTAGTTTTTGCGTTTGTAGAACTTTTACAACGAACTGATGCCTCACTTTCGAAACTGACAACTGAGCTACATCCTATTAACACAAGCAACGTTGAAGCGGTCGATTTCCAACTTATTACTGACAGTTCAATCAACCGAACTGCAACGGAGCAGACAGAAGATTCTTCAACAGGGAAGAAGTTCCCGCATACTTCTATATCCAGTGTCAGAGGGACAACTCTTTCAGGTAGTTGGAATTTATAGTTTTGAATATCTCTTACTTTCATTCCATATAGAAGGGAAGCCTGCGGCCTCTCTCTTCACCATGAGTGCTTTGTACCTGAAGAATCCACTCATTCGCTTTCTTTTTGAGCTGACTGTTTTGGTACACTTTGTGAGCATCATGACGAGTTATGCTTTGGCGGCTCCTCAAAGTTTCCGACAATTTTTTGGCCTAGATGTTTCAAACTCTTTTACCACTACTCTTCTTTTTGTTTTATTATGTTCTTTCCTAGTATGCTTTGTATTACCTGGTGCTTTGAACGTAGTATCGATTGCCACGGCTTTGAAAGGAAGCATACTTATCGTTTTAATTGCACTAGTTACTACTGTAAGTCTTAGAGTAGGTCAATCGTTCCAAAACCGCTTTAATTACCTGTTCGACTCCTTTTTGATTGGAACAGTCTCCCTGGGTAGTGTGGTTAATATCATGCCAGTTACTTGGTCTCAATTGGGTTCTCAAAAAGATAATCGTACTGTTAAGTTGTACCGCATTTCTGTTGTTTTGGCAGTCGTTACTTGTTACATTTTGTGTACTGTTTGGTGTCTCGCAATATTGTTAGTTGTTCCACAATCGTCATCTGTGGACTCTCTTCAGACTGCTTACAAATTGGGTCAAATTTCGACTATTCCTTTGGTTTCCCAACTCCATCAAGTGAACTCCATTCCTAACGTTGTCTCTTTTTTGGTAAACGGTTTCATTTGTCTCTCTACTACGGTCAGCTTTTTAGTTATGGGAAGTGGTTTAAAGAGTGCATTGGATGGATTAGCATTTCGTTGGACAAGACTCGAGACAAATGAAGCAGTATTTTCTCCTCGATGGAAACGGTTAGGAGAAAACAAAATCCGCGGAGTACTCTATTTTTGCTCTTTTGGTTTGATTGCGTTGTTAGCAGCGTCGAATCCTCATTCTTTTATGCGTGTTTTGGAAGGATTTACTTCTCTTTGTTTAAATACGGAGTCAGGTCTTTTTGTAGGTTGGATGCTCCTTTCCAGCTCGTCAGTTATAAACTCTATGGAATTGATGCTTCCCATGAGAAAGAACACTATTGTGATTTTGGGATATTTCATTGAAGTTTTTTTCGCGTTAGCAATAGCTACTAGTGTCATATATCTTAGTTTCTAGAAGAAATATCTCGGAGCCACAAACAAGAAAAAGATATTGTAATCATTAGATACTGCAATTTCCTATGAAAAGCATTAACAAGTTGTTTACTATTTTGCCCATCATTTTTGTGTCCTTGTCAAAGGTCCTTTTGATTTTCACCTTGTTAGTTCTATATTCACCTAAAAATGATAGAATTACGGTCATCAGTCTTGAATATCTTTTGTTCGCCAGACTGTATAAGGATTCGTCCCAGTTTTGTTTTGTAGAAAGTTCATGCGTGCTGCGAGATTTTTTGATTTTGTAAATTTTCACTGCTGCCGCACCCAAGAGAATGAAAAACCTATCAACAAAGCTTACGGCGTGCTTTCTGGCTAGCACCTGTAAGAAGGACTTTCCTGTTTTGTATAGTCAAAGGAAGACGCAGCTGAAGCTTTGTTGTCCAAGACTTTGTGCAAAGACTGGACTGTTTGGATGCAGGCATTTCTCCTTGCTGCCAGGGAAAGCAATCAAACTGGCTATAGACGAAAGATACCCAACTTATTTATATTTCGTAAAAGAACTGTACCATCGTACAAACATGAGTCTAAAACTAAGAAACTTTGAAGCACAGATAAATATCTCACAGAGAAGAGACGGTAAAAGAAACTCTGGCAGGCTGTTTGTACTCAGCGACCAAATCTATGAGTTTGTGAAGGAAGTTATACGGAAAGAAAATTTTGTATTCGAAGAAAAGGGTACTTTGAAAGAGTTGAGAGGAACTCAAGTCTCTCAGAGTATCTCTAGTGTCAAAGAATCAGTGTGGAAGCTAGAACAACTCTTCACTCTCGGTCGTTTACAAGAGCTATCACGAGAAGATGCGCAATTTTTATTGAGGGAAGCTGCTAGTCGAGGAGATACAAATACTGTACTTTGTATCATTTCGAAGCTCGAGGAGTTGCCTACCAAACCAGATTACCCAGAATACAACTTTCTGATTGTTTCTCTTCTTGTTGAAAGAGATCTAGAAGGTATTCGAAGAGTTTTTCGGGATTGGATTTCTTCGAACAAGTGCAATTTAGACGGAAATAGAGTGCATAGCTTAATAGATTCTTGTTTTCGTCTAGTGAATGACTGTGCTGTGCCTGACATATTGCAGGTTGTGGAAGATATCTATGCAGTTGGCGGAAGAGCGACAACACAAACCTGGAACCGCATTATTGGAGTAGTTGGTAAACGTGATTTGGAACAAGTTCTAAGTGTTTATCGGAAAATGCTGAGTCTAGACCGAAGAGCGTTGAGTCAGACAACATTCAATCTGCTTATTAGTATTTTCAAGTATTCCCAAAGTTGGAACAAATCGGTAAAGGCTTGTGTTTATTTGCTTGAAGTTAGTTTTGAAACATGTTGTAGGCCGCATGGGTTGGCGCAATGTTCTACAACGGATTGAAACCAGACGCATACACATGTAATAATCTTTTAGATGTTTGTTTATATGTTAGAGAATATTTTCGCGCAAGTAAGGTCGAGATAATTTTGCCAGCTCCTTATTGAACGAATCTCAAGAATCTATTATTGCATTTATGAAACGTCATCAGATAGCTCCTGATATCTGTACCTACACTCAGTTGTTGAGGCTTAGTGGTCGCACCCGCTTATTTGATGACGTTGGTGTAAATACGACGTATACAGAAATAAGCAGTAGTAAAGCAATTCGTCACATATGGAAGTTGGTTCATAGCAAGTTAAATCCAGACTTGACTTTTTACAACGCATTGATCGACGCTTTTGTTCGGATGGGTGATATTCATAGTGCTCAGGAAGCATTTGATAGCTTAGCATCCCATTCTTTGGAACCTGACGTGATCAGTTACAATTCGTTGATGCATGGTTACGCTCGTAATGGTGATCTATCCAGTAAGATGTTGTTCGAATATAATCGTGTCTCCTAAATGTCATTTCGTAGGTTGCCTGACTTTAATGCAAAAGATGCGGGAGGCTGGGGTTCGAATGGATGAAAGGACTTATTGTATAGGAATTGTGGCGTGCAAAAATGCTGGAGATCCAGACCATGCTATGGTAAGTAGAAAGCCGTCAATGAGCCGTTTTATATATTAAGTAATGAACAGAAAATATACTTTGACGCGTATGAAAATGGACGAGCACAAGGTGAAGTATTACATCACGCTGTGTATACGGCTTGTGGCCCAAAGTTTGAAAATGCCAGGCGCATTTGGAAGGCAATGACTGCAGTTTATCAACCTGGTCTGTCAGTTTGCTCAATATAGTGTTCGGAACGGTAACTTCTGATAGGTTTTGCAAGCTACAAAGGTTTCCTAGGTTGCTGTGGCGCTGCAGGACGTATTGATATTGCTCTGGATACTGTGCGAGAAATGAAGCAAAGAGGAATCATGCCAACAAGAGAATTATTTGTGGCCTTTCTAAATGCTTCGAAAAGATATAAGAAACTCTATAAGGGAATTGAATCTCGGTATTATAACATGTTGAGACAAGAATGTGGTATTATTCTTTTATAAAATGGCAATATTGTTTGGAAGAAATCGTTATTCAATGACAACTATCTTATTCGTGGATTGGATGCATCCACGTGGCTGCCTGAGCTAATTTCGGAAGTGTCGCTTCAAACCCAATCGTCACGGATTGGCGATTGGAATACGATAACCAATCATTGACGTTGAACACACCAGCGGAAGTGTGGTAATTCTAAAGCCAGACTGTCAACACCAAAATCCGACGTTGCCACGTTGCAATCATACCAAAAAAAGAATCGAAAACGTTTATCAAATTGTACGTCTTTGATAACTTGTTCCCCGTTGAAATGACAAGATGTCACGTCGCTGAGCAAGCCAAGTAGTAAGATATCCTACAAGCCGTTGTTACTATCAACTCGCTGGATATTCTGTTAGTTTGAATAGCAGTCAGTTCAACCGACTGAATCAGCATGAATTATGTCACAGCTCCCAAAGACAAAACAAAGTAAGAAGGAGGAACCTGATTTCTCCATAGAACAAGCTCAGAAAGTTGAGAGATCCTTCCCAACACGATTACCTCCTTTAAGAACGCTCTTTGAAGGCAAGATTTTGAAAGTAGTTGACTTTCTATACTATGACAGCTTTGTTAGGTACGACTGGTATTCCAAGGAGAAAACAAAACTACACAGAATTTGAAAGTGAAAAACAACCTGGTTATTCTTCTTCCGCAGGACCTTCTATTCCTCTTATAACCCAGTCACCCTCTTCACAAGCAACTCCAGGTAGGGGACGATCTCCTTACGAGCAGTTGCAAGTTACAGCCGAAGAGCCATATGCTGAAGCTTCTCACCGTACATCAGCTTATTCCAAGACGAGACAGCTTCCTCTGTTACCTGACCTTGGGATATCCAGCTCAAAGGGATACTCTGTTAGTTTGTCTACAAACGACCAAGAAGAAAAAGCGATCAAGAATAAGGGGGCCAACAAAAGGAGCTATCCTTTTCCTATATTCCATGAACAAAAGTTCGGTAGGTGGTTGCTTGGTTCAACTTGTACGTTCTGATCGAGTCTAATGTGTGCAATTTATATTGAAGAAAATAAGTCACACAGAGAACAACGCCATGTCACTTCTCCTGTTGACAAACATGAGGAATATGAACCTGAGATGACCTATTCTCATTATTCTGAAACAAGGATACCCGCCTTACGAACAACACAGGCTGAAGCCTCCTCTGAATCTAGAACAGAGTTGCAACCATCAGTCTTATCTTCGAGACTACATCGTCGATATGAAGAAGAAGAAGAAGAAGAAGAAGAAGAAAGCAGTCAGGTCCGAGCTCAACAAATGCATCTTCTTCTCAAGTTCTAGAACTGTTACAGTCGAAGGGAAAGAAGAATCTCTCAGAGGAAGAAAGGAAAACCTTGAAAATTTTAAGAAATAGGTTATCCGCAGAGAAATCCAGACTGCGACAAAGACAACGAATGACTGAAATGGCCAAACAGATTCAGGAATATGAGGAAGTTTTGAATACTATACGTAGTGAAGCAAATGCATTGCTGAGATATGTTGAGCGTCTTGAAGCATTTTGCAGACTAACTGGAATTCCAGATTCTGAATTACGACGACCTATTTTAAAGTTTTTACCTCCTTAGAGAGTTACTATGATAGGAATAATTTCAAAGTGCATACGCAATGCATTTAAGTATACATTTCTTTGTAACATAACTCTCCAACAGTTAGAAAATGGCAAAATCTCATATTCTTCTTTCTAGAGGAAGGATCAATAATATAGTTCACTTTCTCTCTTTCTCTCTCTCTTTATGTTAATTTTTAAAACAAAAAATGAAATCACCGAAGTAAAAGCTAAAACGTAATGGTTATAAAATAATATCATTCTATAAACGGGTGTTGATAGACAAGTCAATATGTCAGCCGTCTCAAAACAGCGTATGCCAAAAAAACCCTCTTCTGCAACGTAGTTCATTCAGATCTTCGACAAATATGAAAACTACGTGATGATTGAAACTATAAGAATAAATATATTCAACTGTTGTACAAAGAGAAAGATACCAATCATCCCATCTAACTCTGACTTAAATTAGTATTATTTTGACTGGCAACTAGACTGCTGAGGACCTCATTTTGAAATTTCAATATCATGCATTCTCTCTCCAAATCTTCTATTCTTCCTTTCAACAAACGAATATTGTATAGTGTATCTTCCATATCCTCGTACGTCTGACAACCAAAACATGACGAACGTGTGGTTTCCTCATAATATTGTTGTGCAAGTTGAACAATAAGCTCAGGACCCAATGCTTGAACTCCTTGCGGTCCCAAGTTCATTAGAAATTTAGCAAAATTTTGACTTGGATTTAGATAACTAAGACGGGAGGAGTCAGTCATCTCTGTGTAAACTTCTTCTTGCGTGACACTTTCTGAACGTGCACTGGACGCTGAAGATCGCAACGGCTGTTGCAATTCTCCCACAGTTCCTCTTCTTATTTCTGCATTATCCCTTTCAAATTCATTAGCGGAAGATCCACTTATGACCTTGTCTTCGTTACGCAAACTTTCTGATGGAGCCCAAAGATGTTCATATGAATAACTAGAGCCACTTCGAGCTGTTGATGATTGTGTCCCCTCTTCTAGTCCTACTGTGAGGCCCTTCATTTGGAAGTCTGCCAAGGAAGTATCCGCCAAGTAATGTGAAGAATACGGATGAAAATGTTCATTCGCCATGAAACATTTACCGTGTTGATTATCCTTGATTTCATTGAGGTCAGTGACTGGTGCGGAAGTGTGATAGAACGGTTCTCCTTGGAAACCCGAAGACTGTTCCGCTGTTCTTCTGATAATCTCTTCTTCAGGCACATCTACTGTTTGAAAAGAACCAAGAAACAGTTGTTGTGTTTCCTCTATAGTTTTGGATTTCTCTTGAGCATCGAAGCTGCCAAGGCTCTCACTGCTCGGATATTCTAGTTTCGTCTCAGTTAGCATTTTATCCGGTTCGCTATCTTCTAGCTCTTCGTCACCCATCTCTTGTCCACTCGCACTCTCAGGAAAAGCTTGAACACGGTCTTTCTGTCTTTGAAGGCGCCTCAGTTCATTAATTACCCTTCTCTTTTTTTCGTCTCCCAAAAACTTCTCTCCTTTCGAGTCTTCACGCAGTTGCTGTTCTAAGTATTCGATGAGTCTATTAATGCTCTGAATTTTTCGATATGGCCACCTTCTAATTCCATATTGTCTGCAAACGTTTTTGATTACTGTCGAACAAACCCCTAGCTCCTTGGCAGCTTCCTCCAGTGTTCGACCGAAGTAATTCTTAAGGCAGTCAAGTGTTAACGACTTCCTTTGTTTTGGCATCTATTCTAGCTATTTAAGTTTTCAACCATAAAATGCTGTAAAAGACTAAAATAAACGGGCATGGTTCTAGTTGAACAATATGGAGTAATCTTGCCTTAAGGTCTAGCTTGTTTTAACACTACACAACTACTCCCAATCTTCCCTCAAGGACGCCCGTAGAAGCTTGCTTTTCGTGTTAACGACCTAAATCTACGTTTCTAACGCTTCTATGAAAGTTCACAACAATCTTAGCTGTCTTTCTCTTCCGAACGCAACCTTTCCAAAAGGTATGAACGAAGGGATGGAAACGTCGAAATTTCTGATAATGCGAGTCGCCTATTCGATGTGGACGTGGAACCTCAAACAGAATCCGTCTTTACTAAGCGCCCTCGAACTGGTGAGATTTAATATTTCAAAGAAACTTTCCGCCTTGTCGCGTAGACTGCTGTGGACCTTTCTCTTCCTGTCCCTTGTTTCAGGCATTTACACCTCTTCGAAGGAGTACGGAAGAACATATTCTTATGTCACGAACTTCAACTTGCATTACAAATATGTGTGGTACATATTTTACTCTAGATTGTTCCTTCTTCTTGGAAAGATAATAATACTGCAAGTCTCTTGCTTCGAATACTTGTGAGATTGTATATCAACAAGTGGGACAGTTTTTAAGAACGTGAAAATGCTTGGTCAAGCAGTTTAATCCCACTGTGCCTGTGAATGTTATTCTATTATGCATATAATGCTCGCTTCGTCGATGTAACCCAACTATCTTCTTTGGAGTACAAACGCTTTATAGGTTTCAAGGTTCCAGCTGCTCCCATTATTCAAGTTCCTCCGACGTCATTGACAAACACTTGAAAAACTCTACCGAGTAAATAGCTCAAACTCTTTATTCAAAATTTATCTGGCGAACACCATCCTTATCGACTACCTTCATTATAAAATTCCTTTGATTGATGACGAATCGTTTACCAAGCTGCTGAATACAACGTTTCATCAATTCTATTCCTTGTTCCAACGTGATACTAGGATATTTAGAGCTCTCTACACAAAAATGTTGTTCACTTACTCCTTTTGATAATATCGATCCAAAGTACCAAGTATAAAGAAAGAAGCATATCCTTGAGCAGTATAGTCAAGTTTTTCCAGAGTACCAAGATAGTCGATGTAATACAAACAAGGACCAGATACTTCATCAAAGCCTCCTAAAAGCAGATTCGCTAAAACTGGGGCTTCCCTAAAAAACGTTTAGCAAAGTGTGAAAAAAACGACAGCAAAGCAAGCCCACCGAATAAGTCTAGCAAGTTCACCACGGATGAAATTCGCAACTGCGTGAGTACTCAACTGCAGTCCTGTCTGGAATTCGTAAAGGTGAAGATTCTTTTGTATGTATTCCGTAAACTGAACAAAGTCTCCAGGTTCCCCACCCATCGCCAGGGTCTTGTGACTATCAAGTTCCATTATTTTGTCAACATCATCTTTCATTACTATAACAGAACGTGCGTTTGAAGTATCAGCGGCTGACAACACAAAGTCTTTGCCGACTAGAGCAATCACCGAATCCATCACTATACAAAAAATTAAACCGAATGAAATTGATTTTACTGTAAGGAATGATTATTTCCATTCTCTTGGGCTTACAAACTAATTTTTGGCACTGTGCACATTATTTATCTGAAACTCTTTCATTTTTTCAACCATGGCCGCTCCAATAGCTGCTGGAGATCGAACAACTGTCGCACCAGCACTTTCTAGGGCACTTATCTTTGAAGCAGCTGTTCCTTTTCCTCCAGAAATAATGGCACCTACAATAAAGTTAGAGTGAACTTACTACTACTATTTACGAACCTGCATGCCCCATCCGTCTCCCTGGAGGTGCGGTAACACCTGCTATGAAAGATACAACTGGTTTCTTTATGATAGATTGCTTTAATAGTTCCGCAGTTTCTTCTTCTTCACTGCCACCTACATTAATAACGCGAATAAGTTTCGTTCAAAATGTTAATGTTACGACCGTCACGTACCTATCTCACCGATCATAACGATACCTTTAGTATTCGAATCTTTCAAAAACATATCAAAACAATCCATAAAGGTTGTTCCATGAAAAGGATCGCCACCTATTCCAACAACAATGCTTTGACCCAGACTGTATTTTGTCGTTTGATCCACAGCTTCGTACGTGAGCGTACCAGAACGAGAAACAACTCCGATACAACCTTGTGAGTGAATGTAACCCGGCATTATGCCAATTTTACACTCGTTGGGTTTCAAAATGCCAGGACAATTGGGACCAATCAAGCGAGATTTCGTGCTCTCATTCAAAAGGGTTTTAACTCTAACCATGTCCTTCTGAGGAATTCCTTCCGTAATACATACAATAATTCCAACTTCTGCTTTGATTGCTTCTTCGATGGCTCCAGCGGCACCTGGAGGGGGCACAAAAATAACCGAAGCGTCCGCCTTTGTTTCCTTCACAGCCTAGATCAGGTCAGAACACGTCGTGACGCTAACCCACACATGAAACTATCTTACCTCTTCCACAGTAGAAAATACTGGGCGTCCGAGGTGCATAGTGCCTGCTTTCTTAGGGCTAACGCCTCCAACAATTTTGGTTCCATATTCAATGGACTGTTGACTGTGAAACGTTCCCTGACGGCCAGTAAAACCTTGGACAATAACTTTGGTGTTCTTATCCACATAGGGCTGGGGCCTGTTCGACGCACTGGAGGATGAGAAAAGTCTATGACTGGAGCAGGCAAGACTCCTCCAGGCTCTTTGCAGAGAACCAAATGATGCACAAGACATGGAACAACTTGGACTATCTCTTCAAGTCTCTCTTGCCCCAATAGAAAATCGAATATAATTCCTTTGTTTAGGCAGGCCACTTTCCACAATGGTAAGCTACGACTTTAGGTCTAACCTTTTGTTGAAAAATTCCAAAAGAGTGTTTATGATGAAGTTGAAATTGAAGATATGATATGGAACGAAGATTTAGAAGCCTACACTTACCAGTGTCCCTGTGGCGACTTGTTTCAAATTACACTTGTAAGTCCACCCTATTGAGTTAGAGAGAGTCTTACGAGAAGGTTCAGGAAGAATTACGTTTAGGAGAAGAAATAGCGCATTGTCCAAGTTGTTCACTTGTTATAAGGGTAGTCTATAATCCTGCCGACTTCCAGTCCTCAACTGGTGAAACAGGGAACGGAACTTGTGTTGTTGCCGCTGCTTGAGTTTTATTTTCTTGTAGGAAGTTAGAAATAAAACTGCTTGTTGTGAGAAAGACTAGAGACGTTTCGACATTTATACTGGTTCCATTTCATTGTAGCTAAAGTTTTCGAGTCGACTGTTCTGCTATCATATGAATATCTTCACGGAACACAATGTTTTTATAACGATAGTTTCCTTCTGAACGTACAGCAACTACTATATTTTAGTAAACAGAAAACCCTTAAGCCAAAGAACTTGGTTTAAGATCTGCAATTGAGGTCCACAAGAAAGTTGCAGTCGAAATCAAGGATCGTGCTAGTATTGTTGAAGAAACCACTCTCGTTGGCAGGCGTCGAGGATAGACCAGAGACATAAAAGGAACGGTTCAAAGTTTCAATACTGTGAAGTGGAAATTTATTTAAAAATAGAGTGGCCTTCTATGTTTTTTGAGGGGGCCCATATAATACAAGAAAAGAAAAATATGCAACTTTCGTTTCTTTACAAACTTCAACAGAGCAAGTAGAAAGTATTTAGAAATTCATAGCTCAAGGCTGCGTTATGATAATATTATCAAAATAACCTTTCAACCTTAGATTGAATTCCTTCGATGAGAGGAGTTGCACAGACTCTTGAAGCATCTCAGAAGTTTGATGGCTTCAGTCGTCCCAACAAAACTATCGAAGCTTCAATTTGTCAATATTGAAAATCGAGGATCCTTTGGATGACTCTATAAGCATATTTTATTAACGGAAAATAAACTATAAACAACGCACGAAAGAAAAGGTTCTCTGAAACCAATCCAATCACTTCACTGTGGTTCAGGAGAGGCCTATCTTCCAAGTTTCCAGTTTCTTCTGTTCTCACCTTGTAAGAAATTCATTGATTTCGAATTCTTGGAAAAGTCTCCAACATTCTCTAACTTCTCCCTTTCCGGGCAACTTGAAGTCTCCAAGTTGGCTTCGTTAGAGTCAGTCGTGCAAAAGTTACTCTTTTCCAAGTCTGCCAAGGCACTACCTAGTCCCAAAAGAGCACCTTTGTCCAAGTGACCCGGCAAAGTGGGCTTGTATGCAAGGCCCAACTTCTCTACTACTGCCGAATTCGCAAACTCTTTTAATTCTTCCCGTGCCGGATTCAGTCCGGAGGCAAACTCAACGGTAGTATTTTCCGGAAGTCGTGAAACGACGGTGCATAGAAGATATATTCCGCGATTGGCAAAACGTAACTTATTTTGCAGCTCTTCTAATTGTTGCTCCACGTTTCCAACTATGCTGCGAACTTCTGCAACATCACCGCCAACGGTGTAGATATCGCGGCGAGTTTCCTCCATTTCATCTTGTAGTTTTTGTTCCAAACAAATATTTGACTCAACAACTTTATCCTCCACTTGTTTGATTTTAACAGACAACTCCTTCTGTACTTGACTTAAAGCACCAGAAACTCTAGTTACGGCGCCCTTCAAAGTCTCAAACGCTTGATTGAAACGTCTACTCGAAACATACGCGAGATCCCAAATTTGAAAACCAAAAAATCTCTTCGCTACTATAGCCACGACGACAACTGAACCACAAACGGACAAGGTAAAGACAAACCCACTACTTCCGAGGCGACCGGGGCCATTTCCAACAAACGTAACCAAGGGTTGTCTAGATGAACTTTCTTGAACAGCCGCAAGGGACTTCGACACTTCTCTTGAAAGGCGAGTGATTTGTTCTGCTAGTGACTGTAGTTCTTCTGAATTGCCTTGACCTGAAGACGACGTACTTGCTTTGGTGGGTTTCGTAAGGCTGTGAATTGCAGCTCTAGAAACCTCCTTAAAAAAAGAAGTAACTCCATCCATGTGATTGTACAAAGTTGCTCCACTAATACCCGCCCCTATCATAAGAACTAGAAGGCGAGAAGTGGAGACCGAAGCAAGCGCCATTCTCCAAACTAATCGAATCACTAATTTTGGTTTATGGAAGACGATTTAGAGGCCGAACTTTTGGCTGTCACTTCAAATCCTACAAACCAGAATACTCAAGAATACGAGGAGGAACTCTCTGAAAACTTTTATTCTGGAGACTCAGAAAGTGACGTTGGTGAGTTAGAAGAATATGAGGAAAAATTTGAGGAAAACCACGAAGAGGCTGAGAGAGACTCAGACGACGAATTCGTACCAAACAAAAGTTCAAAAAGGAAGAACTCTACTGGGAAAGGTAAAAAGCGTGGAAAAGACAGTAAACAAGATAGATTTTCCCCAAGTACTTCGCCTTCGTTGAAACGGCCTAGACCACCTTCCCACTTGAAAAAGTCGAGTAGGAGAAGCCGTCACGTAGAAGAACAAAGAATCTTTTATGAAGACGGCTATGACGAATATGGATTCGGTGATGACAAAGATGTTTCAAGACTTATGGGCCTTAGTGAGGTTGAAAGAGAAGCAATTTTGGCAGAAAGACTGGAAAGAAGAGAGCAGCTCAAACTTGAGAAGGATATTAAGAGAAGAATCGGAGAACAAGCAGAGGATACGTCTCCTACTGCGGAGCATTCTCAGTTATCTGAACGTCCAAGAAGGGAGAGCGAAAAATCCAGGAAGAAGAGAGCTGCTTTGGAGTCACTCGCAATACAGAAGGGAAAACAGCGCGGGCTTCATAGCTATTATCAGGATCTCTCCTTCAGTGAAGAAAGTTCGTTATCAGGGGATATTTCAGAGGGAGAAGAAGTATCACAGCATACAATGGACAGGCGACAGTTGAAAAAGGATTTTGAGGAAAGACGTAGACCGATTATGTACAGCGATATCGTCAGTGAAGCTGGTAGAACGACTCCAATGTTTTTCAGGAGACAAATGTTGGAAATGTTCTTAAGCAAACCATTTTTTGACAAAATGATAGTTGGCATGTTTGCACGTCTATCAGTCGGAACTGCACCGGATAACCCGAACATCCCAGTTTATAGACTCGTTCGTATTGCAGGGATTCATGAAAGAGAACCTCGTTATGTAAGCATGTCGAAATTTTTGATTATGCATGCTAACTTTATGTACCCTTAGAAAGTCGGTGGTCAATATACCAACAAGCGGATTATTTGCCTATTTGGTTCGGTGAAAGGTGAATTTTCCATTGAGAGATTTTCAAACAAACATCCAACGGAGGCAGAGTTTGATCGTTGGTTTAAACAAATGATGAATGATCGAGAAACTATACCGACCAAGGACGACGTGAATTACCTTATATCTTTGTCATTAGATTACAGGAAAGGAAATATTCAAGTTAGCGATGAAGAATTACAAAAGCATATTGAGAAATTTGAAAAGTTGAATCCAGAGCGTGTCAATTACGTAGCGAAGAAGAATGAGATATTAACACAGATTACTTTTTTACGGGATAATGGTGCAAGTGCTGCAGAAATTGCTGATTATGAAAGGAAACTGGTTGAAATAGAAAGATTGGAAGCCAAGTATCATCGTAGGCGACTGGAAGATATGGTAAGTCTTATGTCATAATTGCTTTTTGTTGAATTTACATTCGTGAAAAGGTCGACGATAGGATGAAATCTCTTGCCAGGAAGTCGAAAGAAGAGAATGCAAGGATGGATTCAGAGAGAATTGAGAAGCAAATATCGAAAGATCGACTTCCTTCCGAGCTGAATCCTTTTTCGAGAAGAACTTCTCGTGGTAACACTTCTTACTTTACTATAGATAGAAAGGGAAGTGAATTGGACTTGTCGCAGTCTTTACAAAATAAGGAAGAAGACTTTAAAGAAAATGCTGCTATAGAGGCAGCTCTAAAGATGGTGGATCATCCGAAGGAAGACGCCGTTGACTCTGTGAATCCTGTCGAAATTGCAGAAACTGTAAATGTGAGCTTGGACGATTTGTTTGATGATACATTTTAGTGTCGGGTTGAGGAAGAGTTTATTCTTGTTGGATATGTAAAATTGGGCAGAGTGCGAAGTAGAATAGCTATTCATCATTATTTAGCATATCAGTCAGGGAGATATAATTTCTGCTAATGTGTGACTGAAGCAACCGAATGTCTTCAGTAGTTACGAAGATCGAAAGCATAGAGGGTCCAAGCCATGCAGTCTAGAAGAAATGTCACACATTGCTCTATCCGACCCGTTCCATACGTACCAAATAATCTTTTGTGCTTTCATTTGTGAAGCAAAAAATAACACTTCCTGGACTTGTCTGTTCCAAACTGGTTCGCAGGTTGATGAAAGGAATCTCGGCAATTTTGATAACATCCTTTACATGAAGTAAGAAGTTCCAAACTTCCTCATCTTCAACATATTCGAGGCGTTTGCTCATTCTGAAAATTTTATAGTCGTGAGTTGCGCAAGTTCGTTTGTTTCGTACCTCAATGCTATTAAAGGCGCTCCTTCGAACACAATTCGATACGGACATTCAACTTGATATTTACAGTCCACAGCTTCGAAACACCGAATACCTCCATGAACCACCCGATAAGGATATTTTTCCTGTCACTGTATTTTAGAACTCTCAAACTCTTGGTAGTTGCGCCACTTACATTGTCATCATCTGTAGTAAGTCTGTCCAAGTTACCAACAGAATTCTCCACTATCGATTTTACTTGCTCGGACAAGTAGTATATTCTTCTAACTCGTCCTGCATCAGAAGTTCGGGTCATCAAATGATTAGAGAGCAATTCTTCATCGAGTCCATAAAAATATGCAATGGTTTTCAACAAGGAAATATTCACAGTTGAAAGTCTTTCAAAAGGATCATCTGAAATAAGTCTGGAGATTCTCCGAGTCTTCATATACGCTTTTTCTTTGTCGAACCTGAGCTTTTGCCACTGTTTTTCCTTCAACAAAAATACAACACTGCTGCAACAAACCAACCGTATCTTGAGTATCTCGTGAAACTTTTTCAAACATTGCAATAAAGAATCCTCCTGTATCTTGATCATGTGGCAGTATTCTTATGCATTTATCTATACCAAGGTCCTTCAAGTCATCTTTCGGAAACAGAGAAGGAGGAATTTTCTTTCTTCGATGCAAAGGAACTTCTTCATAACAGGTAAAGAATCCAAACTCTTCGGCATTATTCTACGAGTATTAAAAACAAATTTCTCTGGATACTCGAAACATACCTTAACCTTCCAGGAAGTAAGGCCTCTACGGAACTTCAAGTTTGATAGCAAGTTATCGACATTTATCTACATCCTATTTTAAATTATATCAAACTACAAATAGCAAGCTTCACCAAAGAGATTTGAGTTGAACGTCTTCTTAATACTTCTGCAACAACTGCCTCATTCTCGACAGGATTGAGACTGCATGTGGAATACACTAGTTTACCGCCAGTCTCCAGCAGATCACAACCTCTTAACAGAATCGCTAACTTTATAAATCAGCAACCAGATTGAATTAGCCATTTCATAACTACCTGCAAAGGATGTAAATTCATTCCAGTGTCTGCATACCATCTCTTCCATAAATCCGGGGACTTGCGAAGAGTACCATCTCCAGAACAAGGCACATCGCACAAGATTCTAGTTGATGAGCAAATACGATAAGACTTTATCAACGATACTTACCTGTTGAAACGCATTCCAACGGGAAACTTTTGAGCTTCATGGTTAGTAATAACGATGTAGGGACAAGAGAACCTCTTCAGTTGATGTATGAGCATCCAACAACGTTTAAGATTGGAATCATTTGCCACAACAAGAGACTCGTGAATGTCAACTATATCTTTTGACAATCTAATTGTACATACTTGTCTTTCCGCTGCACTGTAATTCTTTGCACCTAGCATATCTAGAAGCTGAGCTGTCTTTGAGCCTGGAGCTGCGCACATATCCAAAACTACAACAATTATTAAACTCATTTATTATAAATAAACGGTACTGACCTTTATCTCCAGGTTGAACTTGTAACAAAACGGGTGGCAACATGCTCACTGCTTCCTGATAACAGAATAGCTTTAACAAAAAGTTTCCACAACAACTCTTATTACCTGTCGATTGATAACACCAGAAGAATTCTGCTCGACGATAAAGTCATGCAACTTTGAAAGCTTTTCGTCTCGTTTTAAAACTTGTCGCGAAATATTGAGGCACCAAGCAAGTTCGTTTGGAAACCTGTCAAGTATTAAGGCAACGAAAAGGTATCCAAATATGAGTACATACCACTTCAAGGGATAAGGAATACTCGATTTGATCGAATCAACTTCTTCCACGCTTGAAAAGTAGGCTTCTAGCTGCTTACACAAGGCACTCATTCGGGTAGAAGAGGGATGAGACTGAGAGATCCAAAAACAAGCAGGCAAAGGAACAAACTATCAAAAACGGCATAAAACAATCATTCAAGTTTATCTTCTTTTAAAGATTCTATACGATACCAAAGTATTCCAGAAGTGATTCCATTCTTCCTCGTCCACTAGTTCCTGTTCCTCGTAATAAGTTTTGAAACGCTGCTGTCCTCTTTCAACAGTATTATGAGCACAGTCGTTGTCTCTATTGTCAGTTGAAGCACCATTTCCCTGTTTATCCAACATGTTGTGTTTACTTTTGGACGGCGGTAGAATACAAGTTTTAGGTTCCAAAATAACGATCAGCAAATTCTCCTAAACCCGGTACGACTCGACTTTGGGATACATGCAAATGGTCTACGGCACTGGTTACTAATTTTAATTGTGGAAAGTGTTCAAAACAAAAGCGAACTCCTTCCGAACTTGTAACTAAAGAAAGAATAATGATTTGGCTCTCTATACAGCCTCTTCTAAGCAACTCCTCGACAGCCTTTACTGCAGTCTTTCCTGTTCCTAAAATAGGGTCCAACAGAAATACATGTTTTCGAGATAACTCGGAAGGTAATTTACAATAAATCACTTTGCGTTCGGAACTTGGATCAAGAGGATCCTTTGCAATGAGCATCTTTCCAATGCTAATATTCTTGCAAACTGCTCTTAAACCAGCTTCCATCGCATCTCCACCTCTCATTATACTTACGCTTGCCAATTCTGCAGAATACTTAAACCCATGGTACACATCTCCGGTGGGTGTATATACAAAACTCTGCTGAAATGGTAGCAAACTTAAACCTTCTTCAGCAATGAGTCTTATCAATCGGTCAGCATGGAAAATAAAATCCTCAATAACCATCATTCCACTGACAATATGTTATTTCTCTCACTTACCTCTCTCGAAGCTTCTCTATCTCGAAATACTGAGTGAAGGCCTTGTATCTGTGGATTATCTCCCATAATTACCAGATTGGGATATAATCGACGCAAATCAGGTTGCGAAAGTTTCAAAGCAATATGCTTAATAACAAGATCAATAGCAACCAGATTTTCAGCTCCTCTTGGTACAATAATATCTGCATATCGTTTCGTTGGAGCGATAAACTCTTCATAAGAGGGCTTTACAAATTTTTCATATTGAGCCAACACACTTTCTATGGTTCTTCCTCGGCTTGAAACATCTCTTCGAATACGACGACAAAGACAAGTATCTGGATCCTCATCTACAAATATCTTCAAGTGAAGCATGCTACGGATATCTATAGGATAAAAAGTAAGGATCCCTTCAATAATTACTACTTCTCCAGGAGAAATCAACCTCTTCACAGGCAAACGCTTATGAGTAGAAAAGTCATAGCAAGGTACTTCAGTGGATTGTCCTCGAATCAACATTTCAAGACACAACGACAATAGTTCAAAGTCTAAAGAATCTGGGTGATCGAAGTTGTAACTACTTGCGTCCTGTTCGTCCTCCAGTCCCTTGTAGAACCAATCCAACGCAATCATAACACATCGACGGTCTCCAAGTCCTTGTATAATTTTATTACAAACAGTCGTCTTCCCAGAGGCGCTTCCACCGGCAACGCCAATAAGAAAAGGTCCAACACTCTGAGACTCCTCTGACTCTCCAGTCCAGTTTATGAGGCCAGAGCTTTCCAAGTCCACTCCTGTTAATCTCTTAGCACATGTGAAGGCTAGACGAGTAATACAACTCTGACAAGTAGCAGAGTCTGCCTTGGCTATCTCTGTTAGATCGACACTTTCATCATAATCTGTGCTCATATTCTCTTCTTCAACGATTTGGTTTTGAGAATGAACTCTTCAAGAAACTTTTCCTGGGAAGTTTGTGAGGGAACTGTTATAAGCTCTGTTGACGGACGAAAAAAGGATGTTTTACTATCGAATGACTGGAAAAAGAAGAATACAACTTCTCAGACTGACTTTTCTATGGATGGTTTTCGAATGACTCTAACTCGAGATTTTCTTTATGACTCAGTTAAGAAGGAGTTTCGTTGGCATAAAACTTGGTGTTTGCCTCTAATCCAGATACATATGCCGACTTATCAGCAACACGGTGGAAAATTGTTGGTGAGAATCCATTGTGTGATACCTGGAGGTTCACGTGGTCAGTTTGAAGACGTCGGTCTAAAAGGACAAACTTCGCAGCAACTGGTAAATGGGGAGTGTACTTTTTCTAGACTGAGATTCGTTTCTACTAGCAACTTACATGGGGGTAAAAAGTTTCATCTAATATTATCCGTTTGGTGTGAGTCTGTATGTCTTTTGGCATACGTGTCAAGCGGCATCTCAGTTTACTCAAGGAAGGATGCGGATAAAAAAAGAAAGAAAGCAAAAGATGTTCTTGAAGAAAGAACGGTTGATACAGCTTTTCGAGTGTTCTCTCCAAGTTTATTTGACAGAGATTTCGTTAAAAAAGTGAGTTGAATGTAACATTCTGAATTTGCTTATCTACTTTTATAGGTGAACGACCACAAGGGGCATACCATTTGTGAAAAGATAGACAATTCTTTAGTAGGTTTGGTTAACTATTTTCAGGCTCCAAATATTCGTGCCAAATGTCGACATCCTGTGTTTTTGCTATGCAAGTTCAACAATGTGTTGTCACTGGCGAGAAACGTTAATCTATTTCCAGAAGAAACAAAAGAAATGTTTTACTGCTTCTTATCGGACTTGGGAATAGGTAGTAATAACTTTCAGGATCATTCACAATATAAGGATACTCTTTCCACGACTTATCCTCGTTGGTTCATAATTCTAAAAGAGAACAACTCACTGACAGAGGAAGCAAAGCGAAGAATATCTGAAAACATGAAATATATAGAATGCAGAGTCATTGGCTTTGTACAGTCTCCGTTATTCCTTCCAGAGCACTATCGTCCTGTTCAAAATGTTGTTCTATTAAGGCAATTGTATGAAAGATGCTACTCGTCGTTTCTTTTATCTTCGGATACCAATGTTGTGAATGATATAGAGATTCAGGAGAAGTGGGATCCAGTTGAAAGTTCCCAATGGGAAGATATTGTGAATAACATTGAAACAGTTTCTTATTCTAGTCACGACTCTTGTAATATTTCCTTTGAAAGCTATACAACTGAGACTTTGGCTGGTGAGAATATTTGTACAAACTGGACTCGAGATTCATTTATTGAAACAAAGTCATTTCTAGAACATTATTTTCGCATTCACCACAAAATTCGTCAACTTTTGTTTCAGTTAACTGATGGAGCTACTCAGTGTATGAGAGAACAGTCTCAGGAACTTGTGGATAAGCTGAAAATAGTGTATCGAAGTTTTTTTCGGTTATTAAGTGCACATGCTCACGCAGAGGATACAATCATATTTCCTCAGTTGGCTAAAAAGATTCCAGGAATAACCGAAGCTTATCACGTAAGTATTCATAATCACTTAAAGAATGGTTATAATACTTTTTGTAAAAGTTGGACCATTTCATGGAAGGACGTGAGTTAGCTTCACTTGGAGATATGATCGAGAATTTTGTTCCGGAAATAGCGAACGATGTTTTTCGTAAAGTTACCAGTTTCAGCGCAAGATTTTTGCAGCACATGGAAAAGGAAGAAGAGCATCTCATTCCATATTTGGTTCATGTCTTTAGTGACCATGAAATTGCCATTTTGAAGGAACGCGTGATTTTAGAGACAAACAATGTTTTAGTAGACAGTGAGAAAGGGGAGACAGAATCGTTGATTGAAGTTGCTTGGACAGCAGACACTTCCGATTTATCCACATGCCGCTATTTTGTTGAGGATTCAGGTCCAAGCAAATAGTTGTGAGGTAACAAAGATAACGAGCAAGAACCACTCCAGTATCCTGTTTAGTATCCTGTCTTCAGAAAACTGAATGGAAATGTATTCGAAAAGGTAGCGAACTGCAGCGAAATCTTTTTAACATATGTCTATGAAACTGAACCGACGACAATGTTTGGTTCAGTTTATTGTCCAAACCGCTTACTTTCATCCTGCAGAAACTGTTTCTCCTCTTCAGTAGTTTCTCTTCCGAAATATTCATTCCTATGTGGGAAACGGCCGAACCGTTCAATGATATCATAGTGAAGCTTTGCATATGAAAAAAGCTTATCAGCAAACGCTATGAAGTGGCTCTTGGTTGCTTCATCAGAGATATTCGAAGCTTCCGCTTTCAAGTCTTCAAAGAGTCTTAGTGACTCAGACTGACTTTGAAGATTTTCCTGGTGTTCAAAAGGCAGATAAGCAAAGACACGTTCTATGGGACGGAGCTTCTTGTCTAGAGAAGAAGAAACAAGTTGTTTTGAAAGCGCGAATGCTTTGGCATCCCAAGCGAAGGCTTTTGCGTCTTTACGAAACATGTTTCTTGGGAACTGATCCCATAAGATGATAAGGGCTAGACGATAACGGGGGTTCGGGTCATCTAAAAGACTAGCATATTCTTCCCTATCTGCACGTACCAGGTCTTGTCCAAATTTTTCTCTTATCTCCTTGTCTACTTCGTCCCCTCCGCGAAACCACATTGGTTGCCTATCTTCACAAAGATCATAGTATAAAAGTTGTTCCTCTGTCTTGCCAAACCAAAAGTCTAAAATTGCCTAGGCGTCTTGAGAACCGGAACGTTTTTAGTATGCTCTTAACGGACCTTTGCACGTTGCACAGCAAACTCTTGTAAATATTTCGACATTGCTAAAAATCAAAAATTTAACAAAAAGAATGTTTAGGTTATGGATAATGGTTTCTCCTATAAACTGTATGTATTCAACAGTGTTATTCCTGACGTTTTAGGTCTTATTTTCTCGATAATATTTCCAAAATTCTACTCATAATATTTTATTGAAAATATAATTCTCGCGGTTCTTACTCATAGTGACATGATTGGAGTAGTTGTGACTTGAACAAGTATGAAATCTAAGGTATTTGCTGAAATGGCCAAATAATACTGTTCTTTGGAGATGGTTCCGTGCAGGCTAACTAAGATATTCCAGTACAATCGTGTTTCTGTATTGGAAACAAAAAAGAGGATGTCTAGATAGTGAATAATATAATGTTGCCAATCGATATGCACCACCGTCCGTTTCCTTTTCGATAATGAATATAGTGAAAGATAACAAAGCCTCCACTTCCTAAATCTCTCAAAAGATATTGGCGCCCTCCCTCCGTTAAGGCGGGCTGGGCATTTATCGCTTTTATAAAGAGAATGTGATGGGTTCCTTCATCTGCCATAGTAACTTTGTAGTTTGGAATGGATCTTAGCACTAACTATTTTCAAGTGCGACGCAAAACACCCTTTGGTATTCCCAACTCGATAAGTGCCCAATCAGTCAAACACTGTATACTGACAGGTTTTGAGTCGAATGAAAGCTTGGATATCGGCGCTTTGGTTAAGGAGAACCACAATGGCGAAGAACTACACTGTCAATCTCAAAAGGGAAACTGTATCGAGGTTGCACGAGCGCAATGCGCTTTTTGTAAAAGCTATCTATGCAAGTTTTGCACTAGAATTTGTAGCTATTGCACAGCAGTCTTTTGCCAAACTTGTCAAAGAAAATACGAACAGTACAAACAAGCCGACGCTTCTGCAAATTGCTTATGGTGTATACCAAATAATGAAAGCATCATATTTCAAGGATTCCTCTAGTCTTTCGTTCATCAAATGGTACAACTTCCAAACTCAGTTGTTCTCAACTCAAGATATTAACATAAGACGAATGTGACTGAGATCGAGTCGTTGACTCTCCCATTTATTCTATACGATGCCATTGACCTTTCCTCCAAAGAGCATCTTCAGTTCTTTTCTCTTCCCGGAAAAGTTTGGCTGCAAAATCTTTGTAAAACGGCCCTTGATGAAGAAATGCGCCAGACATATCACTGTCATACAGCTTATCATCTTCCCACGCTTTTCTTTCAAAAACAAACAAAACGCGATGAAAACGACAAGTAAGGATTTGTCTACATGCAGCAATAGATATAAAGGACGGATGGCATATTTCAGTCTTGTCACGTTCAGAAAATTCGTCAGTGCAAGGCAGCCAAAACACCAAACGACCTCCTCCAACTAAAGAAGAAGTTGCAAAGTCAAAAAGAGATGAAACCAAATTGTCTAAGCCGACGCGTGAGGTCTTTGGAATATGGTTCAAAACAAATCTGGAATGCAGTTTCTCGCCAACAAATTCCCTCGAACTTTCCCTTACTCCGTATGGTAAGTCGGCAACGATTGCATCCAACCACCCATGACACTTGAAGGATGTGAAACTCGACATTATTGACTCATGGCGCCAAGGATTGTGTAAAATATCACATCGGACGATACCCAATGGCTGTTGTAACTTATACTGGCGAAAATTGGATACAATATTTTCTTCTTTGTTTTTGCCTTTAAGAACGGTGAAACTCAAATCCGAGCCGAGAGTCTCAGCTCCAAATGCAGCAGATGATATAAGAATGCTTGCGGTTCCAACAAAAGGGTCGAGAATCAGTTTCAAGTTATCTGCCAAAGCAAAATTCGCCATGATAAAAGCTAATTCCGCGTCCATAGAAGTTGTTCCGATAAAGTTTCGCTTCTTCAGAGTATACTTTTGAACTTGTTTGACGCACCCTTCTGCAATGAGAAGTCCGGCATACACGTGATTAGGAATGTCAATTCTACTGGGTTCGTTCGTATGGCCAGCCTTGGGAAACGAGTCTTCAACTATCCATATTTCGTGCTTGAAATTCTGCAAGTTGACTTTCCCAGGAAACTGTTGAAGAATCGAGGAATAAAAGTTGATTCTATTCACAGTCTCACTCTGCGAGTACTTTCTTCCGTATGAAAATAGTCTGCAACGGAAAGACTCCTTCTCAGATAGGAGTAGTTCCTTGAAAACATCTTTTCCTAAACTTTGTAACTGTTTCAAACAAAGCTCATGGCTACGGGCATGACTCCAAAGACGAATGATAGCACGCACCAGGACGCAACGCGAGCCAACCAGAAAGGCCTCTTGATCACTTTGAAAGTTTGCGAAATAAAAGACACCTCGGATTTTCTTTGTGTCCGTTTCTAAGTCGCAAGAGGCTGAACGGATAGTCTTTGCAAAAAAGTCTTCTTGTAGTTTCGGCTTCACAATATCTTTTTGTCTTCTGATGACAAGAGAATAGACAGACAACAGCTCTGGAACGGAAAACTCCTTGTGAATATCTCTAAAAATTACAAGGTACTTGTGCATTGTTAAGTCAAACTATTCTGGCTAAACTGAAAATGATATGAAGTCCAATATACACTCTAAACTGACATGTAAAAACGAGGTTCAAGTCCTTGGCAATTGTGTTTCTCGGCCATCATTTCCGTCAGCATCCGATGTTAGAGTAGGACATTTGGGTAGTCGGTTCTCTCTCAAAGGCTTTCAGAACGTAGTCTCTCTGAATTTGAAAAATTTTTATTTGCAATCAACAATTTCTTCCTATACAAGATATATAATAACACTATGACGATTCAATCCACTGACAACGTTCCGTGTGAATAAAGTAAGTTTGCTTAGTTGAGATCCATTTGAAAGGTCATCATATCCAAAGCGTCGAAAATTTTCCCTCAACGCAAATGCACAATACTTGTAACTGATCTCAGGTTTTCGAATTTCTACTCTTCGTTTATATATCAAGGAACAAAATTATTTTTGCCAACATATTTGCTATCCACAATGGATGAAAAGCAATTCACTCCCGTTAACACATATGAGTACCAAGCTTTGGCAAAAAGCAAGTTGCCCAAAATGGTATGTCTTTGTATGCGATAGACTTTTATTTTCATATCTATTACTAGATCTACGATTATTATGCTTCAGGAGCAGATGATCAGTACACACTAGAAGATAACATGGCAGGTTTTCGAAGAATACGCTTGCGGCCGCGAGTTCTGGTGGATATTTCAGTACAAGATATCTCAACCACTCTATTAGGTATATCGAGCAGCTTTCCACTTATAATTGCACCTGCTGCAATGCAGAAAATGGTATCTGTTTCCTTTCTCTTAGATATCGTAGTTTAACTATTCTCTTCCAGGCTCATCCTCAAGGAGAGATAGCAGTAGCTCGATCAGCAGCAAAAAACAAAGTGATAATGACATTGTCGTCTTTATCAACTTACAGCTTGGAAGAAGTCGCAGAATCTTCGCCAACAGGTCCAAAATGGTTCCAACTTTACATATATAAAGATCGCCTTGTAACCAGGAAATTGGTAGAAAGGGCAGAAAAGGCAGGATACAAGGCTCTGGTATTGACCGTTGACGCCCAGAGACTGGGAAGACGTGAAGCTGATATCCATAATAAATTCACGTTGCCACAACACTTGACGTTTGGAAACTTCAAGAACTGGACAGCAAGCGATGATAAAATTCGAACAAAGAAAAGCCAAGGTTCCGGTATAGAATCCTATTTTGCAACGTTGATGGATCCTTCTGTTACTTGGAAAGATATTGCATGGCTTAAGACAATAACAAAACTCCCTATAATACTCAAAGGAATAACAACGGCCGAAGATGCAGCAAAGGCAGTTGAAAGTGGAGTTGCTGCAATTATTGTGAGCAACCACGGAGCTCGTCAGCTAGACGGGATGTTGGCAACCATAGACTGTGTTGAAGAAGTAGTTGGAGCAGTTCGTTCTCTAATACCAGTATTCATGGATTCCGGAGTTAGGAGAGGCACCGATATTATCAAAGCTCTGGCACTTGGAGCACAGGCTGTTTGTGTAGGAAGACCCATACTCTGGGGATTGGCTGTAAGTGGAGAAGATGGAGTAGACGATGTTATAAATCTCCTTCGCAACGAATTTCACTTGGGAATGGGTTTAGTTGGATGTCGTTCGGTGAACGAAATCCACCGTCGTATGGTTAAACGTCAAAATGATTCTTGTTTAGGAGTCTCAAGGTCACCCAAATACGACGAACGGCTTTCTCAACCAATTGCCCGTCTCTAAAGAAAGTCCATACACAGAGAAAACTTGCCAATAAAACTAGAATTATCCTACTCAATATCCTATCAGCAACTTTTTATAGAGAAAAGACAAGTTGCATACTTCTACTTGGGCAACACTCTTGGATGATGAAGGATAACTAGAACTAGTTCTAGAGTTCACTTGCAAGAAAATACACGTGCGAAGGTTACAGGCCATTCACTGCTGTCACCGACCAATGGAAACAAGAAAGTAACAAGCGTTACAACAAGAAGAAATACTTTCGACTGGCAATCCAAAGGAACGAATGTTTATACGAATAAAGTAAATTTTAAAACTCTCCAACTTCTTTGTTTCTTTTTATGTAGAATGCTCGACGTAAAAATAAGAACCAAATTCTTGACTTCAACCGAAAGAAGAAACTACAAAATAACAAAGGACCCAGTACTCCTTCAGCTGAATAGAAATCAAATCATACTAGTCACCAGTTTTTAGGTCCAAAATAGAAAAAATAGCTGTCGGCCGTCCGATGTAAAAGCGAACCCAAGAAGAAGATGCGACAGAGAACAAAACCAGTAGCAAACCTCCGGTACACAACTGGAACCGTTCGTGAAAACTTCAAACTTGCAACTCGAAATTTTCGAAACTACGGAGCGCGGGGAATAATTAAGAGTGGCGCACAGCAAACGAAGTAGTCAAAGACAAGTTATCTTCAAAGAACAGTCTATGTTGTCGCCCAAGCTCTAGCCTTTTCTAGCTCCTCTTCAATTCTTCTCAGCTCCTCTAAAAGTTTTTGGTGTTCTTCTGTAGAAGCCTTTTCTGCAACGGCTCCTGATTCTTGGCCTGTCCTTTGCGGGTAATAACAAACCTGTCGACCCTTTGCAGAAGACTGCGTCGATGCTTCAACCGCGGTATTACACTCTGACGAGTCTTCTGAAAGAGCACAATGGCTACGAGCAACCGTATTGTCCTTAAGCGACTGTTCTTGGGCCAATCCGTTCTTTTCAAAGTAGTCCGAACGTTTAGGGGCCATCTTTCCGTTCTCACCGGCAAGATGACCACTTTCGTGTGACTCCGAAAGTGCCTCGTCATGAAAATCTTTAACTCTTCTCCGTCTTTTTCTCTCATAATCTTTGGATTCGGAGACAGAAACTGCAGTTTCATCGTCCAGAGAAGGACGTTCAAGAGTGGTCTCAAAACGACGACTTGTGAACTTTCTATGGTCTCTGTCACTTTGTTCTAGTTCGAAGTTGTTGTCTTCCCAGCTTCTTCCTTGACTTGAAGCTTTCCCTTCTGTTCTCTTCTTCCTTTGTCGATGAAGCTGCAACGCTTTAAGCCAAGGATCCATTTGCATAATCAAATAATGGAATAATGGGAATCAGCAATTGTGTCAAAAATGGCGGGATAATGACTTGTTTGACAAAAGTTGATATTATTTTGTTTTCGTTGGTGCTTCTCTTAAGCTTTAGAGTGGCTCTATCGAGGTATTATTTTAATAGTTAGAAAAGCATGCGAATTCTGATTATCTAGTCAACAAAGGACTGTGGACGAACTGGAAGACTCCGTTGAGGCCTTGGAAAAAGAATATCTTCAAAGATTGAAAACGGTTCAAGACTTGAAAGTTGAAAGAGATTTACTAGAAAAGAAAATTTCTTATAGAAACGAGGAAACAAAAGAATTGGCACGGGATAGATTGCAAGTAGTGGAGGAAAAGAAACAGAGGGAACGGTCCATAGAAGATTTGAAGTTTCGTTTAGAGGTTGAAGACAACGGCGAAGTCGAAGAACTTGAGAAAACATTTGAAAAACTCTCTCATACATTGGAAGAAACAGAAATCGAATACAGAGTATATTGATACTTTTACGTTAGTTTCTAACGATAACATTCCATAGAACACTTTATTGCTCTTGGAGAAACTGAAAGAATCGGTGGAGAGTGACAGCGATAGAAAGTTACTGCGATTGTTGGTTGTTATCTTATTGAATACTTTTGAACAAAGTGTATTGAACTGTCGTTTTAGGAGGGTTTATCACCTTGTTGTTTTAGCTTGGCACCTTCGATTTCGAATATTATACTTTCTTTCCGAGTGTTGTTTAATGGTATGCTTGCATTATATCCCTTTCAGTTTTCTTACATTTGCTAGTATGTGAAGAAATATCCCGCATATTGACCAGGTTCCTTGGTTTCTTCATATGGCAGCTGAACTGGTTAAATTTCCTTGAAGCCCTTTTCACTTTGTGGCTGATTTCTTTTCTTTGTATTCTACATATTTTGTTTATGAGATGGTGTCTTAAGAAACTTGCTAATGATACAATCTTTATTCTTGGCTCTGAGTTGCTTGTAATTTTGACCATTTCTGATTGGTTTGCAGCTCTTGTGAAAGTTCACATTTCTAAAACGCTGCTTTCCATCACTCCTATTAGTTGGTCAATCTTTTTTTGGCTCTTGTTGGGATTTTTCAATGGCATACAAAAGTTTTCTTACAGCACAAGTTTCGAAGGGCGTTGCACGGCATTTTTCAGTATGATTGGACGTTTTACTCTGCTTTCTTCATTTATATACTCTTGTGGACGATTTCCTGCAGAAAGTATGTGTGTTGTTTTTAGTTGCTGATTAACAAGTAACTGTGAACCTTTTAGCTTACTCGAAGATTTCGTGGACAGCTCTTTTACTATTTGAAGTTAAAGACAATGATCCGAGAATTTTCACTAGCCTTTGTAACTTTATCAGAGTTATATTTTTACGTATAGAATCTTCGTCGAACAGCAATATGCATTTGCGAACATTTTTCAAGCAATACTGGCTTGGCGCTCTGTACAAACGACGTCTCTAAATAACGTTTTTCAGTCTCTTGAGAAACAAATTTTTTTATTCCTGTATTGGAATTATTGTTTTGAGAAGATCTTTAATGGAAATATTTGGAGAGAATACTCAGCATTGAACCTCACTTCGCATCCCATTTACTTCAAATCAACAAGTGATCCAATGGAAACTAAACATCCGGATTTCATTTATTGCATATCTATTGTGCAATTGAACCCATACAATTTTGTTCCGGAACGTAGTAGGTGACATAACCCATATTATCTACTAATCGTTGTAACTTTGAAATTCTGCCATCCTTTTCCAGCCATTCAATCATGGTACGAACTGAAGCAAGTGGCACTTCTGACTCTCGCAATATGTTCCATAAATAATTCTCTTCAATGCCAGGGTGACTCATAATGACATATAGAATCCAATACTGAAGCTCCATTAAAAAATTCGTATCTGTAACTCCTGCAAGGTTTGTCCAGGGAAATGGAATCGTTTGTTGACTTGATGTTTCCGTTTCTTCATCGCCTTTGGGAAGGAGAAAACGTTTCGCGAATCTTTGACTCAGAAATCTCACTTCGTCTCCGTGAATGAAAGAGACATAAACGATTCGAAAATGTACAAGTCCTTGCAAAACTTGGTGTACTTGCAGTTTAGTCCATTTAGGATTATGGTCCATTATTTCATTCATTGTCATTCCATTCTCTTCCGAGGAATGGATTTGCTCCACAAGTACCTGAATTTCCTCAATCTTCACTTCACTGTAGTTGGCCACAACAGAAATGGAAAACTCGGTATCATGTTCTTCGCTGTCGTCAAAAGAGCAAAATGGCAAATCAAGCCTCTCCTCTGAGTTGCAATCATCATGAGACAAAAAGACTTCAAGGATATCTAATGGAATCAAGTTTATGTTCCAATGTGGAATATCGTCTCGGGAGGATACACGAGACAGACTTATTGTATCGGAATACTGCTTCAAATGAAATCCTATTCCACCAGAACCAACGCTCTTAGAAAGACCTTTCGCTTTAATAGTCTCAAAATATGTCTTATCTACATTTGGATACAAAAGAAAGTTACCGGTTGATGCAAGAGATAATATAGCAGCAATCGAACCACTTTGCTGACTATCTTTATCGATAACAATTTCCTAGCAATACTTCCTAAGATTACTCCCATTATAATATCTCTCTTACCTTATCCAAGGCTGCTTTATCAACAAGACTCTTTCTTGCACTAGAATATTCTTCCTGAAACGAATCCCCAAAGGAGTTTTCGCTCGTAATCTTTAAAATCTTCCACGACACACTGTATTCTCGATTATGCCGATCAGCTCTCTGACTGACGACTGTTCCTCTTTGGCGAAGATCATCCAATGCTACCTTAAGCTCTTCCTCTGTAAACCGATTCAAAATAGACATTCCTCTTTCTGGAACATATGTGTCCTCAGATTCACGTAGTACCAACTTTATTAGTTCTTCTATAGCAACCATCTTAGGAGCTAAGGAACCCACATTGGTTGCTTCATGTCCATGATGTTCTTGTTTATTCTCCTTTCCTCCTGTCAATGAACTCGTTCTTGTGCCATGTAAGGTATCGATATCGTATTGCATCATGAGCTCTTCGACAGAATTTGGAATATCTTCTATTTCAGACAGGTTCAAAGGATCAATTTTGGGAGTTACTTCCACAGAGTTCTTCAAAGGAAGCAAGCTTTCCACTACAGATCTGTTCTGAAATTTTCTTAGGCTGTTATTCCTCCAAGATTCTACAATATATTGACAGAGCTGAGAAATAATCTCATTATAAGGAAAAGTCCTATATAAAGTGAGGAAGCGCCTCTTGCATGCTTGTCCATTGTGTCCGAGATTCAAACCAACTGCATCCCAACTTCGCACTTTTGCGTGTAAAACCGAATATACATCTCGCTTTCCTAAAACTTCCACAGATTTTTCTATTTCGGATATTTTTTGATCAAAAACATAAATGATAAGCTCTTTGTCTTGATTATCGGTCCATGATGTCCTGACAGATCTTTTCTTTCGTTGAGTTCTTCCATCTATCGAGGAATCCTTAGAAGCTTGGGACGTCGACACTTTCTCCTTAGAAAATGCTCTCTTCGATAGTTTGGCATTCGGCCAATCCGAAGAAGATTTTCTCTTTCTTCGTGCAAAGGAATCTATTTCCTCATCTTTTCTTTCTAAACAGAAATTTTCTTCACTCATCGACTGTGGTGAATGACTGTTGTCATGTAACGAATCCTTTCGGATAGGATTGATACGTTCCTTACTTCTATTAGATTCACGAATTGCTTCTGTAAAAATTTCGCAAATATCCAGTTGAAAATATTCGGACAACTACGACATTTTAAAGTTCTATGAACTTTGCTCGAACGATATGCATACCTCACAAAGAGACTCATGGGTTATATTGCCTTGGATTGCAAGCAACTGAGCTTTCACTGAAGCGCTCAACTCTGAACGAGAATTTTTAGGTAGTTTCCAAATTTTGTCGCACCACTGCTTTCGATTATATGCTTCTGGAAAAAGATTATGCAAACACAATTTTTGGGTTTCATCTTCGCCTTCGTATGTTTTATGATGTCCTAGCATTCTTCTCTTTTTTGAGGAGAATAGCAAGCAGTTGCTTTGCAAATAGAACCAAAATTTATCAACATCGGCAATGTCACGAAAAGTAAACTACAGAATTAAAACACTAAAGCTGAACAATTCATTTTTACTATCCATACCTTGGTAGTAGTGTCATCCCAACCACAGACAAGAATCTCTGTAGATAGAATACACCGAAAATTCGGAAGTTTAGATAACAGAAGCAGCCTAAGGCGATGTTCATGTTTGAGATCAACTTCAAATAACTACTTACCTTTCCAGGAGGTCAACAAGTAAGCTCAACTTTCTGTTAATTGGACGGGAACGAAACAATTTTGCGGCGATATTCTCCGGAAGAGCACTTATCGGAAAATGTCTTGCGTCTGATGGTACCCAATGCATACAAGAAGAATCACCAAATAACTCCAAAAAGTCCTCTGTTTTCATAGTTTTTATAACAACATCTAATTGCATCGTTCCTGGTGAGTCGTTGAAACTCGGTCGATTCTTCAAAAAATATCGGAACAAATGCAAATGCAGCCTTCTTCCATGCAACATCTTTCCTAAACCGAGAAAAATCTTTGACGATTCTTGCCCATCTGTTGGTGTATTGGTTTGATGTCTTGAGGAAAGCGTAACAATGTTCTTCGTAGTATTCGTTGCACTGCCTGTTTCTATCGACAGTATCAGATATTTCAAAAAAATACCAAGTCAAGTAGGATACAACCTTCTTTTGTCGTGCTTGTAAACATTTTCCATCCCGCTGAAGAACTCCATTGACGAAGAAATTCTTCAATCTAGAAGTTCTTTGAACAACTTCAAATATCATATAGTGGAAATGATGCAAACCTCTGAGGAATTTTCACCTAGTTCAGGCAACGTAACAAGTCGAATCTGCTGAGGTGACTCTCTTTCCAATATGTGAGGCATGTCCACAGACATTGTCTGAAACAAGAATAAAACAACCAACCGAGTTTTCAAATTCAATTCTTACCTTCACCAAACCAGCTTCTTCTAAACGTTGAACAAGTCTCCGAACCGTCTTCTTATCTACACGTGAAAATGATGCTCCTTCCCACGTTGCCAAGAAATGTCCAAGATCACTCAAATTCAGTACTTTCTCTTCTCTGATGTGTTCCAGTAGATTCTTGGTTCGCAATTCGTTCTGTAAATTCGTAACTTGCTGAGTTCTGGAGCACAGATGAGAATTCTCATAAAATCTTTTCATTTCCACAAAGTTCGCGTTGTTCAAGTCGAGATATCGGAAATGCTCAGGAGAAACATAGTAATGGACAGCTTGCTTTCCTTCCTGTAAACTCTTCGCCTTGAACCCCAAGTTGGTCAACAAACCTCTACAAACAGAAGAGATGACTTTTCTCGATGCCTTCGAAAGCTGTAAGTATCCAACTCGTGTTAAAATAAATTCCAAACCTTGCATCCGAGTCTGCCAAGTAGTTCTCTCTGGCTTATGCCTTTTTCACCAGACTCAACAATTAAGGCTAAAACCTGAAACTCCAAAGTCCTTTCCCATAAAAGGCGATGTTGCAATACACTCCTTTCTTCCGACCTTAGAGAACGGTCATTAGTCGCTTCAAACCTTGCAAGAAAGTCATGATGAATTCAGATATTCGCTTAAGCACACTTACATTTTTAAACGAACATATTCGACCTCTTCAGAAATCTCCTCATCATTTGCATTCAAAATAAATCTCTCAATCATGTTCCTTTCCTCTAACTTGTTAATCGCATTTCTCCAGTAGCGCAATGCCTTGCCTCGCATGCTATACTCCTTACTTTCTGAAAATGTCTCTTCTAGCTCTTTAAGAAATTCTTCTTTCAAACTATTGAGAGCCATCGTATATCCGTCTTTCTCGAAAAGAGTTTCTAGAATGTTTCTCAGATGTGTAGTATAGTCGAATACAACTTCTGTATCTGAGGTATTTAGGTCTGCGCTATCATTGCTTTTCAACGTAGTGCTTTGTGAGTATTTTAAGGTTTCCTGTTTTACTCCATGACATTCTGAGTCGTCTCCCAATGATCCGTTTGATTTGAAACGAAAAGAATTCAGACAGATTTTGTACGTTCTCATTGGTTTGTTGTTGTCCCCAGAGTTCCGAATTTCTCTCTTTCTGGTTATCAGTCTCATGTTTCTAAGGACTCTGATGTGGTGATGTAACGTATGAGGGTCCACAGAAGCAAGTTTAGCCAAATAACTTTGGCGAATTCCACCTTGGTGAGAATACTTGGCAATAATAGTCAATATTCGAAAACTTTCCGAGGAAATTTGTGCTTGCTCCAGTTCTGAGAAACCACATACTCTAAGAAATACTGTTTCCGAGCAACTCCAAGAACAGTTCAACAGTGATTGACGTACAGCCTGCTCTTCTACCTGTTCTGCATCGAAAGCTTTCGCTAAGTGGCTACGATAATCCGACGTAAAATTATCACTCCGTATATGAAAACTTTCGGGTAGTTGGCAACCACCTTCAAGTTGAAACTCCTTTCTTGTCAACAATTCCTCCACAAGATGACTAAGGGTATTATATTGGAGAGGCGGCACATATCCAGTGTACTCGCTAACCCTACTTACTGCTTCTTCCAGTTTCAACCCATCCTTTGATAGAGCCAATTCCTTCTTCACTAGAGAAATAAACAGATCCATACTACTATTTGCGCATCCTGGGCAATCGTAAATATTGAAAATTGGCTCACGATTGCGTTGATTTCAAACGCATAGCTTTACAAAGAAAAATTCTATGACTGACAATCAGAGTTTTCGTGTGGACAGTTCTGGAGACAGGAATAACTTGATATTCGAATCACTGTACAAGGCGGATATTCCAGAGTACACAAACCAGGGAACGATATGTCATCCAAACTACAGAAGGACGCTTGGAGCAAAGTTCACGTCGGTATCGCTTATGGACTCTTGTATGTAACTCTGCAATTGCTTTGTTTCAACTTGACACTAGTTTCTAGCGTCAAACCGTTTTTGTGACTCTAAAGTACAACGCCAACTGAAAAAGTCCTCTGGTATGCGAGTTTTGAAGAATTCTTCAAACAACCGAAAATTTCAAGAATTCGAACCCCTCTGTAATACTTCGCAAAACGGTATGTTTGTGGTTTTAAGACTTTGTTGTTGATATCTGATTGTTTGGAAAGTTGAAAAACTTCAAGAACAAGTTGTTTCGCAAGCTACTCGCCTCAACTCTGAACTTGACAAGGATTTATGCAACGAACAATTGTGGTATGTTCTTTAAAATCTTGAAAAAAGTTTCAGGTGAATAATTGTCTAGGTTGCAACTTGTGGACTTACAAAACCGTTATTATGACTTGGGTCTATTGAATAAGAAAAGTATGGTCGACAAGAAATTGTCTATTATTATAAAGGCTTTGGAGAGTATCCCAAACTCTGAAGATTTGTTGCTTCTATACATAAGTATTATGGCTGGTCTTTGTGATAATGAAACGATGTTTAGTTTATTTCGAAGAGCATTGCAGTGTTCTCCTACAAGTTTGAAAATTCACTTATTAAGGTGTAGATTTGTGTTATCTTCTCTAGAATCATTTTCACTCTACTCTATGGAGAATATCTGTAGAGAAGCATTTGACTGCCTTTGTGCCAGTAACTTTGTTCATGGTCTGTATTTTGTTATTACATTTATTCGAATTCTCTTTGAGTCTGGTTGGAAGCAAAAGGCAGTTGGAATTTGCCAGGCTCTTGTTGAATTCTTTTGTTTTCGTATAGATAATCGGACTGACTTACCTACTGAGTCTGGCCGAATTCGAAAGTTTGAAGAGAGAAATTTATTTATTCTTTTTTGGAAGAGTTTCGCTCCTCGTATTGGCGAAATGCCTCGACACAACTGGACTGATTGGCTAGTTATATTTTTAGGAGCAGTTGAGAAACACTATGACCTAATAAGAAAATTGGAACAAGATGATTCCGAAGACTCAGACAGTGAGTCTTCATCATCATCTTCCTTGGAAGAGTTTGGAATTCCAGCAAAACTGCCATCCATCGAAGAAAAGGAAGAAGATGAACAAGAATGGATGGATTCTGACGCATCCTTCTCAAGTCCGGAGCTCTCGGAAACCTCGTCGATTTGTGATCGAAGGGAAGGAGAGCTTAATTTGTTGTTGACTAGTCGTCTTGTCGGAAATGAGTTTACGGAATGGATACTTGAAGAAGAACGAGATGCTATGGAAAATTCTTTCGAATGTAGTCTTGAACATCTTTTGCAATTTGAGAATGATAGTTTGAACACTCTATTTGGTATGTTTATGACTTTAAGTTTATAGTAACTTTGATTTGAAGGGTTTAAGGGAGTTCCGCTGAATATTATTGTCTCCCCAGGGATATAACTCATTTCATACCGCAGAATTGTAATATCGATCGAAGCATTTGTTATCAGATGGTAAGTTTTGTAACGTGTCGTGACAGAATTATGATGTTTAATTTTACTCAGGTGATAGAGCTATTGTTGTCTTTGAGAGGCTGGCCGTTCCTTGACTCAATAGCCAGTTTGATTCCTTTTGATTTACAGAATATTCAATTGAAAGAGGAAACCGTGTCAAACTCCTTTTCATTGTGTCATCCAAGAGATGTAGAAATGCCATCATACTCTTCAAAGATGTTATTATTTCGCCTATTCGATCAGATCTGGCCAAGTCTTAGTGATATGAATAGGCTTCTTTCTGAATGGTTGTTGGGAAGTGGATATTGCCGTGTATTGAAGGGTACCACTTTGAAAGAGAATGTACCGATTTCTTTTATATCGAATGTATATGATTCCCTCCTTTTCAGTAAGGCTTCTATTTTTCATCTTGGTCATTTGGAAGAGAGAGATTCTTATTCTCTACGGATTGCAGAAGCTTTTATATTTTTTGAAGGTGCAGTTGGTGGATTTTCAAAAGGTAGATCCACAGCCAAGAGATTGTTGAAGACTTGCGAGAGTTTTTCTCTTTATACGACTTTTGCAGAGTTGCTAATTCATGAAGACTTGTTAGAAGAGAGTAAAAGCGTATACTATTCTTGTTTGAATCGTCTAAATGACTCTAGTTGGAAAGGGACAGATTGCTGTCGTGTGATACTAAGTTTTCTATTTTACCTGTTGAATCATGTTAGCGAAGATTGGAGAACGAAGAAGACGAAATGTCATAGTATTTTCAGAGTTTTCATAGGAAAATTTGGTGGAATTGAAGAATCTTTAAGCTTGACAGAAACGATGATGATAAAGAACAAGTTGCAGAAATTGAGTAATGAAAGGATGTCTGTATCTTGGAGTCTTGGTGAAGAAATGCATCATTTCTCAGTTTTAGCTTGTCAGCTTATGTTTGAATGGCTCCTTGGTGGCGTACACAGAGCTAGAGATGTATTGCACAAGATAGAAAATGACCTGGCATTCACAATACAACGAAATGAGAGGAATGAAGAAGTATATTCTATTGTTCTTGTCAAGTTGAGACAGTTACTATGCCTATTTACCTTTCTCGACTGGCAATACTCTGGGGAGTCCAATATAAGAACTATTCGAAGTTATATGGAAGAGGCACTTGAAAAATTTCCGGCGGATGAGTTACTTCTTTTCATGTATACGTTTCTTTTTCGCTTCTACGCTAATCACTCAATGGAGTCTTCTCTTCAGTTTTTGTTCAGTCGTGTAAATCATAGGTCAAATGCGTCAGCTATGACTGTTATTGCTCAGATTGTTGCTGAGGGTATTTCTTTAAGTGAACAAGGGAAACTCCCTTTGAAAGACGGGAATCTATCCACTTGGAGAAGAGTTAATAGTCTACTGACAAGAAGCCTATATGAAACAGGTCTTGCTTGTTCTTCTATTATGTGGATAGAATTCCTCACAATGCTCTATGCTCAACGAAACTCTGGTGGAATTCCCAGCGAAGATCTGAAGAAAACCTTTTATAGAGCGTTAACACACGTCCCTTACTCGAAGGAGCTCGTACTGAAGTCTTTCAAGTTTCTTAGTGACAGTTTGTGTATACGAGAAGCTAAGGACATCTGGAGTATTACTCGTGAGAAAGGTCTCTTATTTAAAACGCGCTTTCCTTATGAAAGCGATGAGTAACAAGTTAAAACTCAACATTCTGGTGCAGTTTCAGCTGATGCTTCCTCAGCAGCAGGGGACGAGTCTTGGTCTCTTCTCCGTTTCTTTTCCAGCTCTAACCTCTTTTGACTATCGATTGACCACATTTCTCTCCATAGTCCTTTCGCTTTTCTTTGTATCTAGACAAGGTTGCATGGTAGCTGAACTCTCCGTATTTAGTCCTACTTACCCCAGAGAAGATATGTTCTTCAGTAATTTCACTGTAATCCGCAAAAACACAGGCTATGCCAGCCCCGGTGGTGACAATTATTTTTAACAAACGCAAAGTTCTCCTAGAAAGAAAAGCAAAAGGAGGATCTTCGTCGTCCTGTTCCTCTTTTATGGAACTGGAAACTGAAGAGTTTTGGCTTTTGGACTGTTCCAAAGAACGAGTGCAAGCTGTCTGACTAAAGCTTCTTCTAGCTAGCCAGAAGTACCTCGCTCGTCTCAGCCACTGGTTGTTTGTTGTACAAACTTTCGTAAAATTCATGGATTGCTAATGTCCCAATTGAGAATATTCAAAGTATTTGTCTTTTTCATTGTACGAAAGGTATTTTGACAATTTTAGAGAATACTCATTACTACACTATGAAAAGCTTGTCATCTTTTGACTGTTGACTACAAAGAACCTTCCTAATAAGAGATATTAAATAGGGAAGTACTGCAAGGGAAGGAGCTTAACCAGTTGAGAGGAAGATTGACCAGACAGTTTCTCGTAAATATCATTCACTATTCATAAATACTAAGAATAATAGCTTCCTCAACCATTTAGCATGTACATACACTATCCTAAGGCTTAAGATACGCATTCAAAATATCGAGGGTAATTGAAAAATTGGAAAACAATGGAACGCCAAATTGCCATGGCATACCTTAGCAAAAGAAGAATACTTAACGCCTTGAAGATACTGAGTCTTTGTACTAAGGACCGAAATACCCTCAATTTGGAAGCTTGGAAACTTGCAGCTCATTGTAATCGTTATCCTGAGGCGTTTGACTCTTATTTGGATCCATCCTTTCTTATAAGTGACTGTTTGGACAAAGTGCTTCAAGCCTCACAAGAGTGTTTCCTTCAGCCTTTTGTTGACAAGTTGGAACACATAGAAACAGTAGACGAACTCTTAGATTTTGTTGAGCAACTAAAGCTATTAACAGCTTCAGAAGCAACAACCGAAGACAATTGTGGTCGCTTCGTTCACTTGGAAGGACCTATAGGACAGTTTTTGCGGAGAGTAGTGATAGCCTTGGAGAGCCTCTCCTTTGAAGACATTTGTTTGCTGTTAGATTCCTGGCAATCTGTTGATGTGTCTAAAGAAGATTTTCAGAACTCAAGTCGCTATGCTTGGGACTTTGAAGTTCCCTGTAGCTTGTTACCGCAAAATGACCATGAAGCTCATCGATTACTAGAGGGTTTTAGTTGTGGCATTATACCGATTGATGAACAAATATCCGAATTTTTAACCATTTCAACAAATGACAACCGTACAACAAAGGCTGAACTTGTTAGGTTTATTCAGTCCATCGAAAGCGCAGACATTGTTTCTGCCATTTCATCATTGCACCGTTATTTTGACATGGAACTGTGTTCTCTGGATTGCGGTCCTCAACAGGCTTCGTTGTTGTTGGCATCTGCGTATTTTACCTTGGGCATTCAGCCAATGTCAATTGTGAACTTACATGAAACGGTAATGGAGATGAATCCAACTTGTAAGCTGACCAAGTGCCTTTTTAGATTAAAGTTTCGCAGCAAGCAGGAGATAAGCACTGTCAATTACAAGCACTTTTGTGGCTTTGTCTGGCAGATATGAATAAGAAGCATTTATTGATGGAAAGAGTGAAGGAGCTTGCAAAGGAACCCAGTTATAACTTACTTGCCGCAGTAAAGCTTGCGGAATGGAGAATATCTGGCAAGGGAGTGCTATCTTCAGCTGCGTGGAACGAATCACAACACGAAGAGCAAGTATCGTTACTCATTAGAGACTATATAGAGAGCTATCACTCGTCTCCAGGTATAGTGCAAACAAATAACTAAGGTTGCTTCCTTTGTTGAAACTTAAATACAGGTTCCTCAAACGTGTCACGAATTGCTTTTTGTCTATTAGAAGCCGAGATGTGGCGACTGAAAGGCTTTCTTGACATCAGCTACAATATTTTGGAAGAATGTTGTTCTCGTGAAGCTAATTGTTTGTTTTCCTATTCCTTCTTGCAGTGTATATGTGTACTGAGTTTTCTTGACTTGGAACGAGGAAATTTTGAACGTGCATTAGAACGATTTGAACCTGCCATTCGGTATCTTTCATCCACAGAAAGCGATAGAGCACAACGAAACTTGGACAAGGATCTCATTAGGATACATGTCCTATATGTGTTATTTTGGAGGTATTTTTTTAGAAATTTATATAATTTTCAGTTTGTCATTCTTTCTTAGGTCCGTTTATCGGCAAGAAAGACATCCAGCACGAATTGTATTAGAAAGAATAGAAAGTATGGTTTCTTCAGTAGACTATAGCAGTAGCATAGAATACGCACCTATGGTCCACAAGGCAAAATGTGCTTTGGCTCGGTTGGAAGGAGACCATCAACTTGCACTAAAGATATGTAGTGATTGGGAAAAACTTTCTATTTCGAGAGGTACGTGAACTTCAAGTCGTATGTTCCAAAGTAAACAAGGCATTTCTTAGAAAAACCGCTCGATTATTTGGAAGCCAAAATTTGTGAAGCAGAAATATTTCTACATGTTAGCGCTCCTGTTAAGGCCTTGTTACCAGCATTGCAAGTAGCCAAGATTTCTGAAATGAACAACATTGAATATTATAGATTGATTGCTAGTCTTATCGTTATTGAAGCTCAGTGCCAGATGCATCAATTTGAAACTGCAGAAAGTACTCTCGAAAAGATTGAGCCTTTGTTAGCTAACGGAATTCCTCCTTTATATCAGGGCAAGGCATATTTACTTAGAGTACATATCAAATTCGCTTGTTATTCACAGAATGAGTCAGTTGCTACTACTTTTACTGAGACAAATAAGTTTTTGTCTGCCATTTTGAAGGATATACAACTTGCGCTTGATTGCTTTCAAAAACTGCAGGCTTTTTCTTATATAAGGGAATGTCACTTCTTATATGAAACAATACAAGAAATAAGACAATGTAAAGATAAAAGTCTAAGAAGTGGAGTTCCTTCTTTCGATAAAGGGGACTGGTTGCCAACTGATAACAAGTGCAATGAGCAAGTTGTATATTGTCGAGTTTTGGAGAAACTCAATAAACTGTAGCCAAACATTTGATGATCGAAACACTGTACATTATCCTTTGTCATTCCAACAGTTCTCCAAACGATAGAAACCAACCATCTTTTCCACATCTCTTCGTCGCAAAGTGAACTATGAAATGAACACTAGCATCGATTTCTCATATGAATAAAAGAAGTATGTATAGCTTATTCCCTTTCTGATCCTTCTTCTACAGAAACATCGGAGACAGTAAAATCATTTGGACAACAGGTTGAATATTGTGTCGAGGAAGATTGTCTCTCTTCGTGAAAAACAGCATTGAAGAATTCGTCAGGATATTCTAGAAATGCACAGTGGTCTGATCCACGAATAACTGTAAAATGACAGTCAGAAATGATAACCTTCAACAACTCATACAAGTGCTTCACTTCAGAAACTTTAACAACTGGATCCAAGTCTCCACAAACTAGATGAACAGGAACTCTCAACCTTTCAATACATTCAACCAAGGGAAACAAACATTGTGCATTTGAGAAACCTCTCAAAGAAACAAGAGGAACTACAGCAGCGTCTCCTGACGGTTTTGGTTGTGCATTCAACTGATACGCTAATTTTCGAAGTCCTGGCGCCACAAAACCGGGTTGTCGAGGATATCGAGCAATAAAACCCAGATATCCCAAGAGACCTCCTCTTCTCACTAGAAGCTGAGGTGTAAAGGCAAAGTACAGCGCACGAATAGGAGAAACTTTTCTTTCTATTCCTGCAGGAGATATAAGAATTAGTCTCGTCACTGAAGTTGGATTCTTCAAGGTATATTGAACAGCAACGTAAGCACCAAGGCTATGACCCAAAAGGGCAAACTGTCTCAAGTCTACGCTCTGTAAACAAAGTTGCAAGCTGTCCACATAGTACGCAATCGATTCTTCTGCTGTTCTTCCTTTAAATTCTGGACGGTCAGATCTTCCCCAACCTAGGAGGTCGATAGCATAAGCACAGTAACCTATCGAAACCAATTGTTCCAAGTTTCGATAAAAGAAAGCTGCACTCATGGAATGCCCGTGTAGGAGTACAATAGTTTTACGGTTTCCTCTTCCAGCTACTATAACGTGCATCATATAATTCCCAGCCCGAACAAATTCATGCTCTATGGACACTTTGACCCGTTCTAGCACTTTTCGTTCCGCTTCCTTCAACCTTTCTGGGGAAGTGGGCATAATCATCCTTCCCAGTAGACGTTGGAACTCAAAAACAAGGATAACCCAAGAGGTTTTCCTAAGAAAACCTTTGACGAGATGTGATAGCCCTATTTTGCTAGCTGACTGGCTAAGCCTTCTTCAAGAGAATGGATGGAGCATTTTCCTTGAATTCAATTTCAGCGCTTGTCTTCCTTCACTTTGAATAATGGCTCAAATGAAATATTCGTTTGAAGACTCCTACAGACAACTGCATTTATTCATTCTGCATCTCTTGAAGATATCATGTCATGCTTAGGAAATATCAAGAACATAACCAAGTCGACTTTATCTTTTTCATATAAACTTGTCATGAAAGTAGACGCAAATGATGACTCGAAGCATAATAGGAATGTCGAAAGTGTTACAAGAAAGAAGACGAAACCATTTCTTTCCGAAAGATATTTCAAACAACAAACGTAAAGTTAACAAAGACGCAATGAAAACTTACGCGGACTGCAAACACTGCAGATTCATATCAGCTGTTCAAAAGAAGATTCTTGTTCATTTATGATGTTCATTCTATATCTCATAGGAGAGTATGTTTTTTCCATTTGCTTAACATTTAAGTACACATCCAACTATGTACTGTTCGTTTGCAACGAATAGAACGCATTACAATTCTTTTAACTTTCAGCAGTATTTCCTAAGAAGCTTTTAAAATAGTCGAAAGGTTTCCTAAATCAGATGTGTAATGAAGAAGACTAACTCTATTTCCCATGAAGTAAATCGGCCCATTGGACGATGATGTTAGGCTTTATTGTCGATGCTTTTGTAACTGAAAGACCCTTTAGTGGCAACCCTGCTGGAGTCTGCTTAATACCAAGCGATAAAACTCTTTCGGATGACTTGATGCAAAACATTGCGAATGAACTGAAGCATTCAGAAACAGCTTTTATTCAGATCTTGTCAAGTGAAGATGGAGAACTTTCTTGTTCTCTTCGTTGGTTCACACCTACTGTGGAAGTTGAGCTTTGTGGCCACGCCACATTGGCTAGTGCAGCTGCCTTGTCTTTTTCTAAATACTGGAACCCTGCAACTCTCACAACAGTAAAGTTTCACACTCTTTATTCCGGTGACTTGATCGTTCAAGCCTTAGATGCTAATTTCTTTCAAATGGACTTTCCTCTTTTACCTGTTGAACAGGTTACGGAAAGTATGAATGAAGAATTACTAGCTGCACTTGGATTGCGTAGAGAACAAGTTGTATACTATGGCAAGAGCAAATTCGATGTCTTCATCCATGTCCAGAACCAAAGTTTGGTAGAGAAACTTACGCCAGCTTTTGAGAAGCTTTTACGCATACCACAAGTTGGTAGAGGTGTTATCGTAACTAGCTTGGCGGATAATAGAGAAGAAGCCCATTTCTGCTCTCGCTTCTTTGCACCGTGGACAGGTGTCAATGAGGATCCTGTTACAGTAGGTTATTTTGATTGACGTTCCATATTTGTAGTTACTTGTTTAGGGTAGTGCACATTGTTCTTTAGGTTACTACTGGAACCTCCAGTTGGGAAAGTCCGACTTGTATGGTATTCAACTGTCTTCAAGAGGAGGTCGTGTGTCCCTAAAGTTGGATAACGACACTAATCGAGTTAAACTTGGAGGTGAAACCAGAGTAATGTTCAGTGGGAGTTTTCCATTTTTGTAGAACATACGAAAAGAAGAATAAATTGTTTAAGTATTCCTCTCTTTGACATTAGTGGCGATCCAAGATTCCAAATGATCAATATACACAAGTCCCTTTCGAGCTCCTAGAGCAGAAAGTTTCTCAGCTGCTACTCGAGAGGCAAAGTATAACATATGTTCTTGATCAAAATGATGCAATATTGCGTAAATAATACCTCCAATAAAGGCATCTCCGGCTCCTGTTGTGTCGACTACACGTTCAACAGGCCAACAAGGACAATCTATTAGTCGATACTTTGGTAAACATTCTCTGCAAGGAGTAGGCAAAGGAAACGTTGTTTTGACAGCCATTATAGGAAAATGTGATAAGTTTGCTGTTTTCTCTTCCCTATCCGAGTCCAAACGGCTCATCATTACACAACCTTCTTTTCCTAAAGTAGATATAACCCATCGGGCAGGATAAGCATCAAGTAGCTTTTCCAAGCCATTCAATCTATTTAGTTGACCAAAATACTAACCACATGTAAATAATATCAACAATACATTCAACCAAATATACCTCCGAAGGAAATTCTGCATTGGTAATAATATAATCCGCCAAGCACAACAGATTTTCTAAGCCTTCCCTACGACGCTCCACATCAAGAACAATCGGTATGCCTTTATCCCTCGCGTGTTGAGCGATCTGAACAAGTTTCGGTCTGTGCTGACTGGCAAAGAAAACGACAAACCTTCAATGCTGCAGAAGGATGTCTACCATCCAAGTGTAATAAACTTGCGCCATTTAAACAACTTACATTCACTTCTTCGCTTGTTAACTCTGCCTTTGAGGGCGTATGGATACAGGTCCTGGTCGAAGTACTCACATCAACAATCACATATGTGAAAGCTGATTGTGTTTCTTCTTGTCTTATAATGAAACTTGTATCCATACCTTCACGCTCAAACTCTTCCAGAATTGATTGACCAGAGATATCATCTCCAATCTTGGTTACTAGAATGACCTCGATACCCAATCTACGCAAGCATGTCAAAGTATTTGCAGCATTTCCGCCTCCTTGAATACTAGAGTCTAGTGTTCTCAATTTCTGATCAGGTTCTGGAAATGTTGCCACTTTGGCAATAAAGTCTAAGCCAGCCATACCAACCCCAACTACTTTCTTGTCTTTACTTACAGGAACAACTTTCCTTTGGTTCTGGATATTTCCTGAGCAGATTGCAAACATTACTCTTTTAGAGTGGACCTTTAACTTTTGCAACCCACAATGACTTGGTAGAGAAAAGTTATTATGGAGAAACATGAAATCACCAAATGCCTATTTTTTGTATTGATACGTATGCCTTGTTCGGATGATCCACTTGCACGTCTTTATGGCAGAAACGCCTTGGAAGATACATTAGAACTGTTGTGGAAGAAGCAAGGTAAGCCTGGTAAAAGAAGACCGCGTTGTGGCAATCGAGAGTTAGGTAATTGCCAAGAATTCACTTAGTCTTTGAGCTAGTTGACAACTTGTTTAGACCTTTATGTATTCTTTGAAAGCGTTCGCTCTTTTGGCGGCATTTCGAAAGTGAGTGTTTAATCTACAATTATCTCTTTCTATAGGATATCTTTCTAGGTTCACCAGAATCGTTTAATGCAACCTATTGCAGAGTTATTACGATTGTCGTTGACAGCAACAAGTTCCGGTTATTCTTTACGTCTTATTTACCTGAAGTGGCTGAAACCCTATGAAAAGGAACTTGAGCAAGCAATTGATGAAAGTTATAGAAAGATAAATATTGCTTGCGAAAGCGGTAGACAATGGCCAGAGTGCATTTGGTCGAAAGATGCAAGATTGCCAAGAAAAAGGTCTCGTTGGAAGCAGAGTGGAATGAGAGTTTGTTCAGAAGATGTGCAGCAAGTAAGCTTCTTAGAAGTTTTCCAAATTATTGACTCACTTTCTTGAGGAAAATTTGACCGAAGCAGAGAAGGCTGCAGTCTTTTCTAGGCTTTCAGTCAATGAAATGGAACCAGAAGAGCAAGTAGAGTTTGCCTCTCTATTGGATTTGCCAGATTTGTTCTTAGATATTCGAAATCACATTCTTCGACTTTGGTATAGAGACGTGTCACATAGAACAAGTTGTTCCGATGTCCTATCTACCGTTCCTAAGAGGTACGGTCTTTTTGTTATTTCGTCTTCAATATATGAAGGAAATGTTTAGATATCATGATTTGACGAAAGATATCTTTATCTATCTTGTCCGACAAGGTTTGATCAATTTTGGCTTTTTAGGAAAGAATCAGTTTCCTATTCTTTCTGGAGAGCAAATGGAAAAGGTACCACATGTAGTTATAGTAGGAGCAGGTATTGCTGGTCTCGCTGCTGCAAGGCAACTTTGCTCCCTCGGAGTTAAAGTATCTATTTTTGAAGCTCGCGATAGATTAGGAGGCCGTATTTACACAAGGATGAGTCTTAACAATACACCTATAGAATTGGGCGCTATGCTTGTCACTGGTGTTCAGCAGAATCCTTTGAATACACTTTGTAGGCAGTTGAATCTAATATTGGAAGTCGTTCAAGAAGACTGTCCTTTATATGATGTAAACGGTTGCTTGGTTCCTAAAGAGTTGGATATTTTAGCAGAAGATATATTCAACGACGCTCTTGAAGAGACATCTAAAATGAGAAACGTGAGTATTTATTTATGGATTGTTTGTTGGATGATAAGATTAGGCTAGTTGTACAAAAACCAAAGACATGTTTCTCTGGGTTCCATATTGAAAAAGTTGCTCGAGGAAAAGTTGATGATATTTAGACAGACTTTGGAGGCAAATGATTGTATGAAGTTAACTACTTTGAGACGATTGGTGCAATGGCATATAGCTAACTTAGAATATGCCTGCGCTGCTGATTTAGAAAATGTGTCCTTATTTGATTGGGATCAAGACGATCCATGGGCTTTAGAAGGTGAACATGCTATTGTCCAGGGTGGATTTTCTCAACTAGTGGAAGGTTTAGCAAGAGGCTTTGAGAAAATAGGACATGATATGGACAATAGGAGTCGCAATCCTTGTATATTTTTAAGGCATGAAGTGAAGGTAATCAAGTGGTCCTCCAAAAAGAAAAGTGTTGATAGAGGGACAAAGTCAGTTTCAAAGAAAGATTCTGTGATAGTCAAAGTGCAAACTCCTCGTGCAAGTATGAAAGAAGTTTCATGTGATTGTGTTCTTATTACTGTGCCTTTGGGAGTCTTAAAGGAACGATCCATTTCTTTCTATCCTGATTTACCGATTTGGAAACAAGAGGCCATTGACAGTTTAGGTTTTGGTGGGTTAAACAAAGTTTGTCTCGTCTTTGAAGAACTTTTTTGGAAACATTCTATATTTGGTGCATTGACCGATTCTTCCAATCAAAGAGGAGAATTTTATATTTTTTGGGACATGACAAAGTGTTCAGGACAAACTCCTGTTTTGGTTACTATGATATGTGAGCCTTTTGTGGGACGAAATGAAATTGCTGATAATCATATTTGTGTACAACGTGCTATGAATATACTTCGACGAATTTTCCCCAATGCACCGGAACCCAAGGTTAGTAGAGCCTGATCAAGTATCCAATGAGCTGAAAATCTTAAAAGGAATCCTTCGTAACTCGGTGGTCTGGCGATAAGTATGCAGGAGGTGCATATTCCTACATAGGTGTAAATTCTACCAGCAAAACTTACGACCTAATGGCCGAGAATGTTGGTGACGTCTTATATTTTGCCGGAGAAGCAACTAACGGAAGATATCCAACAACTTGTGCTGGGGCTTTTTTTAGTGGACTACGAGAAGCAGGGAAGATAATGAAACACTTGCAGTTGGATATCTTACAACTGGAAAACACTCAGAAGAGAAGAAAAGTTTCCATTTTTGGTCGTTGATAATCACATTTCTCTTAGAGGAAACTTTACAAAGCTAAAGTTATTTTGAAACTGGCGAAGGAAGATTCCAGTCGGACTATTTTACGTTTCGTCGAGAAGGAATATCAGGTCCTCCTAATAAAGCACTCCAATCATCGTCTTCTTCTTTCTCTTTCGGTTGCTTTCTTCTGGAGCGACTAGACTCGCTTACTATCTGGTCCAATGAGCTCCCTATTGGACGAAGTCTTGTGGTGTTGTTGAATGTTGTCGTAGCCGGTTTGATATTACAAGTTGAAACTCTTACACTTGAAGTACTTGAGTTGGGTTTGCTTCCGATGATATTTTTTGTTTTCTGCAAGTCACTTGTGTTTCCAGTACTCTCATTATGATAAGGAAGTGGTTCAGAAAAGTCTATTAGAAGATCCCAATTATCTGATTCTTCATTCTGGCTGCTTCTTGTTTCCTTTTCTCTCGATAAAATAGGTGGAGAGGAACCTTCTGCCTGTACAGCTCGTGTCATTTCTTGCTCGTGTTGTTCGAAACTTGTTTGATAATACTTGTTATAAGTGGATGGTTGCTGTGTAGCATGTGCGTCTACAATGCTTTCGGAAAGTTGCATTGCTAACGACGCAGCCAAAGATGTGAAATTCCATCCGGAACTTTTTGTGGATTCTGAAGCTGGCTTGGCTTTGTCCATATCATTGCGCGTATTCGTCTCAGTGGCAGTCGAATTCGCAGTTCCTCTTAACATTTGCTCGTGAAGTTGCCGAATCTTCTCTACAAAAAATTCTAAACACTCAAATGCTTGCGTTCTAGTCTCATTGTCGTCATCTACAAGACAAGGAACTACTGCTGGTAGAATTCTCGTCGCCATATCTGCTGGTTGGTAATTCTGTGCTGTTTTGATTAAAGAAACGAGGCCTGCAACTCGTGCTGGTGGAAAAGGATCCTTCAAAGATCTCGTAAAGGCCGGAATTAAGACTTTTTTCTTAGTTGACTCTGACAAATGATTAGCAATTTTCCCAAGACAAACTGTTGTATTGGCCCTTATAGCTGGTTCACGATCTAACTGTCATCCACTTGTCAACAGAGTAAACCTAGGAATCCTAATCTACTTACTTGAACTTTTGCAAGATGACCCATAAGCACGGAATTCAACTGTTTGCCATCTAATACGTCAACAATATGTATAACCGCTTTTATAGAGTTATCTCGAAGGGCTGGTGAACCAAGATCCTTTAAATTTTGACAAATGAATGGAAAAACGATCTTGTTAACGCTTTCTCTATCCATGAAAGGTGCAAACAACTCCATCTTATTCACCAAATCAGTCCGAACAACTCGATTTTCCAGTTTTACGTTCGCAAACCACTTGACAACGTGTTGACGGACTAACTCTTGTTTGCAGTTGTCGTCAGCTATTCGATTAAATATTGCAGATATACAGTTCAGAACCGAAGTTCCTCCACTTCCACATTCCATACTTGTGCAAAGTACTGGTAAAAGCTTAAACCGAAGATAATTACTCGGAACCTGTTCAACCATATCCATGATCTTCTGCAGGAAATTATTCTTTTCTAAAGATTCCTCAAGTTCAAAGTTTTCGAGAAACAAATTCATATTCACAAAAGAGTTACTCTGCAAGCACTTGTTTTCCAACAACTTTCCTGGTGCGAGTCTAGAGGAAGGATTCGAAGATAATAGTTTCTGATAATCAAAAACTAAATCCTTGGGTATGACGTCCACTTTCTTCAACTGTTCCGCAGAACGCAAAGTTCCGCTGAAAATTTCTTGAATAAAGCAACCAAAAGCCCATGAGTCTACAGAATATAGTGGGGCTTTGCTTAAAACGTTCCATTGTTGCTTAAGAAGCTACAAAGAATTTAACTTGAAATGGGAAAATGACACAACTTACTTCTGGTGAACAATACTTCTCATCTCGAAGAAACACAGTCTCCCGTAACAACGATAGATCACTAACTGAAGCTTCAAACGATCCCAGCTTCCAGTCTCCACCCGGTGTTATAAAGATAGAAGCTGGGGATATGTTTCCATGGACGAGTTTACAGTCGCTGTGAATAAACTCCAACGCTCTAGCCAAACAAAAGACACCCCAACATAAAGTATCTATGGACATTGGTCCGTAACGTTGAATATATTCATAGAAAGGAAAAGCTTCTTCAGTAGCAAACGAAATGCTATTTTCCGACTCAACAGCGTTGTAAAACTTCAAGATATTTGGATGTCTAAGAGTTTTAAGCCTCTGCAAACCATTCTTTGCCAAGCTTCGCAAAGACTTGTTACCATTCTTTACAATGTTTACAATTTTCTGCAAAAATGAGTAAGCTCACAAACCTCTTTTGCGACTTGGTGCACAAATACAAGAGCTGCTTCTTTGGTCTCCTTGTTCTTGCCACGATAAAGTTTCCAAATAAAAGTTTTGTCACCACTTGATAAAGAAGCTTCCAGAGAATATCCTAGGTTCTGAAAAGTATTCTAAGAGAAAAGACAACAACTGAAACTCGCTTACGTTTTGGTCTTTTCCTATAAGCTTTTCAAAAAATTGCATTACACCGCAATACGATTTATGTAACAAATCATCAATGCATTCATGCAAATTTTATTTCGAAGATCAACGATCCTTTCTACTGTTCGTTCAGCAACACAACTACAAAGAACTAGTCTTCACTAGCTGAGCTAATCTACTTCCAAGATTTGCATCACATTGCGACCAGTAGTTTAACCAAATGCTACGAACTTCTGGGCTACACTTCCTCTCATTTAAGCGTTCAGCAACACGCTTAATAAACCTCTCCTGTCTGGCAGGATCCCACGAACGGAACCGGTCGCCAGGTTGTTTAAAGTTATTTTCCTTCAGAATACAACCCTTCGTACGAGAACCTGAGATTGTCGCTTTTGGAAAGTGATAGTTTGCAACAGTCTTCACACGATCATAGGTTGAAGGAAGATAGTTAATCTCACTTTGCCTGTGCATAAAGTTCATAAAGCCATCATGATGATTATTATGATAGGAACACTTGGGTGAGTTGATAGGAAGCATCAAATAGTTGGGTCCTAAACGATGTCTTTGAGTATCTGAATATGAGAACATACGAGTCTGCAGCATCTTGTCATCGGAAGCATATATACCAGGCACCATTACTCCTGGACAGAAAGCAATCTGTTCACTCTCTAAGAAAAAGTTATCCACATTCTTATTCAAGATAAGACGACCGACAGGTCTCTTTGGAAACATATCTTCAGGCCAAATCTTAGTATCATCTAAAGGATCGAAATCATAGTCATTTTCTGCAGCTGGATCCATAGTCTGAATACACAACGTATATTCGGGATAATCACCAGCATCTATGGATTCTATCAAATCATGTGTTGCATGTGAAAAGTCCTTTCCTCCTACTATTTCTGCTTCATCATCAAGTAAGCTTTGTTCCCCAAGCTTAGGTACCCAATGGAACTTCACATATGTGTCTTTCCCTTCTTTATTGATCAACCTAAATGTATTGACACCAGAGCCTATCATAGTTCGATAATTCTTTTGGAGAACATCAGAAAACTCAACACATAAGGAGCTAACTTACTTTAGGGATTCCAACATCATCCAGGTGAAATGTTAGCACATGACAAGACTCCGGATGGTGAGAGAGGAAGTCAAAAATACGCCACCATTCTTGTCTTTCAGTGCGAGGATTGGGTTTGAAAGCATGAATAAGGTCTGGGAACTTTATGCCGTCTCTGATAAAGAACACAGGGAAATTGTTCCCAACAAGGTCCCAGTTTCCTATACTTGTATTCAACACTCTGTATCTCATATACGAGATGAACCTACCTTCTCTAGTGTAAAATTTAGTGGCAAAGCCTCTTGGGTCTCTTAGAGTCTCTGGGGAGTGTCTTGAGTGAGTAACAGTAGAGAAACGAACAGCCACTGGAGTCCTCACCCCAACTGCACGGAACAAGTCCGCACAGGTGAGGTCAGTAATATCATCCGTCACTTCAAAGTATCCTTTGGATACTATCCCTCGTGCGTGAACAACTCTTTCTGGAATCCTTTCACGGTCAAATTGTGCCAACTTCTCGATGAAATGATAGTCTTCCAAAAGAACAGGACCTCTGGGACCCACTGTCAGCGACTCCTGGTTATTATACACTGGAGCTCCATTGTTTGTAGTAAGATAGGGTGAGTCAAAGGTTTCCCTGGGTCTATAACGAGTAGGATCCATAGCAACCAATGAAAACGAGGAAATCAAGAAAAACTGAATTCGAGAAATTCATGTTTTTGGCCTCCTGAAAAGTTTACAAATAAGTGTCTCGTAGACAAACTATTTCAAATGAAGCTCCAGAAAGATGCCCTCGTGACATTTCTTCATTCGACACTTTTTCTATCCTTGTCTTTGGTTATTCAAAAGGTAATATTTTCTTCATCAGAGATGCTTCCATGGATTTTATGGAAGAGTTGGTTATGTGTAGCAAACTTCATATTGTCACAACTTTATATATTCGATTGTCCAGTTCATTACGAAATAACTTAAACTTTTCATTCATAGAAATAAACTTTTCTGAAAAGTAAGAATGGTTCGTATTTTCAATAAACAACTTGTAGTTTTAAGTCTATCCATTCTCTTTCTTGTAATAATTTCCTATGAAATCGACCAATATGTGATGAAGTTACCATTCATTATTCAATAAGCAAATTTTGGGCGTTGAGTCGGTGTTATATGTTGGACCCCAGCGAAGAAGCAGCAGCTGTGAGAGCTGCAGCAGAAGAAAGCGTATATAGGGGACCTATTAAAGGAACAAAATGGTACCTTGTTAGTTCGAAATGGTACCGGCATTGGTGTATGTATACAGAAACAACGGATTTAGTGTCCACATCCCCCACTCGTTTTAGAACTGGTTTGCATACTTTCAAGTGCGATGTATCGGACGACTCGGATGATGAAAGCCAGTCGTTTTCGTCGTACAAGAAGACTCAACGTCCTGGTCCTATCGACAATGCTTACCTCGTGAAAAGTATAGAGGAAGTCGATCAATCCTCGGAACAAGTCGAGTTAAAGCCAAATTTGCTAGAACAGGTTGATTTTGTTTTAGTTCCTAAAGCTGTTTGGGAGCTTTTATTTTCCTGGTATGGTGGAGGACCAGAAATATCACGTCCAGTGGTTTTAGGCCCTTCCGGCGAGTGCTTCGTGGAGATTTATCCTGTCGAACTTAATATCTCATTTATTTGTCCATCGAAGACTGTTGAGACAACAATTCATCTCAGCAAAACAACCAAGATAAAGGAGCTGAAGAACAAGGTTTTACTTAAGCTGAATATCAATAACGTCACTGTTTCGGACTTGGAGGTTTGGAATATGTTGGATGATGTTCCTCCTGTTCTTTTAGATAATGATGAGGAGACTGTTGCAGAAGCTGTGCTTGTATCTGGTCAAAAAGTCCAAATACGAGTCAATCCTCAGAATTCAAATTCTCACTTTTCAGACTTGAAGCAAGAAACTCATCTTGACGATGACAATACTTCATGTAGCCAAGGGAAGTTGACCAACACAAACACGACTAATAAAACTGTTATTCGTAGTGTGAAAAGGGCACTATTGAAGGAAAAGATTGCATCCAATGGAGAAAGTGAACATACTAGCTGTATGAAGGATATTTCTAGTCACCGTCTATTTTTCTTGCCACCAATGAACTCCAGTGCATTTAAAAAAGCTGGCCTATGTGGTTTAGTGAATCTTGGGAATACTTGTTTTATGAATGCTGCATTGCAGTGCCTTAGCAATGCAGCAAAATTGACAGAATATTTCTTATCAGAGAAATACAAGTCGGACATAAACAAACGAAATCCTTTAGGAATGAAAGGTGTCTTGGCCGAAGAATATTTTAGACTGCTTTCTCATATTTGGAGTGGAAACGAGAGCAGTTTTGCTCCACGGCAGCTCAAGTTTCAAATTGCTCTTCATGCTCCTCAATTCACGGGATATCAACAACAAGACTCGCAAGAATTGATGGCATTTCTACTTGATGGGCTTCATGAGGTAATGTTGTTTACATTACTGTGCGACTGTTTCAAATATTTAGTTTGAAATAGGACTTGAACAGGATCAGAAACAAGCCGTATATTGAAGTCATTGAGGGTGGTGACAGACCTGATGATGAAGTGGCTTCTATTGCTTGGAAGCAACATTTGCAGCGAAATAATTCTATCGTTGTGGACCTCTTTCAAGGACAATACAAGTCAACTGTTATCTGTCCGGACTGTGGAAAAGTTAGTGTTACATTTGACCCATTTATGTATCTGTCATTGCCTGTTCCAAGCAAGAGTGAAAGAATGATAGAAATTCTTGTATTTCTCCGAAGAGCTGAACGGGACAAACTTTATTGTCACGAATTTCAGTCACGTCCTGTTAGATATGCCATAAGAGTTAATAGGAAAGGGAGAATCGGTGAAGTTCGTGATAGAGTTTCAGGTAAGGAAAAATTCCTATACTCGATGAAGATTTATCAAAATTTTTCCTAGCATTGACAGGGGTTCCAAGTAGCCGCCTTATTTGTGCGATACTCTTTCTAAACCGATTCTATCAAGTGCCCGTCCCAGACTGGAATCGAGTAGACGAGATTATAAATTTAGCTGGCCAAGAAAGATTTGTCATTTACGAAGTTGAATATGATTGGATATCAGGAAGAAAGCTGCAACATGGTGGAGTGGATACTGGAAGAGTAAGTATATCATATTCCCGTTTCCGTTATGTTGTATTTATTGTTATTATAGAGTTCCAGTATAAAGGAAAAAGAAATTCTACTTAAGATAGTTCACACGGAAAAGAATAGCGACCGTGTTATAGCAGTCCCTACACTTTTTACCTTAAACAGGTATGAACTTACTGGAAACCGAGTTCTTAAGGAGATCATGTTTGTCTGTCGTCGCTTTTTTGATTATGACAAGTTTCTGGAGCTTGGGAAGATTGGTAAAGAAGAAGGTGACGATCAAGAATGGAATGGGCAAGTACTTGAGCATGACTTGCACAGCGAGGAAGCAGTAGAGCTACCAGTTGCCGATGACTCTGCGACTGCATCGCACTTAGTCGTTCCTGGCAATAGTAGAATTGGGAGAAAACGCAAATCTCGTTCAAAGTTCCCTTTTGAAGCGAAAATATCCTTTGAGAGAACTCAAGGTTCAGGTCATACCTTTGATAGCATTGTTATCGACTGCGACTCAACTCATATCATTGACCTCCCAGACTGTTCAACGGTATATATCCATATTTCTCTCTTTCTTCATGAATAACGTTTGTTTCTAGGCAACAGTTGTAGTGGAATGGACCCTTGAAGGTATCTGCAAACAACTATTTGATATGGAAGAAGCAAGTTTTCGAGCCTATGTTCTGGATCATTCCATATCACAAAGCACACAAGAGAATTCAGATGCGTATCCTACTATTGAAGATTGTCTTCGCAGATGGAGTGAAAAGGAAATTCTGTCTCAAGACAATGCCTGGTTCTGTCCAGTGTGCAAAGATCATAAACAAGCAAGTAAACATCTACAGTTATGGAGCACTCCCGAAATTCTAATCATTCATTTGAAACGCTTTTCGTATTCCATTTGGAGTAGGACCAAAGTAGAAACTTTTGTAAAGTATCCATTGAATGGACTCAACTTGGCGCCATATATAGTGGGTAAGGGAGATATAGGCGCACCACAGCCTCTTTATGACCTCTATGCAGTTTGTAACCATTTTGGTGGTTTGGGAGGAGGTCATTATACTGCATACTCTGTTAGTCCTTGGAAAGTCTCTGATGATGAGAGTGACCCGTACTTTGAGAGTAACGATGGCTATCTAAATGGTTCTTGGTATAATTTTGACGACTCTTCTGTGCTCAAAATGGCAAATTCAAGCCAAGCAGTTTCCGATAGCGCCTATGTTTTGTTTTATCGACGCCGAAAGTACGGAGGAAGTCAAAAGAGCGGAAATATGTCCAGCAGCAAGAAGTAAACATAGTTTTGTTGAGGATATGCAAACAGCAAAGGTTGGTCTTACATCTTAGTTGTTGCTTTCATTCGACCTTCTCTTTTCCGCCAACTTCTTTTCTATCATCAGTTTAAACTCGTTCAAAATCCTAGTTTCCCGCTCTTTCTTCTTTTCAAAGTTCAACGTTGCTGTTGCTGCTTCTTGCTCAGCACTATAAACTTGATTCTCTTTACGTATTCGTATTGCTTCCATTCGGCGGTTACGACTACCACTCATGACATATCCTGTTTCTTCATATGCCTTAATTTCGTCTGAAGTTAAGCCAATTTCACCTCTTCTCGGAATTCTTCTTCCTTCCTGCACATATGCAGCCATGGCACTTCCTTCACCGGGTAACAGGTTATGTCCATAGTTTGCCGCTGTAATACGTTCCTGTTTAGATGGAAGTGGAGGACCAAACTCGTCAGTATCTTCATCATTTTGGAAACCACTTTCTGATAAAGTCGAACAATCCCCTCCAACTCTTTCTTCTTCGAATTCGGAAGCAGCAATATTCTCAAACTGGACCATACCATTGTTTGTATGGCTAGGTCGAGAAGAATGTTCTCCGTCTACAGAGGACTGCGTGTCGTTGACTGGATCATATTGAGCTTGCCTTTGAGAAACAATGTTCAAAATGGGGGAGGACGGAACTTCAGGCGTACTAGCCCATAAACTTGATAAAGTAATGCTTTCTCGCTGCGACTGCCTTTTCAACCAGGTAACATTTTCACCTTTTTCGCGTCTTTTCTTTTTTGTCTCCAACTTACAAAACTTATCGTCTTTCTTCTCTTTAGATTGCAAATTTCTGTTCGATGAATACAAATGAGGCTTTGAAAAAGTGCTCTGCATGAGTCTTGTTGATACAGAAGAATGATTTTGAAGCTCTCAACGAGCAACAATGTGGGATCGGTCAAAGAGAAAAACGGAAAGGTTCATCTTATTCACGATGAAGTGGCCAATTCATTGGAAGTTATACCGGTTTGTCTGTGGAAGCCACTTGGCCGTCATGTGTCCAAAAGTTTCTTGGATAAGTAAGCTGACCGACGCGTTATACTTTATGTTGCCCTTTAATTTGTGCTGGTCGGAAAACTTAAAGTAATCTTTGGTTTTTATTTATTTTTAAAAGTTGACAGACTGTTCTTGTATTTTAGGAATTTAAAACTTCCGTCTTCAGCCAAACACGCGAACGACAAACTGCTTGGTATAAAGAAAAAGAGAAGGCTGTCTATTTATTCGAAAACTTTCCAATTTAACTCTGGAGTACTTCTCTGTCTTGGTTTTGTTGCATTGTTGTTGTTATGGTTTTTTGGTTCTCTTCAAAGCTACCCTATCCTCTGGTTCCAATTTCGGTTCAGAGGATATGAAAAGGTAGATCCTTTTATTTTTCAGAATTGTTCCAAGGTGGACTTTGGGAGGCGTTTTGCTGTAGTGATACCTTTTATTCCGAAGCAAACGAATAGAGTTTTGAGTAACTTGAAACGTTGGGCGAGTTTGGAATATTTCCCTTGCGATACACTCGTGGACTCCTTGGTAATAGAGTCCACTGATTTGTTTTTTTACTATGATATGCCTTTGGATCATCCCTCTGTACAAGAGTCTATTCACACATTGACTAGATGGTTAAGAAAAGAGCCTTTACAAAGTGTGGTATCTAGCTGTTTTCATAACGTTCGTTTTATATCTGCAAATCTCTCGGCGGAACAGTCGACGAACAGTTATAAAATGGACTTTGTAAAAAGTTCTGTGAAAACAGAAGGCACAGTTCGTCAATTTCGTGCAGTAGTTAATCATCCTTCCTTGATAAACACGCATCGGTATATATACTTTTGCTTGTATTGTCATTTATTACTTAATTTTTTTAGTCATTTCTTTTACATGGAACCAGATCATATCCCAATACGAAACCGCTGGTTAAGTGCAATATTTAATGATTCTCTTCAAGGAGATTTCTGGATGAAAGGGAGTTTGATGAGATATAAACCTAGATTCAGTTGTGCCTTTGAGCCATATCGTACTCAATATCTTCGTCATATAAATGGCAACGCAATCTACAAGTAAGAGCAAAACCGCATTGTTGATATTTTATATGAGAATAATTTTTAGGGTTGGTGACCCTTGTTTTATGCGTTTTTTAGAAAACGTTTACAGGGAATACCCTGACTTTGCGTTTGACACAAGTATAAATTTCTATAGACTCGACTTACGACATTATATTACATATCAATACACTGCTCATCGATTCCAGGTTACAGAAGTAATGGCAGATCTAGGGGTTGTTAGATATGATGAAGATAGGCTTCGATCAGATTTACCAAATACGTATACGGCCCATGGTAAATTTATGTACACTGAAAAACAGTTGGGTTGGCAAAAATACTAATTTAGTTGTATTTTCTTGTCATTACTTTTGTCAATAAAGCAAACTTTTTCGATGAGAGCAAGGATATCGAGATTGCTCTTCATTTTGTTTCTATTGGCTACAGTAGTAGTTGTAGAATGCTTTATATGATAGCTGGTGACCCTACTGTAGTAGTGCAGTGGTTGAGAACAGGATCCGCTGTAGTCTATACATTGCAAGTGACTCAGTGGTTAGGATGCCTGGTTTTCACCCAGGAGACCCGGGATCAAGCCCCGGCAGCGGAAATTGTGGATTCTCTTCATTTTTTTCAGCCAACAACAAGTGTAGAATGCATGATTCTTAGCAGACCCTGTATTTTTTAGCTACTTTTGGTGCTATTTTTTAAACTTTTAAATAGATATTCTTTGTTATCAGAAGCGCTGGAAAATCTCTAACTTAACTTTGAAGGCTTTGATGGAAAGATTGTTTTTTGGAAACCGCTCGTTCATTGCATTGTAAACCCTCTCGGTTATATTGACTTACGATTAGCTACAAAAAAGCAATGAAACAAATTTTCAAGCAAGTATAGTATATTGCAAATATATGTTTTCGCTAGACAGTAAATGACTCTTTCTGAAAGTACTCTCGAGAAGAAAGGTCAGTATGTCCGTTTATTCTTGTCACGAATGTTAAAGTAGAAAGTGGGCATTCACAATACATCAACTATAGTGAAAACTGCTGTATTGCAACTTTGTATAAACGCCAGAGCCATTATCAAACGCACGAGTACAATGCTGCTGTGACCAACCTAATATCGTATAGTGTTTCTAAATAGAAGGCCACTAAGTGAGTTTCAAATTGCGGTCCTGGCCTACTTGTTATTGCTGTACAGTTTTGAGTCTCCGAGTTGTACAATTCTGTTTCCAAATCTGCTCAACACTATTCCGAGTTGTATAGGATATACAATAGCCAAAGAATATCCAACAACAGTTGCTGCCACATAAACATCTCCGAATTTTATTTTTCATTTGTCAATGGAACCTTCAAAATTGAAAGTGGAAGAGCTTCGAAAGGAACTGCGAAGCCGCAACCTAGACACTACTGGCTTAAAACAAGCTTTGGTAGAACGTTTAGAGAAGGCCCTTACAGAGGAGAGAAAGCGTGATAATGTTCGAGCCGCACAGCCAGACACTTCTTCGGAAGTGAATGAGCCTCACAAACAAAGAGAGCTTGAAATAAACAGTGGGGTTGTGGATAATTCTATAGGTAGACTTCCAACGGACGAGGAGTTGACAGCACTAGAAGAGAAACGAAGAAAACGTGCAGAACGTTTTGGTGTGCCTTACGTACCTAGCAAGGAGTTTCTGGAGCATAAAAAGTTGTCAAGAGCTCGTCGTTTTGGAGAGGAACTTGTAGAACCTGAGGACTCTAGCAAGATTGAAGAGAAGAAACGGAAGCGAGCGGAAAGATTTGGTCTCTCTTCTCAAGCTGTACCGGACAAACTAAGCAAGCAAGTGACTCAAATCAATCAAACTTTGCAGACGGTAGGCACACTTTGATTTTCTCAAAGTCGTTTATTCATATTGTGACTGAAAGGCCAAAAATTCTCAAAAGCATATCTTATGAACGAACAGTTGTTTTTTATTGTTCATGCTTCTAAATAATACTGTGGTGGTAGCGCTCGAGTAGAAGGCGGAGTTACTCTAGTAGGGTATACAAGATTGGGGCAGTTTATTCAAATTCTAATCAACTACGTCACTATCCAAAAGGAAAGTGAAAAAATATCTAATATAGAATTCTTGTTCGCAAACTCGGTTTTAGTGATGCTATGGCCTCTTTAACTTCTTCTGAAGTTTCTTTGTCCACATCAACAATAAGATAACCTATGTCAGCTGTCGTACCCAGTACTTGTGCTTTCACATTAGTATCTCTTGATGCAAATATATTATTAATATCCTAAAGACCAGACACATTTTGTTTAAAACTGCTCTTTCTGTTCTATTAAGTTCCTTACCCTCAAGACTCCTGGTACGTTCCTATGAACGTTGAGAATCCGATGACTGGATGAGGTAAATGGTACTTCGAGATTCGGGAAATTCACAGCATTCACAGTAGAGCCACTTCTAACAAGTTTTATCAACGCGGTTGCAACTTCTTCCCCAATCATTTGTTGTGCCTCTTCTGTAGAACCTCCAATGTGAGGAGTAAGAATTGTATTGGGACAATTCTGAAGTGGTGTTTCAAAACCGGAACCGTTGGCCTTGGGCTCTTTTGGATATACATCTATTGCAGCACCACCAAGATGACCCGACCTAAGAGAGTCCGCCAGTGCCTTCAGATCTACTACTGTGCCACGGGACGCATTCAAAAGATAAGCACCTTTCTTCATCAACTTGATTTGCTTCTCGCCAATCATGTTCTCCGTCTGAGGAGACTTGGGTACATGCAGTGTAACAAAGTCGGAATTCGAAAGCACTTCTTCCAGTGATTTACAAGGTGTGCTATTTCCAAGAGGGAGTACTGGAATGATATCATAAAATATAACATTCATGCCCTGTGACTCTGCAAGAACAGAAAGTTGAGAGCCGATATGACCATAACCAACGATTCCTAAAGTTTTCCCACGAATTTCATGACAACCAACAGCCGACTTGAACCATTGACCTTCGTGACAACCTTTTGAAACGTCAAATAGTTTTCTACTCAAACACACAATCTCTGCTATGATTAGTTCCGCTACTGACCGAGTATTTGCAAAAGGAGAATTGAACACTGGTATGCCCAAACGCTCCGCGGCTTCAAGGTCAACTTGATCAGTTCCAATGCAGAAACAGCCAATTGCTAGCAACTTGGAAGCGTTCTCCAAGACTCGCTTTGTAATTTTGGTCTTGCTGCGAATACCGATGACGTGCACGTCTTTAATTTTCTCCATCAATTCTTCCTCTGTAAGTGAAGTTTTCAAAAGCTCAACCTTATTTCGTTTGAGCGTTATCCTTGAAACCAAAACCACGGTTTTACCTGAAATCCTTCCTTTTCAAATAACAATACACCTGTTTGATGAACATTTTCTAAAAGTAAAATTTTCACCGGATGTCTTGGAGGCGGAATACGCTCCAAGTGTTGAAGCTCCATTTCAGCATATTTGGGAGGAGAAGAACATATTGGAGACCTCGATTGAGGAGAACTTCTCCCACTATTCATATTGTGATAATCCCAATCGGCCATCGTCGGTAGAAGAGGAATTTTAAGGTAACAACATTTCAACCTTTCAATTCCTATTGGTGGATTTGGGACAATTTCGTCCTTCTGGAATAGCTCAAAGGGCTTCGAGAATCTAACGACTCTTTGTAAATTACATGGATAACAAGTATGTTTTTAGTTTTATATAGATAAGCAACCAACAAACAAATAATATGAACGAACAACAAACAAATGGAAGACTTTTCTTGAGGGCTAGTGGGTAACTGAAAAATGACTTAGTCGTTCGGATGAATTACAACCTTGGTATAACCCTCAACTCGCTTATCGAATTTTTCGTATGCAACAGGTGCTTCATCCAACTTGATTTCATGTGAAACCACAAAGCTAGGTTTAGCTCTACCAGAAATAATCATATCTCGAAGGTATCTATTATATTTCTTTACGTTGCACTGACCTGTCCCCATAGTGAGACCCTTTTCGAAGAATTTGCCAAAGGGAAACATCAAGTGTCCCTTCTTGGCAGCTTCATCGGGTGCTCCTGGGTCAGAAGGAACGTAAAGTCCGGGAATACCAACTCCACCGGTTGGCCGTACTACTCGTACTAGGGACTCTAATACAGCATTTGGCTTTTCCGTATTACCTCCCTTTTCAACAGCTTGATATCCAACTGCATCAACTGCGCGATCGACTTCCTTGCCTTTGCGCCGACGAATAATCTGTTCGACTGCGTCTCCGTCATCGAAGTTGATAGGAATCGCTCCAATACCTTTGGCCTTATCCAAACGTTCCTTTATTCTGTCAACAACATATACTTCTGAAGCTCCTCGCAAGACTGCGCTATACGCTGCCATAAGTCCAACTGGACCACCACCAAAGACCACTATGCTCTCTCCAGGTTGGAAACCAGAGAGTGAAACACCATGCCAGCCTGTTGGAAAGATATCTGCCAACAAAACAAAATCACTTTCATGCTCTCTGCCAGGAGGTAACTTTAGAGCATTGAAATCTGCAAATGGCACACGAAGAAACTGTGCTTGGCCACCCATATATGGGCCCATCGCAACATATCCATATGCTCCTCCTGCAAAACCTGGATTAACCTCCGTACAGAAAGCAGACTTTTGCTCCTCGCAGTTTTGACAATGACCACATCCTACGTTGAACGGCATAACTATTCGATCTCCAACTTTAAGTCGTGAGACTCCAGCACCAACTTCTTGAATAACACCCATGTTCTCGTGACCAAAGACTATCCCGGGAGTTGCTGCCGTTCTTCCTTCATACATGTGTAAGTCTGATCCACATATTGCTGTGGAAGTAACTTTCACTATCACATCGTTGGGGTGTTGTATTTTGGGCTGCTGAACCTGCTTCACTGAAACCTTGAAAGGACCATCATAAACAACTGCCTTCATGCTTGCTAACGTTTCTCAAATCTCCAATCAACAGAAAAAAAACAAACGCTCCTTTAAGAAGAAACTTGCCATCCTTTTCTTCTTTGATGACATTTCTACGCAATCTTTCGGATCGGAGAAAATCCTACAGGATCTAATGGCATTGGTGAATTTCTTGTCATTTGTGTCATATTGTTTGTATCTATTCGAAACAGTTTTGTAAGTTGCAAAGAGACGTTCGAGGTGATTTGTGTTTAAGAAATTCAAAGTGATAAGAAGCCAGTTGTTACTATCTTGAGATTCAGTTACATTCAGAAGGACGGAGCTGCCATTTTCGAGTGCAGTGTCTGGCAGATTCGAAATGGCCTGCTTGTTTCACTTTCTTTGGTGTGATCATTGAGCCTACTTCCTGTTTGGAAGCGTTTGAAGCATGGTAACTGTCAAAATATAAGTTGGAGCCCACTAGTTAAGCTCTCGTTTTATTCATATCGTTTGTCTGTGCAAATACTATTGATATCACCTTTATTAGAAGTGAGGTTTAATAGACTGGCCTGAAAACAAATAAAAGGCATAAAATGTATCTCCTAGTCTCACGAAGAAGGGATTTCAAGTATTATAACCAAAGACGTCGTTAGTTGATGTGGATTTTAAATCTCAATTCTTCGTTGCTCTCTAGCCCGCCCCATTTATTCCGTTAAAAAGTTGGTAGCCCTCCCTTTCAAACCCTTAGGGTTCTTCCAATTGAGCACTTTTAGGGTTTATTAGGGTTTTGACCCTCACATTTCCTGTAGATGGCTTCAGAAGAAACAACTCACCGCTCCTCTCAAGAAAAGGGTATAGATATATTAGCTGACAAACTCTCTCTAGCTGCTGCTGTAGACCGCCTTTTGGAGGAAGCATCTTTTGTAGAAGCTCTATATTCCAATGAAAGCCTTCAAACACTATTGAACGAAGTGGAACGTATGCAAGCTTTTTCCGAAATTCTCCACGTGCACCAAAGAAACGTATTATCGTTTCTCAAGCTTGCTGTTGATTCCGAAGATTCGCAACCTGCTATGGTAAGTTTTTTATTGACCTCTAGACTCCATTTTCTGTTGTCCTAGAAAGGTTTGGAACTACGTTGCTGAACAATTACTATCAGTAATCTCCGATGACCTGGTGAATGAAGATTCCTGTGCAAAAGTTGTTGCTGAACTCAAAGGCCTTGCTGTTGTATTAGATGCTTCTCGATATGAAGGCAGCCAACGTCTTACTTTATTGAAGGAGTCAATGAATCAGATCTTTGAGATAAGGGAAGATTTTAGTGAAACAGTTATCAACTACCTCTCTTTGAAAAGTCACGAAGTGCATCAACTCTTCAAGGATGCAACCAATGCCAAGAAGTTTAAAACAGCCATATCAAAGTATGCTGCTCTTTTGTAACTCTGTGCTAGTTATTTCATTAATCATCTCTAGATATCTGAAAAAACATCAACAGGAGACACTGAATCATTTAAAACTCATAATTGCTGAACTTGAAAGAGGTTATGGAGAACCTTGGTTGTACAAAATGTGCAAACAGCTATATGGACTATTACCTAATAGAACAAAAATACGCAAACAACGAAGGCGTTTAAGTGAACCACCTGCTGTTGAAAAATTGAGTGGACTTCATCTCGACGTTAGCGAAGTCAAGAAGGTTTTAGAAAGTCACTACTCAAACGTCAATCAGACAGTTGATGAAAAAGATGGCTCAGAGAAGCGTTACTTGCGCATGCTTCCTAGCACCGCGATGCCTTTGTTGAATTATTCTATTTTGAAGAAGGACACAGGAGGCCCTGTATCAACGGCTCAAAAAGTAAGTAGTTTCCTGAGTGAACTGTATTTTTTTCTGATTTTGGTTCCTTAGGAAACTTTGTCCTCAGAACCCATGGAACCTGTTTCTTCAGAACCCAAAGCTGATAAGAAACAAACCCCAGAAAAGGGCAAAAGCCACAGTTTAACGGAACCACAATCGAATGCAAGAGAGGTTTCATGGGACTCACTTCCTAATACTGAGCGAGATAGAACTGACGGAGACAGTGAGAAGGCATCAGAGGACAAATATGATCAGCAAACGACATCATTGGCTCCATTACGAAGAGTCGAGAAACGTAAAATGTCTCCGATTAATAAAGAAGCAAGTCCAAGTAGCGCAAAAAGAGCATTGAAGAAAAAGAAGTAAGTTAAATTTTTGGACCTTTTGCATTTCTGAAACTGTTTCAGTTCGTATCATCGATGGGATGATCATCAGGACTATTTGCTCAAGAAAGGAATTGAGAAACATGGACTTGGAGAGTGGAAAGCTATACTGGATGACCCGGAACTGGATTGGCCTTCTTACCGTACAAATGTTCAGCTGAAGGATCGTGCACGTACTCTTAAGATCGTTTGACGATCATTTTTCCGTTGCTTGAAAATTGAGTAATAAATGAGTGTTTATTTGCACTAGAAACAGTTCCATGTCATTTCATTGCATTCTAGAAACATCAAAAGCTTGGAAAAGAACAAATCTCGTACAATCATGTCGCATTCGAATTTGTTCGAATTTGTCAACGAATTTTCTAGAATTGGAAATCTGAAGGGCTTAAATACAAAACGACCCTCTTCAATAGAATCCAAGAGAGTTTTACGGACGTGGCGATTTTTGAACGGATGTTTCTACAAAACTTTAAAGTCGAGTCACCTAATGTTTTCTATGGCGACGACTATATTGAGTCACAGTATGACTATAATACTACAGAAGTTGTAGCATCTCAAGGTACAGCAAAGGCAATTCCAAAGTCCCAAGCGTTTCATTTCAGGACCAAGACGAAAGTGCCCAAGGTAAGTTGTATTAGGCGCTTCATTCTGTTTTGTTTTCTCAATGGAGGAGTGTAGTTGGGTTTGTTGTTGGTTGGTTGGGGAGGCAATAATGGATCAACAGTCACGGGTGGAATAATAGCAAACAGAGAAGGTATTTCTTGGCGTACGAAGAAAGGCGTCCAGGAACCCAATTATTTTGGATCTATCACCCAGTCATCAACCATAAGACTTGGAAGCTGTAACGGAGAGGACGTTTATGTTCCTCTGAAGTCTCTGTTGCCTATGGTTAATCCTAACGATATCGAGATTGGAGGTTGGGATATCAACTCGGCTGACCTTGCTAACGCAATGAAGAGAGCTCAAGTTTTTGACTATGACCTTCAGAGGCAATTGGAACCTTACATGAGCAAACTGAAGCCTATGCCTTCTATATATTATGAAGATTTTATTGCAGCAAACCAGGCAGATAGAGCAGATAACCTTATTCCTGGAAAGGACAAGAAGAAACATTTGGAACAAATCAGGAATGACATACGCAAGTTCAAAGAGGAGAAGAAGGTTGACAAAGTGATTGTTCTTTGGACTGCAAACACTGAGAGGTTTGCTGAAGTCTTGGCTGGAGTGAATGATACTGCCGAGAACTTGCTCAAGTCGATTGAAGAATCTCATCCAGAAATTGCCCCGTCGACAGTATTTGCAGTTGCTAGCATACTAGAGGGTTGTGCTTTTATTAATGGCTCGCCACAGAATACTTTTGTTCCAGGTTGTATTGAACTTGCAGTTGAGAAGAATGTCTTTATTGGTGGAGACGATTTCAAGAGTGGACAAACCAAGTATAAGAGCATGTTGGTTGATTATCTTGTGACTTCTGGCTTGAAACCTCTGTCCATTGCAAGCTATAATCACTTGGGAAACAATGATGGCAAGAATCTTTCATCACAGAGACAGTTTAGAAGCAAAGAAATCAGCAAGAGCAATGTCGTCGATGATATGGTCGCTTCCAATGATATCTTGTTTAAACCAGGTGAGCATCCTGATCATATTGTTGTCATAAAGTATGTTCCAGCTGTTGGAGACTCAAAGCGAGCACTGGATGAATATACTTCTGAAATCTTTATGGGTGGACAAAATGTTATTGTGAGCCACAATACTTGTGAGGACTCCCTGTTAGCCGCACCATTGATTATTGATCTTGTGGTAATGACAGAATTGGCTCAGCGTATAGAATATCGAACGGGAGCTATGACGGAATACACTGGTTTCCACCCCGTTCTTTCATTGTTATCATTTATGCTGAAAGCTCCGATGGTCCCCGATGGTACTCCCTTAGTGAATGCTTTGTTTAAACAAAAGGCTTGTATTGATAATATCTTGCGTGCTTGTTTGGGACTGGCTCCTGAAAACGATATGCGTTTGGAGCATAAAATACATCCAAGTTGTTTGGATAAGGCCTTCATTGAAACAGATATAGAGAATCTAAAACAAAAGGGTGATGATTCCAAAGAACAAGAGTCAACTGAAATGCGTGTATGATTATTATCATACATTCTGTTTTATTTGTCATTCGGCACTGTAAAGTCGAATAAATTTTCGTTATTCTTTCATGCATTCAGTTTTTCATTGCTTCTTAAACGACCATAGAACTCCAAGTTGCCCAAGTTTAACCTAGAGCCTCGTGACCTTGCTAAAATGCGAAAATACCTAAAAAACTCTTGTGACATAACATTGTCTATCTTCCATACTGAACGTTGTAGAGGATGCTGCAAACTTTTATCATTAATGTGTTCTTTCAATATCGACCATTGGGTGCCATCCTTACTTCCTTCTAGACACCAATTTCGTAGAAAATTACTTTCAGAGCCATCATGTACTAGACTGTAAGCAGAACATGCCAGTTCATACTTAGTTCCAAAGTCCAAAGAAAACCATGCCAATCCTGAACTGTCGGGAAGCGCGAAACTGGAACGGTTGGCTCCTGATTCTACAAGATTTTCTAACCTCGAAAAGCGTGCACCTGAAGATGAAGATATCTTAACCACTCCATGCTTATGAGGATTAATCCGAGTACCCACTAACTGATACTTTGAATGACAACTTAAATAAAAAAGTGCCCCTAATGAAAGTTGAGTAGGAATAAATGGGATCCATACTTCGCCCTTCTTTAATCTCGGTACATGGCCATATAGCAATGACCAGTCTCTTCTTAAGCTTTTCCATTTGTCTCGTTCTTCGAATGAAAAGAACCGCGGAGGTATCCATCTACAAGGAAGAACAGTAATTACTTGGACATTTCGAGTATCAAAGGTACGAGGCTGTTCAAAAATTTCAGAGAAGCCAATATCTCCATCGTAAGAATATTGTCTATCAGAATACCGTTGCTCCAAAACAGAAGACTCGTTTGAGCCGTCATCTGACAGTGAATAATGTTGACTCAAATGTTTCTCTGATTTTTTTGTTATTACTTCCTTAGCCCAATAGAAAACTTGCTCATATTCGAGTTCAGCTTTAGCTTTCAAGTCTGCACTGATGAACGGCCAACGAATCATGGAAAATACATCTTTCGTTATCTTATCGTTTGTGGAATTTTGTTTCAACCATTTGAGAACAAGACTCAACACGTCATCCTCGCTTCTACATATTAGATCAATACGGCTCAAAATCGATAACAAGCACTCTTCTTCCAAATCCAGCAGAGAATCATTTTGCTCCATAATTTCCACAAAATGTGAACAAATAAACGAAGAAGCAGTCTGAAATAAATCATAAATCCGATATTTTAGAGAAAGATTGGCTAATATACCAGCATTCCATTTATCTACAAGTTTTTTTAATCCGATTGCTGCAATTCGTACAAGTTCCATATTATAAAACATATCTCCAGTTCTTAAATCATAATAATGCAGCTGGAAGGAATCAAAATGTGATTCTTCATTCATTTCGATATCATCTAAACGGTCAAAATATATAATTTTGAGCATCCTCTCTACTGAGATCCTATTGGTGTCTTTTAACTTTACATTATCGTCGAAAGTTTCTCGCATTCCATTTGAAAACATATTTTGAAAGTAGGAACTACGGCATGCCAAAATAATACGATGAGCTGGAATCATTGCAGGTTGTTGAACTGCGTTCCTATCAAGATGTAGTTCATCCTCTTCTTTCCTTATATGTGACATTTCGTCTCTATAAAAGCTACCATTTAGAAGCATTTCTTATATTGTAGACTGATCTTACGAATCTGAAATGATCAAGTTCACATCGGATAACCAAGAAGTCTCTCGAAGGACTTTTAAGTGCGATGGAACCAATCGGATAATATGTTGTCTCCAATGTTCGTACGACTTATCCACGGACAGGTCCTGATCATGTTCCGATACATTATTACCAAAGACCGGAAATAAGTGTAACAAGTCCCATTCCTTCAGCAACTCCTTACATTCTTGAATAAACTGATGACACATCGTTGAAACTTGCAGAAGACTCTGCATACTTTTCATGTCATAAAAGCATTTTCCGTCAAGTCCAATTCCATATAAGAGCTGCAAAAACATCGCTACTACCATCATTGAAGATGTAAGTACTACTCTAGGCAATTTTTCAAAGTCTTTCTTGATGGTTGTAAAGCACTTTGAATTACTTGTATTCAGCAGAAAGATAGGACGATGGCCTTGGACGATATAATCAACATCTAAGTGGAAAGAGTTATATATTCTAAAACAAGAAAGCATCAACCCACCTCTATAGGTTTGTAAAGAATGCGCTTCTTTAATAGCTAAAGCAAGACGACTGCTGAGTGATGATACAAGACAACCATGGAATGGAAACAGTGCACCATCAGAAGACTCAAAACAAGTATCGCAAAAGAAACCACTAAAATTATAAATAGACCCAACAAATAGATCACAAACACGATTGCATCCTTCTCTAGTTCTATATACAAGTCCTTCCGGCATAGGCGTCAACTCAATGAAGCGGAACACAACGGGACGATTCCAAGATGAAATACCAACAGAAAGTGCGTCACGTATAGGAAAAGGATCTTCCCAATAAAGGAAAATGCTTTCTCCAAGATTTCCCTTACCAACCGCAAGTAATCCTTCACCAATACAAATCCAATATCTTTCGAAATCCCAAGTTGTATAATAACTATGTGAAGGAGAACCAAAGGAGTTCAAATCTGCACTTTCCTTCCCAACACCAACCAAACTGGAAGCTCTCAACACTCCTCTTTTACGAATGACACTTCTCGTGTTACAGTGGCTACCAATCACAACTTCATAGTCGGCTCTGTGCAAATTCTCTTCTAACTCCACTTGTTCATCCTCAGAAACTTTCTCAGGATAGGAAGAAAACAGTACATCTATATCCGAAGTTCCTCGTGCTTCAAAGGAAAAAACACCGCTTCCCGAAGGTGGCAGTTGAATACCGTCTAACCAAAGAGGCTTTGCTTTCCTTCCTGTAACGACCACTGTGCCTTCCCAAGTTTGAATGAACGAGTGGCTATGTTCCAAAGACAACAAGTGCTCCATATTCATATATGTTAAGAAACACTATACAATATATTCGAGGAAAACCTTGAATGAAAGCTTACATGGTTCGCACACATGATTCCAATGTAGAAAAATAATTTTTACTCATTCTTCTAAACACAATAGTAAAACACTAAAGAATATTCATAACCTTTCGCCGCAAGCAGAACAAGACCTCTCCAACAGGTCAGAGAACCCTTGAAACAACAACCTTGTCAACAAGTTAAAACTCTTCAAGCTGGCAGTTTTTTAGAAACTTCAATTTTCTTGTGTACTGGTTTCGGTAAGCTGATTTTTAGACCTTCTATACGAAAAAATACTGAACAAGTTTGCGAATATGTATATATTTCCAACTACTGCGACAGAAGATAGTGTCAAAGCTGTTGCCTTGAACAATGTATTACTGACTCTTTTGTATCGGTTCAAAGGGGGTAACGCCATGTCACGACAAAACCAACAACACCACCAATCCAAAACTGCATTGAAGGATATTTGTCACTTCCTCTTCCATTTATGTGTAAATTATGAAAGAGCGAAACAAACTCAGCTTTCACAAGTTCAGGCAAAAACACTGAAAGCAACAACTTGATAAAAATTGAAAACTTTGTGAAGTATTCATTCTCAAAGTGAACTCTGTCTCTTTTATAGAACAAGAAACTTTCGTTGAAAGGTGATCTTTCTATTTCCATTCTGGTTCCTTGAGTTGAAGAATTTGACTACTAGCACAAGTTTTCACTTGAACAATCTTATGAGTATCGATAAGCTTCTTATGGTAATGACTAAAACATAAAATCAAAAAGGGATGCACAAGTTATAATGACCACAGACTGTCAACGCTCTTTCTTCTTATCAAGATTATAATGTATTTTAAAAAGAATGAGAATAACTTGACAAATTTTTGTATCAAAGATAGCTAGCTTTATAGAACTACTCTTATCAAAAAATCTTATTTGGGAAAATTGATAGTTGCGTCTTCCTGGAAATGAAACAAGTTCGTACATCTGCTCCAGGAAAGGTATTGCTAGTTGGAGGATATCTTGTTCTTGAACGTCCAAACGCCGCATTCGTTGTTACTACTACTACTCGTTTCACAGCGACACTTAAAGGAAGTCTCTCATATGGAAAGGTATAAAACAGAACGGTACTTTTGGACACTACTTGATTTGCTTCTACAAGGAACTATCGAATATCATGCAACTAACAATATGGTCTTCTCACGACCATACCTGGACGTATAAGGTTTTCTTAGAAGACGGCAACATTACTCTTGAATGGAATGCAGCGAAAGATTCCTTTGGTCTCGGAAGAAGCAACGCGTTTATAGAATGTGCGATAGTTTGTGGTCTTGCAGTTGCTAATATGGACAGCAAAATACCATGTAGCGGAAGCTTGCTGCTTGAACTTGAGGCTGATCCCAGTTTCTATTCAGTTTCATATCAAGGATCAAAAAGTATAGTTGGAAAGACAGGTTTGGGGAGCTCTGCAGCCCTAGTTTCTAGTGTTGTCGGAGCTTTTGCAGCTTTTTGTGGTTGTAAAGATAAGGAAAGAATAGCTACAGCAGCGCAACTCGCACACGCAACAGCACAACAAAAGATAGGAAGCGGATTCGACGTAAGTGCAGCAGTACACGGGAGCCAAAGCTATGTGCGTTTCTCTCCAGAGTCATTGGAAAGACTACCTTTTGTGATTTTGAACAACTCCGGCCATATTGTAGCACAAAGAAACATGAACTGTGCCAATGACCACTGGAGACTAGATGAAATTTGGAAACCACTTGAGTTACCCTTGCAATGGGACATTGTTTTAGGTCAAACTATGAATGGTTCGGATACTCGAGATTTTGTAAGAAAGGTGATCCAATGGAAAGCAACGGATACCCATAGAGCATTGGAAATTTGGTCGCAGTTAAAGAGAGTGAACAGTGAACTTATTGATTGTATTCAAAAACTTTCCAATTTCGCTTTCAGTAACAAAAAGTTGTTTGATGAACTCAACTCTGTTTTGGAAATGATTCGATTGAGGGACGACTGGAAAGTCAATTTTAGGAGTCAATCACAATTCGAAGAGTTATCAGAGGATATTTTGAACGACTTTTTGCAAGTCATCAACTCTATTGTGGAAAATGGTAGAGAATCTAGAAATCTTCAAAGTCGTATGGGTGACTTGGCAGACGTTCCCATAGAGCCTTCGTCTCTTAAAATTCTACTAGACCAGACTTTAGAAATTCCAGGTTGTATTTTGGTTGGAGTTCCTGGTGCTGGTGGTTATGACGCTATTTTCGCAATAGTTGTCGGAGAGAAGAGTCGCAAACTTGTGGAGGATTTTTGGAAGTCAAACTCATGTTTTCCTCTGTTGTCTAGACTCCATTCGAAAGGTTTGCTAATAGACGAGGAATCAGATAATACTTTTTGAAACTTTCTCCCACTATGTTCTTTTTAGCGCTGGATGTTTTAATTGTTGTAGTTTAGGGTTTATATTATACAGTGTACAAGGAAATAAATGCTTTACACTCTCCTGTCTCATTGAAAGATGTTTTAATAATCAGTGGTGGTGGGCAAAGCGGTCTTTGACAGAAAATGTTTGCTGCAGAAGACTTTGCGGTTTCCCTAAGCAATGGACCCAAGGACAACTCTTTTGCGAGTTCTGAAGAAGGTTCCTTAGACAGTGAGCTATCTAAAGATACCTCGTGGATTATGTGGTTCTGCTCTCTCAAGGGAAACGAATTTTTCTGTGAAGTTGACGAAGAATTCATTCATGACGACTTTAACCTCACTGGATTAAGTACTCAGGTGGCTTTTTATGAGCATGCTGTCGATACTATTTTAGATTTCGATATTCCAGAGGGAGAGTTGGACGAAAGACAGCAAGAACTTGTTGAGGTAGCAGCAGAAACGCTTTATGGCCTTATACATGCTCGTTTCATCCTTACGGCAAGAGGTTTGCAGCTTATGCTTGAGAAATTCAACCGTGCAGATTTTGGACGATGCCCCAGAGTGCTATGTCATGGTCAGCCTGTTGTTCCAGTTGGACTTTCAGACACTCCACGACAGAATACAGTGAAAGTGTTTTGTCCTCGTTGTTGGGATATTTTCAACCCACGTTCAAGATCTCACTGTACTCTTGATGGTGCTTATTGGGGGACAACTTTTGCTCATCTTTTTTTCCATACATATCCAGACCGTATTCCAGTACGTAACAAGGAAACATATATTCCCAGGATCTATGGCTTTCGGCTTCATGAAACGGTAAGACTCCAAAGTTTGAAACTTTTCTATGCTTATCTTTGGTAGTCCGAAGAGGTACGAAGGAATCATGGAGACTGCATGAGTAGTGGCGATACGAATAACGCTGAATGAGAAAGTAACTCTTTTTGCAGACTTGACAGAGTTTACTATATGATAGAAACTTTGGAAGGACATACTTTGAGTGAATGACACACAGTATGTTCTTTGTTGCAATTAAAATGTGAATCGTATTTTCTTTTCAGTGCAAACCATTTGGAATGAATCATCACTGTGTTGGGATATTTGGACGGAATCTCTTCAATATTTAAAGGAAAGTTGCAGTAATTGAGAATGGTCGTCTCATATGAAAAGTGATGGAGAACACTCTGAATATACTCCCATTCTTCGAAAGTACGTGATGAATATAAATACTGGAAAATAGAGACGTCATATCCTCCATAGGAAGTACCCGAACATCCTTGGACAATTCTACCGTTTCTTTTCCGAATATATCGTCTTTTCACTCTTCGAAGATATGCGTCAAAGCCACGGTCACCAAGTTTATATAAAGCATTGCCATTGATATGATAATCTATCCACGCAGTACCTTTGAAAATGTGGAGTGTGAAAAGATATTCAGACTGTGCATTTCATACCTGATGGACAAGCACTTTATGTTTTTAGTCTAAAGTACATTATGACCAATCTTACTTACCTGACACTACCTTTCATCCAGAAATCATTGTGGTCCTGTGTCATAGCAACTATCTCTTGCAACCAAGCAAAATTATACCGAAATGGAGTTACATCAGGTTCTAATATTTGAAAATAAAGATATTTGTTTTCAAGAGTTGGAAATATTTGATAAAACATGATGCAGGTTCCTTCTGGATGTGTGTCATATTCATTTGGGATATGAGCAGACATCAAATGTATGTCGTCAAAACAATGACGCCAAGACAATCTATTAAAATCCGTTTCTCTTAGAAATTCAAACAGTCTTATGTGTCTTCTGAGTTTCATCGATCCTGAAAAGAACAGAATCAGATCAACCAATTCAATATCTGAGAAGCAAAAACATGGAGGAAATTCTTCCCAAACACATGAGAGTTGAAACTTTAACAATTCTATTTGACTTTCGATAAATGGTATTACAATCGCAAGTCTCTTTTTAGGAATTTGCCTAGTTGGTTCATCTTTGGTTTGACTTGTATCCAGGGGTGTCAACTCTGCACAAACATGATGACTTGAATTGTTATCATGAAATTTTGTACTATAGTAAACATATGGGTAACTTATTTGTGTAGAAGACTCGTACGAACAAGTCAACCAAACATAAATATCTCTAAAGACCAATACAAGTTGCGCCAAAATGAAACCAAACCAAACCATTCGTTTCATAAGTGGGAAATGGGAAAACTGCAATGGAAGTCTTACTCAAACACAAGGAGTGTTCAGCTGACCATCTATACTTAAGTTGATCGTATTTATTCAGTCATAAACCTAAACCAGAAGATATCTAATTCCACTAGAGGATCATGTCACTATAGATATAAGAATCTTATTACACATTGTCGCTACGACTTGTGCCACCAGCACAGCGTGAAGATGCATCAATCTCAGCCTTACATAATGGACAAGACTTGTTTAGGATTAACCAACGATCAACACAAGTTGCATGGAAACGGTGTTTCGAAGTACAAGGAAGAATTCTTAACAAATTGCCTTCTTCATATTCACATAAACAAATGGGACAAGTGGACTCCTCCTATCATTATCCATTAGAATTTTTTGCATCGGAAAACTTTTCAAAACATACTTCAGAAGAATCTCGATGATAACGAACTAGAAGAATTCTATCTATTTCCTTCTTCGTAGCTCCCCTGCGGTGAAAAGTAACAGAACCGTCAAGATTGAAATCAGGACGGAAAAGATTTGGCGCTAAAACAAAAATGCAACAAGCTAAAAGAACCGAAACTCCAAGGAAAATTAGATTAATAATCACCAGTGCAAGAGACAGACGATAAAGTGCAACAGCAGTTCTTTGACAAGTCTCACAGCGAAAGACCCAAACCATCCCTAAGTAAATAATTTAGGTAGATTAACAAAAGCTTTCCAAAACAACTAACCAACAATAAACCACGCAAGAGAAAGCCACGATATAATTCTAAAGCAAATAAGTGATCTTTGCTGGATAGACGTCAACTGCGAATAGTCATCGACTAAGTCTTCGTTGGAAAGTCGCTTGAAAATAGTATATCTATAGAAAGGAAAATGAAAAGTAGTTGAGTATAATATATGACTACTTACAAAAGAGATATGACGCCATTGAAAAGAACCCAGTACTTTAGAGGCTCGTCACAGGGCTTGTTCCAAGTAAGACATAAAATGGTCACACTAGCAACGATACAAGCACCGACATAAATAAAGGAGAAGAAAATAATTGGCCACAAAGCCTGTCGACGATAGGTAGAGTTTTCGTCAAAAAATTGTCCAATCCAGTTCAAGGTTCGCCTAGTGAAACTTCGAAAGTCTGTCGCATGAAAAACGTCTTCAGGTTCGTCTTGACGAGCTGGAGACAATAATTCTTCTGAAACAGGAACATTTAAAGTCTCCATGTGACTTTGTGAAGAACCCGCTTCGATAGTTGGTGAAGAAGAGTTCGAGAAATTACCTTGGCTGTTCTCGTGGCTGTTTGAAACAAAGGTATCAGTTGGCTCCAAAACAGCCAAACAAGGCGCCCGTATATCAATTGTAGAAGACTCTGACATGGGATTCAACGCACCCACTGACCTCTCCCTTCCATCTTCACAAGTAGACGTGCTAGTTGTGACATTCATCCTCCACAGTTGTCATTTTTGTGCTCAATGAGAAATAGCAAATCTTTATTTATGGGGCAAAAGTGGGAATTTGAACTTGACCACGTTCCAGTAAAGAAACTGCTCTTTCAATGGCTTGTGTCAAACCATTGGTACAATTTTCAAGTTTCAAAGCACGATCCACTTTAAACCAACGTGCATCATGAACATCATCCGCAGGAACAGGCTTTGCATCAGAGGGAACAAAACCTATCGCGTCAATAATAACGAAGTGGTACTCCAGTTTTCCCTCTCTGTTCGAGAAGAATGAGTCAAAGACGCCAAATATGGGTCCTATAGTGGGTTTTAAACCGGTTTCCTCCTTGACTTCCCTCAAAAAGGCCTCTGCTTTGGAACTTGTGAGCAAAATTAAATATCATTGAAACTAAACCTACACAAGGTTTCTCCAAACTCCAATTTGCCTCCAGGAAAAGACCACATTCCTTTGCCAGGTTCTTGTCCACGTTCTACAAGTAGTATTTCCCACTCGGAATGACGATTAGTAGATACTGGGGGCACTCTAAATGCAGTCAGCAACTTGTAAGCTGCAGTTTCACATGACGCAGTTACCGGAATAGTGCAACTGCTACTCCAACCATTGGAGACTGCTTTTCTGCTTGGTCAATCCTATTAATCTCAGTCCGGGTTGACTCTTTTTCACTATTTAAAAGGATAAGTAACATTCGTAAAAGTTCCAATAAGATGCAGTACCCAAAGCTAGTCGAGTCAATCTTCGAACTTGATTTCCTTGTCAACGCAGTGACAATAAAGCTAGCTGTATTCCTTAAAAGCAGTAAATAAGTCCTTTCTCGTTCCAACTCTTACATACGCTGTGCATAGCCTTCTCGTACGAAAACAACCACAAAGAGGGTATCGTGGTATCAAAATGTTTCTAAGGAAAACAATAAACATGTGTTCGCTTCTTGTGCTGTAACAGAAGGAAAGGAAAAATGTAGGATGCCGTCCCCGTGGATTGAACACGGGACCTTAAGATCTTCAGTCTCACGCTCTCCCAACTGAGCTAGGACGGCTCCTTCTGGAGAGGAAAGTCTTACTGTAATTTTAAATAAGAATGCAAACTGACTTGACAATACTTTAAAGTTGTACTGACTTCCCTTGACTATTGCCACGTGGGTTGCAACAATCCTATGCATTTAAGTAAAGCTTTCCATTTTGCTGACTTCCTCACATTGTATTCTTGATGTTTAGATGGAAACTACATCGTATATTGCTGTGATTTCGATTTTCGAATGTTGCAGCACAAAGGTTTCTTCGAGTTTATTTCAGCTTTGAGTTCCGTAAGTCTTGTTGTTCGAAATTTTTCTCATGACGAATGTGTTTATTGAAAAGCATTCTACCATATTTTCATTTGCAATTGTCACCCCTAATGCGGTGCCATTAATAGTATTTTTACGTATAAACTATTCGATATAGATAAACAGCTTGTTGTTTACTGTATTGGCTTTGAAGATGTCTCGCACCTCTACAAAAAGCTCTAATAGGACTATGAATATAATAAAAACAAAACAGAGTAGCAAATGAATGATGCAAACTATGCTCAAACAAGCCTGGTAGCGGAAACTCTTCTGGACCAAGTAACTTTATAATAGATCAAGAAAATGAAACACTTAATTGAACCCTGAAACTCGTACGAATTTTCTGTTGAGTGTGACACAAGTATCGATATTTTAGTATGTTCCGAATTTCAAGAGCTTGTTGAAATGCGCCAAAAAGGTGTTGAGCATTTATAGTCATGGACAATGCATCGTATCAAAAAGAGTTTTATAAGCAAGAGTTCATAGTGGATCTCTCTATAAAGAAATTCATCAAGAAAAGTAACTTTATGAATAATATCGAAAACACAAGCCATCCATAATGAGTGTCTTGAGAAATGGGATATTTTCCTTTGTTTTTCCAACTTAGAACTTGTTCAATGAGCGCAAATAATTTTCATGAAGCTTTCGTTGCTTTTCATATTCCTTCATCAACTTTTTTCTCTGCGACTTTGGAATTTCGTTGTTCTCGATATCATGAGTTGGGATCCCATCTGCGTCATATTTTGAAAAATGGCCTTGCCAATTGCCCTGTCTGAACATTTCATGAGGCGGAACACGTCCACGATCAAGCTCCTCTAAGAGTCTCTTCTGTGCTTCCTCTTGCTTTCTTTTCTTTTCTTCAAGCTTTGCAGACTCTTGTTGCTCTTTGGCAACCATCTCTTTTTTCAGTTCTTCAGGGTCTTCCATCTTCCAACGTGAACCCTTACTACTGTCTTCTATACGAATACCATATTCGATCAATTTTTTATCCCTTATATTATCCAATTCTTCCAAAATGCATTTGGTTGGTTGTAAATATGGTCTTAAAAGACACTTCGCAGCAGCTACTAGCAATTGTTGTTTTGCTTCGCTTCCATCATTTGTCTCAAGAAATTGAGAGAAGTAACTCAAAAACGACTTCAAGTCATCTTGGGACACTTTGACCACAGACAACTTGTCAAGTAAGTTAAAAATCGATTCGAAGGACTGAAACACGACTGTTTTAATACAATACAAGCCACTTACAACTCTGGAGGATTGAGAAATTTGCGTTTCGGTGGTCAATAGTGACTCAAGGTGTTTCACCAGTAAATTCAAAAGCTTGTCTAAACATTGTTCAGTCTCACGACTTCCTTGAGACATGAATGTTGCAAAGAGTTTCCTTGATTCTGCTTGCAAATCCTCATTATCCTTTAACAACCAAAGTTTTTCCTGAAAAGATTCGAAACAAGCATCAAGTTCTTCAGAAAAAAAATGGACAATACGAAACAGAAAAATTACTGTACGTATAAGTATGCAAACAAACATACGATCCACACTCCAGCTTGAAAAGTCTTTTTCGATCAAAGCAGTTCCTTTCTGCCACTGTTTAAGCAGAGGAATCAATAAACCTCTAATTGTATCTCTGGAATCAACGAAAATATCAATCAAACCATAAACAAATTCCTGATTTGAATATTTCTGCAATGGCACTTCGTTCCCAAAACCCAGCTCTTCAGAAGAAGGTCGTCCCAAACCAAGGATAGTTAGTATCTTTGTTATGTATCTGACAATATTTGTCATTAGTGTTGAGTCTATGTCCTCAATAGTTTCCGATTGTATATACAAATTCGTAGTTTTCACTAGAGCTTGAAGTGAACGTATCACAAGAGGTGTGTCGAAATCATCGCACAAGGCTTGATGGATCTCTTCTTTACGTTTTCTGAACTCCGAAGACAGCCCATTCTCTCCATATTTCTGTCCTCGACACATTTTAGTCTTCTTCTTCCACTCTCTTTCCAACGCAAAGAAATTTCGAAAGAATTCTGCAAAGAACCTTTCGACATTTACTGCTTCCTGCATTCCCTGTTCCGAATAGTTCATTCTCGCTGTATAATGATGTTGCAGTATAAATAGCCGTAGCTGTCTAGCTGTGTACCGCTCTAAAATCGATCGAATAGTAATAAAATTTTTCAGAGATTTGGACATTTTAAGACCTTCAATGTGTAAATGACCCGAGTGTAAGAAAAACTTTACCCATCCATCTTTCTCAAAATAAGCTTCCTACAAAACAACACATTTTTAAGTTCAACTACAGGATTAGGATCTCAGTTGCTTACACTTTGAGCTATCTCATTTTCATGGTGTGGAAATCGCAAATCTTCTCCGCCACAGTGCATATCTAGATGAGAACCAAATATACAGCTTGCCATTGCAGAACACTCCACATGCCATCCTGGACGTCCGTAGCCCCAAGGAGATTGCCAACCAGGCTCGTCCACTTGACTTTTCTTCCATAAAGCAAAATCACCAGCAGATTTTTTCTCTAAACGAGCCTGTTGAGAGGCCCAAGAACCTTCTCCTTCCATCAAACGTTCCGTATCACCAACGGAAGTAGGTTCCAGTTGTCCGTATTTAAAACCAGCTTGAGTAAAAGTTTGCACGTCAAAATACACGGAACCTTCGGCCTCATAAGCGTAGCCTCTTTCCACTAACCTTTCAATAAATGTGATGATTTCTGGAATGTAATCTGTAACACGACTAACGTATGTCGGAAAAATGCACTACCTAATCGATAAATATGAAAGAAATTATCACTTTCAAGTCTTCTTACGTTAAGTTTGTCCAAGTCCTCCCAAAATTCTTGTTCATAGCGCCCCGAAATAACTCGAAAATCTTCTTTCAATTCTTTGCTTTTCTTTATTATCTTATCATCGACATCAGTAACGTTCATTTGTAATTCCACCTCATAGCCAAAATATCCTTCAAGAATTCTCCGAATAGTGTCAAAAGACAGATAGTTTCTGGCATGACCCACGTGTGCAGAGTCATATACAGTTGGACCACAAATATAACACGTAACTAGTTTGGAGTCTTCTTTCCAAGGACGAAAAGGCTCCTTGTTCTTGGTAAGACTATTTCGAATCACAAGCGACGACATTTCTCAGAATCAAAATTATTTGTTATGATTTCTAATGTTCAACCGCATGGAACACTCCAGCAAGTGTTCTTATCGCTTTGGAACGCCATACAAGAAGGCGAAAGTATTGTAAGCTGCAAAATATGTGGAGAAACATTCAAAGCACCCATGATGTGAGTGTTTCAAAGAAGTCTTGGAAGTTCTCATGTGTCTGTTCCTAGGCTTCAAAAGTGTTCTCATGTGTTTTGCTCACTTTGCATTCGACGTTGGTTTGATTCAAACAGTATTTGTCCTGAGTGCCGTATCCCAAGTTCCGCTGGAGAACTCTGTAAAGTTCGCCTTGTAGAGGATTTCGTAGAGTTATGGGATACATTGTCTAGAAAAGCACAAACTGTGAATGACCTAGTTATGAGTAACCCGCTCCGTTCAGACCTCTATAGTAATACATACCAACCTTCTGAGGTTGTGCAAAGTTTTTATGTAAACTCTTCAAATAGTAATACCGACGAAGAAGGACGTGATGTCCCGGGAAAGAAAAGTAGAGACAACAAAATAGATACTCCGAAAAGAAAACAGCGCAAGAAGAAGCGAAACAACGTGCAAGAAAAAGATCCTTCTCATAAAATTGCAGAGTGCCCTATTTGTGGTATTCATATTAGTATTCGACTTATTCAACATCACGTTGATATTTGTTTAACCAAACAGTCCTGTTCTGAAGAGAATATTAGTGACAGAGTATTTTTTTCTGGGAGGTTGAACGGAACATCTTCGAATGCACATACTGAAGCGCCACTGGAATCTACCTTTGAAAAGCGCCCTGTAAGTTGAATATAGTATATTTTTTTTCGATGCTCACTCTAAGATACTATAGACAACTTTATGGTACAAAAACCTTAGTGATAGGAAACTGAAGGATATTTTACAGTATTATGGTTTAAGTACAAGAGGAGATAGAAATATGCTTATTAGGAGGCATAAGGAATTCGGTAAGTAGGATAAAATGGAGTTGGCCTTCTCTGAATAGTGTTGAGTATTTCGCTATAACGCTGAACTTGATTCAAAGTTTCCGAGGCCTGTTTCATCTGTTATCAAGGATATAGAGGAATGGGAGAAACAGCAAGAGTGGAATAGTATTTCTGAGGAAGCGCTGAATCCGCATCTTGAAACTACACTCTCTTATAATGAAGAAATTTGTCACATCGCCAAGAGTGATTTTGAGTCTTTAGTCCAACAAGCAAAGAAAACAATGTTCAAGACGAATAGTAATCATCGGCTTTCAAATTTATGTCTGGAGAGCATTAATAATGAAGACATATTAGTATTCACGCAACAGGAGGAGGGTGACAACTAGTAACCATTTACAGTTTCTAAGATTGATAAAATTAGTAAACTATTCATTTTCAGCACGCGTCAAAAATATCATTATTCACGATATATTGGTTCCCCCTCGTGATAAATTTGCTTTCACAAGAGAAGTTTCTATGAAGCTTACTTGCGACCGCGTACTTTTCTTGAAAATCATTGCTCTGGATTGAATGAAGGATAGAACAGTAGCGATCCGTAACTAAATGGTTCAAATCGTAGTCTCGTAGACAGAATTTCATTTCAAAAATACCAAAAGTTTCAAGACTTCCGCTGCCGGGGTTTGATCCCGGGTCTCCTGGGTGAAAACCAGGCATCCTAACCACTGAGTCGTTTTATTCACGTAGACTACAGCGGATTTCTGTAATCTGTCAATGGTAACGATTAAATTTAAAACAAAGATTCTTGTTCATTCCAAGCATCATTATAGTGTCAGTGTAAGATCCATATTTTTTAGCAATTACGATTAAAATTAGTGTTTCCTATGAACAAGGAACAATCATCCCGTCTCTATCAACCTGTACCAGTGCAAATTAGCGGTAATTACGACAGTAACATGGCCGTGTGGCGGAGCCAGCGACCTACCTTTGTTTCAAATGTTACTTTAAAACAACCTGTTCTGCTTAGAGGGGAAGGAACACAAAAGCTTTTTTGTAAAAGATGTAGCTTTGTTGCCAACCTTCTAGTGAAAGTAGTTCGTACGAGAGACTTGGGTCGATACCAAACTTTCTGTTTGATGAGTTACAATCAAAAAGACCCCTCAGTCCCACAAGTACGTGAGGGATTTGTTAATAATATAAACTGTAATATTATTGGGGCGATACAAGCGCACCGAATGAGTTACAAGGACATTGGTTTCCTACAAAAGGTTGCGAGGACGCTCGGTTTTATGTTTTCTTTGAGAAGAAGAATTTCTCGTGGGAGTGTCTTACAGCTGGAAATCACGGGTTCGCTTCCTGATGCGTTAGCTTCTCCTCTTGACGCGTTGTCAGTAACTTCCATTGTAGAAGTGACCAGTAACATAAGGAAGGCAGCACACGATCCTCGAATAGCTGCCTTATTTGTGAAACTTGGACCCTTATCTTGTGGTTATGCAAAGGTAGCAGAGCTATGTCGGCACTTTGACTACTTTCGTCAAACGGGAAAGAAAATTATTGGTTACATGGAAATTGGTTCTGAGAAGGAAATCCTTTTGAGTTTGTTCATGGACGAATTATATGCAGCTCCTGAAGCGGGAATCAGTATCAGAGGCTTTAAAGTTTCGGCTACATTTTTAAAGGGCCTCTTTCAAAAAATTGGTCTTGAGCCACAAGTTGAAAGGCTCGGTGTGTACAAATTTGCTGGTGATCAGTTTTCAAGAACAGCAATGTCCAATGAGCAACGAGAGGTTTTGAAAAATATCTTACAAGCTGTTTATGAAAATTTTAGAAATGAGTTGTCAACTTATCGCAATTGGTCCCAAGAGAATGTCGATCAAGTATTGAATTCTGCTCCATTCCAGATGTCCGATTTGAAAAATCTCGGTTTTTTCACAGAGTTAAAATACGAAAGTGAAGTTCTTGATCTTTTAAAATTAAGATATTGTCGTCGAGGGAAGGGGGTATCTCCATCCGACTCAATGGAGACGAAAGAAAAGATTTTAAGGAAGCCTTTTCGTTTCGTCAACTCCAAATACTATTCACGTGTAAAGGCGAAACAGCTTTTCATTGAAGGTAAGCGAAAAATTGGAGTAATACGTGTGAATGGAACTATCGTTTCTGGTGATGGAGGAGAGAATCCCTTGATAGGAAGCACGGTTGGTAGTAACACGCTTGTTTCTCTGATTCGTCAGGCTGCAGAAAATCCAAAGTTCGATGCTTTTATTCTCAGAGTAGATTCACCTGGAGGCTCTGCACTAGCTTCTGATATCATATGGGCAGAGCTGTTACGGCTTCGCCAAAAAAAACCTATTGTTGCAAGCATGAGTGATGTTGCAGCAAGTGGAGGATATTATATTTCTATGGCCTGCAATCATATATGTTGTGAGCCCTTAACCCTTACTGGCTCCATTGGTGTCGTCACTGCCAAATTTTCTTTGGAAAACCTCTACAAGAAGATAGGATTTGTAAAGGAAACAGTTAGTATAGGGAGATACGCAGAGGTGGATATCGAGTCACGCTCATTTAATGAAGACGAGCGTCAGTACTTTAAGAACAATGCCCTTCACGCATATCAAAACTTTGTTTCGAAGGCAGCGAAGAGTCGTGGTAAAACTTATGAAGAGTTGGATAGTGTGGCTCAAGGAAGAGTTTGGTTAGGATTTGAAGCATTGCAGTTGGGACTGGTTGACAGCTGTGGAGGGTTTTGGAAAGCTGTTGAAGTTGCCAAAGTACTTGCAAATATAGGCGAGCACGAAAATGTCCAGTTGGTAGAGTTGCGAAGATTTTCTTGGTTTTCTAGGCTGGCAGCTTCGTTTCTTAGTTCCTTGGAGTCTTTTGGTTTGTTGCTACCAAAATATCATAATACGCAAGGATTGCGTCTATCACCATTTGGAGATGAAAACATTAAGGCCGTAATGGAAGCGTTGGATCTGTTTCGCACCTTCATGTAGTAGACCAATAAAGCGTTCTCTAGAAATGGGGTGTCATCTATTGGTAGAATTGCTTTGGATTGGCTGTTGAGCTTGACATCACTTTCTTCCCTTAGTGTCGTAGTTGAAACTTTTTGGTGGACCTATTTTACGAAAAATTTATTACCTAGTTATCGTGGAGTCTCAACGAAAACGACAGAAAACAAAGATTCAAGGCATGGCAAATGTGTCACGTTCGAAGCTGCGTCTTATGACAGACTTGAAATTGATGAAACAGGAACCACCTGAGGTACTGAAGTCCTCCTTTTAATATTTTTGTCTTATAGTCGTAATAGGGTTGTAGTGCTAGTCCATTAAGTGACGATAACCTTTTTGTGTGGGGTGCCACTATTTTCGGTCCACCAGATACCGCCTGGGAGGGAGGAATTTATACTTTGCGACTGACTTTTAGTGAAGAATATCCAGACAAACCGCCAAGAGTGCGTTTTACGTGTGATATGTTCCACCCAAATGTTTATCAGGATGGCACACTATGTTTGGACATAATTCAGGACCACTGGTCACCGATTTACACAGTCAATACAATTCTGACGTCCATACAGGTATGAATTAAAAAGCTTTTAGGTTGAGACTCAAATTTTGTTCAAGTCGCTTTTAACCGATCCGAATCCCGCAAGTCCAGCGAATCCTGAAGCGGCTCATCTATTTACCACCAATAAAGAAGCTTACAAACAAAAAGTGAGAAAGATAGCGCAGAGGAGTGTGGAATGTTGAGTTCTTCGTTGATATTTGACGTTTTGCAAGCATCATAGTCATTTGTTGTTTTTGAAGACTTCATGTTTCACATAGTCTTTTGACTGACTCTTTTGGTACTACATGAAATGTAAATACTTTTATTCCAAATCAGATTCTTTTTTCATGTTCATTTGTGGCGGATGAATTGTCGGTATTGCTAACTCTCTCATGCTTTCTTCAATGAAAATTACAAGATTAGAACAACTCCACTCAAATATACTAGCAAAGTTTAGCAAAAGATGAAGTCACTGGCAACTTCATGTCTGTCACTTTACAAGAGATGTCAATCTCCTAACATGAGCAAAGACGAGCAACCCCAAAGAGCCTTCAACATTTTCAAGACGACTGACGAACGAAATAATAGTGACATAGATATTTAGACTTCGACATTATTCCAATAGATTGTCTTTTGTCTTCTTCTCGTCCAAAGTGGCCATGTCAAGCAAAGGTAGCTTCCATAACATACTCCTACATAGAGTAGTATAGATGCTACACAAACTCGTTGCGACTCATGGTCAGATGTTTCGTTATTGATCGACACTAACCTGGTGTCTCTGGCTCCAGTAGCGTTCATTAATAAAACCAAGTGCGTCAGTTAGCAGACTCTCAAAAGGCATCACAAAATAAGCAAGAGCATAAGATTAGGGTCCTATGAGTGTTTGTATTCTCCACAAAGTTTGTGAAACAATCTGAAGCTTTTTCTGAAGAAAAGTATTCATAACGTTCGTTTTCTTCGCGTAGTTGTAGGAGGAAAACAACAGGTTCCTTCTAGTCGTTCATTTTTTCGCAGAAAAAGTTCTTATTTGTGAACACTTCAGAAACTAGTACTGTAGTGAGTCTCTCCAACTCAATTTGAGTGATGCGGTGAAACTCAGATTGGAAGTTGTGATACCCAGAAAGACGACTATTGTCCCAAACGAAGTAGTCCTCTGGTTGGGTTTTCTTCCAAACCTGAAGAAACGAAGCGTTTTACTTCCTTCATATTATCTTGTTGTTTTCCAGGAAGTTATTAAGAAAGCTACCAGAAGGCCCTTGAGTAGATGCAATAGCCGCTTTTCAATTTTCTAAAACCTTTTCCTTCTCACTCACGACGATCACTTTTTTATGAGATATAGCTTGCTCGAAGGATTGGGTCTTTTAAGTTTTTTATCAAAACGAGCAGCATTTGGAATAGGGTGGAAAGTATGACAAGTCGTTTGTCTAGTTCTATCTGTCTATCCTGTTCAACAGTGGTAGGGACAAATATGAACGAATAGGGTAGGAATATTTCGAATTGTTTCTTGAAAGTTTGTAAAGAGAGAACCAGCATTTTTGCTAGGTTTTCCAGGAAACAAAGGTGGGTTGTATAGTTACCTTGAAAATTCAAGTTTTCTGGGTTGTCAAAACCGAGTTTCTCCCACAAAGTTGTTTGTATAATGTAACAATCGAATATTCGTTTTGCTCATTAGAACAAAATGGTTTCGTTATAGGACACTGCATCTTCCAAATTGTATGTTATTCTTGTAGTATGTTATTCACCTCGTTCACAATGCAACTATAAATCTGGAATTGTCAAACGTAGACCATATTTCTGTCTACAACTCGGAGACATAAGAAATCTAAAAAATTTTTGGTCGAGATGTCTTTTAGACTTGCCAAAAACTGGTTTCTAGTGACTGTGAATATATCTGCTACACTGATGAAGAACAACTTCCACTGGTTTGCACTTCAATCAACGCCTTTGTTGGCCGAAGCTGAAAGGTTTATTTAGCTAAGGATTCTGCAAAGAGTGTTCTTTGAAGGATACTTTTGCGTTGGATTCTATATGTTTGCTGAGGTAATTTTTTATATCATTTCTACTAGAAAATTCCGGTTAGTTAAGCTATCTGAGTAGAACTTTTCAGAGACAACTTCAGAAAGAATTGGAATATCCAGGCACTTGACCAGTTTGGGGGCTTTCAAATTTACCTGTTAGTTTAGCACTCCGACCTTTCTGTTCATATCTTTCTTCCTTTTCGTCATATTTTAAAGAGCAAAGATCGAGCTGATACTAAGTAGTCGAACAACAAGTTGCATAATTTGGATCGTCAAGTACCCAGTAGATAGCCTACCTTTGGATAAAATTTGTCCCTTGTAAAGGATAGCTTTTTGAATAGTATTCCTATTATTAGCATATAGAAATTATAAAGTATTGACTCTGTATCAGTATAGTCAAAGGATGCACGTCCCTACAATACCAATATTTATGAATACAAATAGAAAGGAGATAATATTATCCAGCAAAGATGACTTTTTTTCTGAAAATTTCCTCTAGGTAAAAGTTTTCGTTAACTCTGAAAGGCTACAAAAGGCATTTGAATTATCTGTTTGTATATCAGTTGATTGAAAGAAAACTTGTTCCATGCTTTCATCTTCTGCCTTCTGTTGATCAGAGAAACGAAAAAAGCTGATCCTCTAGTGGAGTTGTTATAGAAGGTGTTCAATTAGCCAATGTTGTATAGAGAACTTTCTGGTTCAACAGAGTTGCCGAATCACTTTACACCTTTTCCTCTTCCACGCGAGTCAACTCCTCTAATCGTTGCCCCATAAAATATTCTAGACGCGTTGGTTACAGTCAAAGTACTTACATCTCAAAGATTGATTGTTTTGCTGACATTGTTGACATTTCTCAAGTTGAACGTCAAGCTAGTCAAATGTTTGATTGAATAAGAGTGTCTCTTCTGTTTGCTTCAATAGATTGCGATCCGTATACAAGGACCAGAAAGATATCAAACAAGTTGTTGGCAAGGTTTCATTTTTCAAAGAGCTTCAAAAACGACTCAAAGTTTACAAGCAAACAACGTATCTAGTCCAATTTCATCTCTTCTTGGGACCAAGCTCAATTATAGTGAACTTTTCACGACTGTTCTTTCTACAAGATGATGAAAGTGACAATCTTTTGAACATGGCTGGTTTTGACAAACACAAGTAAGATCGACAGAAACTTGCAAATTGAGGGTATGACACACAAGCACGGAACTTTTATAGCAGACAAAAGGCAGAAATGGAAACAAGATAATGAAAGTGAATCTTGCTCTAGAAATATTACTAGAACAGAAAAAGGTATCACAAGTCATTGTTCAATTTGCGAGTTTGTTGTACTACTTTATCAACATACACTAGTAGCGTTTTACCCCAAAAAGTCAAAGATGTAAACAAGTATATCTACAAAACTCGGCATACTTACAAAGAGCGTAACCATATATGGGTAAAAACCACGAGGAAAGATGATCATGCATTCAACATGTATGTATGTAAAGTCTATTCATTTTGAATCATTGCTACAACTCTGCAATATCGCAAATTGACACCAAAAATAGCCTTCAAATGAAAAGATTTTAGTTTCAAATTATGTTCAAAGGCATCTCCGAAATATTTGAAAGATTGCACTAGTGTATTAACCGAATCATTCTCCTGCACACAAGTGCATATCATCAATATCCAATTTCTGTAAGAGTCAACAACTCCTGTTTCTCCTCTGAAAATACTTGCAGACATTAGTGACATTTGATATTGTGGATTCTGCTAAGAGAAAACTTATTTTCAAAAAAGTTCAATTCAGTCCAACTGAGTCTATTCTATCGAATCTCTTCTCGTTTTTCATCATAGCATTTGAATCATAGTTGAATTGTCTCTTCCATATAGTCGACTATATAGTTGAGGTGTTTTTGAAGGTAAACCTGACTGTTTAGGTTTAAAGGTTTTCACTGCCTTCTCTTGAACTTTGTAGAAACCACAAATTGTGAACATATATAAGAAAGCAAACTATATAAAGTACAAAGCTGCTTTAGGGCATGGATAACTCCAAGGAAACTCTTATTTCTTCCAGTACGAAGAAAACAAAACTTTCAAAAACTCTGCAAATTCAAGGAAAGATTTGTTTAGCTCCACTTGTCTCCTACTTTTTTCCCACTCTCTCAAACATCAGCTCGTTGAATAAGTAAGTGAGTCATTGTATAAAAGGTATTCGCGTTAGACTTTAGGCAGAAGACTCTCGCGAAATATAACCTGACGGGTACGTTGGTGGAGGCTTCTCCTTAGATATTTGTAACAAGAATCAAAGACAACTCAAAGTTTTGTATAAACAAACTGTCTATAAATACAAGAAACGTTCATTTCCATAAGGGACAAGTAAAACATAAAGAAGAAAAGATATAGTTTTATCCAAATTGCTCTAAAAAGAAGGAAAATGTCTCTTTTAACTTTGCATTATTCAGCAAAGTAAAATTGTGCAAAGTCAAATTGATATTGTGATTGTGATTATCCAAACCGGTAAAGGTCTTGTTCTTTTAAATATACTGGATAAATTTCGTCTCCTAGTGAAAAGAAAAGAATATAAACGTAGAAACAATGGAAAAATAAGAATCTTTCATCTCCTCTTGGCAAAGTGATAAAGAAACGTGAATCTTGAAATATATGTGCAAGGAGAAGCGAAAGCATCACCACTTTTGCCGTTGTTATACCAGTCAAAACTCTCAAAAAGTTCTTTAGATGGAGAACGAACCAATAGCCTTGAATCGTTTGAGGTTCGATCCTACTTATCGTAGGTAGTTTATGTACGAATTTGTGTATAGACAAAAGTATTCCCAACCTTTGGTCAGTTTTTTATTATCGTCCTGTCCTCTGTATACTTTCCAATTCTAGAGTTGAATATACGATTTATTCTTCTTTGTAACTCGTAATCGAACAAAGATTGCTCCTTGAGCGTCATTTGCATAGAAGGAAAGGTTCTGGTTCTCACATTGCAAGCCAAACAGAGTTAATGTCATTGAAATTAGAAAATGATCATTTTACACCTTTAAACAGTTTTCCTAAATTTTGAGTGACCAACAAAGAAAGGTTCTCAGATCGAGAACGAGTCAAAAGCTGGGTGTAGCAAAACCCGTTCTTGATTTGTTATCAAAATAGGCTCACAA